TAGCATTTAAAAATGTGGATTTGGGCATGGCTCAGTGGCCTAGTGGCTAAGGTCCTCACCTTGAACTCACCAGGATCCCATATGGGTGCTGGTTCTAGTCCTGGCAGCCCTGCTTTCCATCCAGCTCCCTGCTTGTGGCCTGGGAAAGCAGTGGAGGATGGCCCATTGTGGGAGACCCGGAAGAAGCTCCTGGCTTCGGATTGGCTCAGCTCCAGCCGTTGCTACCACTTGGGGAGTGAATCATCAGAGGGAAGATCTTCCTCTTTGTCTCTCCTCCTCTCTCTATATATCTGACTTTGCAATAAACATAAATAAATCTTTTTTTAAAATGTGAATTCCTGGCTGTCTGAGCTACCTAAACAAACAATGTGGGCAAGAGACACCATCAACTTCACTATAAATCAGTCTCAGAAGTGCTGAAGTAAGAGAATTGAACTGTAGCATCCATCATTCAGTAAATTTATCCGTCTCTGCCCCTCATCTAATCATACTGTGTTCCACCTGCTGGGAGCTTCTTCTGGGTCTCCCACATGGGTGCAGGGCGCCCAAGGACTTGGGCTGGATTCCACTACTTCCCAGCCATAAGCAGGGAGCTGGATCAGAAGTGGAGCAGCCCATGTAGAATACTGGTGCTACAGGTGGAAGATTTAGCTGCTAAGCTACTATACCACTGCACCGGCATCCCGTGGGATTTTCATTGTTTGCTAACTCAGACTGCTTAACTTTTTTGTTATCATTTCATCTTTTGATGTTAATTCACAATGAATTCTATTTTTCTTTTGACCTCTTGCTGGCTATTTAGCAAAAGTGTGGTATGTCTTTCAGTTTTACAAATGATTAATTATAAAATCGTAGGAACCATTTTATGTGTGTCTATTTATTTGTATCTCCTTGAAAAGCAGAGTGGGAGGGAGGGAAAAAGAGAAATTTATCCACTCATTGTGCTCCCCAAATTCCTACAAGGGCCAAGTGAAGCTCAAGATGCCAGAGCTGCCAACAGGTCTCCCCGGTTAACGTCAGGAACCCAGGCACTTGGGCCACCATCCGCTGACTCCCAGGATGTATTACCAGAAGCTGGCCGTAAATAAATAAATATCCACAGACTATTCTCCACAGGTTGCAGAAGATAAAATGGCTTCTCTTTCAGAAGGAAGTGTAGCTTCAACAGTGTGTCTAGAAGGGAAGGCGTTTTACTCATCACCAAGTGCTCCCTGAATTTTGAGGATTTTTTTTTCACCACTAGTGCATGGAATTTTAAAGTAATAGATAAAAATAATGATTTAAGCATTAAAAAGTAATGGAATTCAGTTCAACTTCCTGATGTATTATACAAATTAAGGAACACTTTTCATAGTATATACAGTCTCTGTCTTGGACAAAAATATAGTTATCTTGAAGAAAAAGAGGATGTTATTAATTTGAGTAATTAATTCTGGATTTCCAGTGAATAATTTCTTAAAAACATCATCACACAAATCTGAATCTTTGCTGTTAGTTGGAATCAGTTCCATGTGCCACCAGTTGAGAATCCAAACTGCGGAGATGCGCTGGTGTTTGTGCAGGTGGGCCCCCATCAAAGGCACTTTCTGGGCCTTTTTTAAATTCTGAGATAAGTCCCCCCGCCCCAAAATGCCTTCTGTAATCTAATCATCCAACTTACCACAATAAAACATGAAAACATTTTAAATGTTTTTATAATGACTTTTTTCTGTGATTTAATATGATGTGTTCACAGGGTTGATATTTTAAAGAAAACTTTAATGATTTGCAGAAGATTTCTCGTACTCTTTGTCACTGACATACTTCCTCCACCTGTGATGAGTTCCCATTGATACTGATGATGTAATTCTTGCTGTTATCTGCTTCATTTCCCTGCTTTTCCTTTCTTCCCTTTATCCTGTCCAATTGTATGACTCTTAACTCTGAGCCTGCCTGAAAGGGTTAATCCTGGTTTGGCATACAGAGCTGATTTCGGTTAAATTCTGTCTCCATCTAGACAACTGACTACATACCTTTCATGTTTGGCCAGCACGTGACTGGGTTGTTGATTCTGGTCCAGTTCATATGTCCAGGAAACCTACATCATCAAAATCACATCCTCTTATGTCTGTATTATCTAATTTTCTGGAAAAGCCACCAGTCTTACAGCCCCACCTAAGATTTTTTTTGCTTTAAAGATTTTTTTTTTTAATTTGAAAGAGAAAAGGTGAGAGAGAGATAGAGAGAATCTTCCATCTGCTAGTTCACTCACCAAATGGTCTCAAAGGCCAGAGCTGGGCGCTCTGAGGCCAGGAGCCAGGAGCTTCTTCTGGGTCTCCCACTGTCCAAGGCCTTGGGCCACCCTCCCCTGCTTTCCCAGGCCATAAGCAGGTAGCTGGATTGGAAGTGGAGCAGCCAGAAGACATATCCGGTACCACACACGGAGGATGAAGCTTTCTGTTATGCTACAGCTCCAACCTATAGATTTTTTAAAATTATGTAAAATTTTACCCCCAGCACTGCCCAAAATAATAAAATAAAATAGGATAGAGTAAGATAACATAAATCTGTGTAGGAGAAGTTCGCATTTGTGCTGCACCTCTCGCAGGCTGTAGCTTAAGCTCATAAGTAGCGCAGGGGAAAGGATGCAGGCCTTGCCACCACAGAGTTGACATGTGTGTCTGACAACTTCGCATGTGGACAACCATGGCTCTCAGATTGTGGCCTGCTATGTAGAATGGAGATAATGGCATTTCTCCAAAGGATTGGTGTGAGGGTTTAATGTGATCATGTCTATGAATTGAGTAGAACAATAATTGGCATAGTAATTTTAACAGCAGTGAACATTTATTGAGAGCTTGCCAGGAACCTGGCACTGTTCTAACCGTTTTATGCCTGTTAGCTCATTTAATCCTCCATCCCTCTGAGATAATCATCTGCTCTTGACGGATGAGGAAACTGAGACCCAGGTAGGTTCTGTAGCTTGCCGAAGATGACACAGCCAGAAAGTCAAGGATCTCAGGGCTCACACTGTGGTACTCAAACTCTCCGTGTGGAGTCAGTGGCCACGTTCTGGTGTCCAGTGTTGATTCTGCCTCCAAGCTCCAGGTGGCTTTCTGGGTTCTGTCCCATGTCTGACCCCCATGTGCCAGGACATCTTCTGTCTTCTCCCTCCCCCCAAGCTCCTTGTTCATCTCCGGATGCGGAGTCTGCAACTGTCCTGACTTAGGGCTTGCTGTGTGTACCTTCCCAGCTATTCCCCAAAGCTGAGAGTCCGCGGCTCCTGGGGTGATCTCCTGAGAGCAGCCGTCTCAGGCCAGGCTGCTTTCTCTGGGATTCTGATGAGCAAATTCGTCCAACCCTGCTCCGCCTTGCTTTCCCTGATTCATTCCCCTTCCGGCGTGGAGCTCTGAGCATTTGGAGTTGGGTTATCCTACAGTCAAATGCTGAAGCAGGTGCATTATGTCCTTTTGAGGAACCATTGTGTCCTTCTGTGTTGCTCTTCCCATCTCAGGGAGCCAATTTAACTAGAAGCTTCCAGTCACTGGAGAAAAAGACTAATGGGGGAAGCAGAAAAAGATCTTTTGGAGCAGAGCAGCTCAAACTTTAATATGCAAATGAGTCACCTGGGGCATTTGTTAAAATGCAGATTCTGGGGCAGGACCTGGGAGTCTACATTTCTAGTGAGTGTCTGGGGAGGTTAGTGCTTCTGGTTTCTGAGTGCCAACGCTGTGGATTTACCTTAGTACCTTTTCTAGGAACATTTAATTAAAAAAAAATGAATTTACCAGTACAGGCTGAACATCCCTTGTCTGAAAATCTTAAATTGAAATGCACTAGAGCTGAACCTTTTTGAGTGGTGACAAGAGGCCCTAAGTGGAAAATTCTACAGCTGACCCCATGGGAAGCATTCCATCAAAATGCAGGCATAAATGTTGCATACATAAAATTACCTTTCTGCTGTACGTGTCAAGTGTCTATGAAACCAGTGAATCCCATGTTTGGACCCTGAGATTTCTGATTGTGTATACACTGATATTCCAAAATCTGAAACAACCAGAAGTATGATAGACTTCTGTTTCCAAGCATGTTAGCTAGAGTAGTACAACTGACTACTGGAAGAAACTTTGTAATATACTTCATTTTGTAAATAAAAGATTTATTTAAGTATCTGAAGGACTGAGTTACAGAGAGAAGGAGAGACACAGCTATATTTCATCTGTAGATTTGTTTCCCAGAAATCAACAAAGACCAGGACTGAGCGATACCAAAGCCAGGAGTAGGAAACTCCAACCAGCTCTTCCATGTGGGTGCAGGGGCCTACGCACTTGGGCCATCCTCTGCTGCGTTTTCAGGCACGGCAGCAGGGTGCTGGTGGGTTGTGGGGGAGGGTCTGGGTGGGTAGTAAAGCAGATGGGACATCCATATGGGATGCTGGCTTTGCAGGTGGTGGCTTGACCTGATGAGCCACAATTCCAACGCAAAATGTCACAATTTCAAATCCTAGTCCCTAGACTGCTTCCTGGGAAATCCCTCCAGATTTGAGAAAAAAAAGTGTTTAGCAACAGTCAAATCTTAGTACAGACACCATAAAAACAGGTGTCTTCTTTCAGTGTGATGTGGCGAGTCTCAGCATTCACATGTGCTTTCATCGTGTTGCTGATGCTGTAGGTGGAGTCTTGCAGAGCTAGAGAGAATGGTAACTAAACTTTCTTTGGCACAGTGGGAAAGATACACACCTGACTGGTGCGTAGCGCAGTATCTGTGACTTTGTCATACCAGCTACAGAGAAGAAGCAAGTGAAGTCAACTTTTATCTCTCTGTCTTTCCTTTGGGAGTCAGCTCCCTCGGAGTGCTTTAAGTACTTCTGTTAGAAATGGTTGGCCGTGGTCGTCAGAGCCCTTGACTAGTGTGTAGAGCCGGATGCGTGGGTGTGTGCTGCGACCGGAACCCCGTGGGAGACGACCCTCTGCAGTCTCCCTGTGATGGCCAAAGCTTGTGTTTTCTGTTTCTGTTCCCAGGGAGGAGAGCACTGTTACTACCAGGGCCGTATCCGAGGAAACCGAGCCTCATTCGTTGCCTTGTCAACCTGCCACGGACTCCAGTAAGTGCTCAAAAACGTTATTTGTACCATGTATCCTTTCAGTAGCTTAAGGTTCTTAGTTTATACTACCCTGTAGCAGACATTTCTATTTTATATAAAAAAATAATTTTGGATCTGATATTTCCCCCTCCCCCCTCTGAGGCTTATGACTCAAGAAGCTTTTTAAATTAAAGTTGCAAAACCCCAGAGACTTTGGGATTATAGCATATCCTGTAGTGATACCAGAAACATTTTTCTAGTTTCACCGGAATTCAAATAGGAGTGGCTTGGGTAACTTCGGTTTCTGTTTCGGTGAGTGTTTAACCCCTTGGTGCCAGTCCTTGATGTGTGTTTCTGTATTGCTATGGGATGACAGGCGCTTAGAGAACCAAGCGAGGTTTCAGTGACAGCATCAGGAACTCTGGATTCTACAAAGGCTTTGTAAAAGTACTATTATTGTTAAACACATTCTCATTTGAAAATAAATAAACAGGAAACCCACCCCGTGTCCGCAGCCAGGATTGTGCACTGCTGTGTTTGAGCTGCGACTTTGCTGTCCGTTGGATCACCCCTCTGTTCGCCGTGACTTGTGACTTTGGTATTGCATTCCTCGTCCTGGTTGTGGACAGAAGTGTTTTGGAGCAGTGGTACTAAACACTGGACAGTGTTTGCTTCCCAGTGACAGTGGTTTAGATGTGAGGTGCTTTATTTTGTCCATGACTCGTCCTTTAGAAATTACCTGATCCATAGGGAGGGTTTGTTTTTTCTTCCCGCTTTTGTTCTTTGATTTACTGAATTCAGTAGAGGAAAATAAAGCAGAACAAATTCATGTGTCTGCTATATGAACCTGAGGGCACGCTTTTTTTTTCAAAATTCAAAGACCAAATAGACATTTTTGTATGTTTGCTATTATCACAAAAATCCTGTAACTATGGGAACCCTAAAATATGGAATTAAATGTGGGGTTAGTGCCCTCTTGTGGAAACTTGTGAAATGGCTGTCTTCTTCCAAGAGCTTGTTTCAATGTAGCTTTAATAATTTCATCTCAATTGGCTTGTAATTCTTGGTCCCAGCTATTTTTTATTCAAGAATTTTCTATTATGAACTGAAGTGTATATTATTAGAATTTATATAAATGTAGCAAAGATGTGTGAATTTTCACACAAAGCACATGTGACATTTTTTACTGGTTAATTAATGAATGCTGGGATTGTATAATTCAGAAAACCAGAATCCTCTGGGTGTAGCTAATGTCAGGATTTGCTCTAATTACACTGTGAGCATGATGCTTAAACCCTGTCAAAAGAATTGATCTTCCTACTGGATATTAACATAATGTGAGGGTGAATAATATCCTAGGTATTTTAACAGAACAATCTGCTTGCATTAATCCGTGTTGCCATGTGAAGTTTGGCAACGTGTGACAAGATTTTCTGGGTGGGCCTGGCCACACCTCTACAGGGCACAAGGGGTGTTTGCTCCTGCATTTGGTCTCCTGTTCTGAAAAGGATCCCCCTCTGCTTCTTCAAACATATGTTGTTGATAATAGCTTACAGATTGCATCTGTTTGTCTTTAAGTTCCAAATGCATTGTCTTCCAAGTTCTGAAAGTGCACTTGGGATTGAAAACTGCAGATGTGGGGACATAAACATGAAGGACATGTGGAAGATGTTACAGCAGGAATGAAAGAATTTGGATAGAGGCAGAACTAGAAAGCGTTATAATTATAGAGCAGGGGGACCAACCTGTATCATTAAGGTACCAGGGACAAAAAAAAATACTGTTCTGAATTGAACAGCTGGAAGTTACGCATTCATGCCCTCCTGGAACTGAACAATCACTGCAAAAGATTAGATTTGTCCCTCTCACATGCCTGAATGATAACACAAGATCTTAAAAATATATGTATTTTTTGAGCTAAGAGACAGAGCTGTCATTGACTAGTTCACTCTCCAGCTGCCAGGACCAGCTGGGTAACCAAAGTGGGGGAGCCAGGTGTCCCACTTGGGTGGCAGGAACCCAGTCCCTTGAGCCGTGATACCTGCCTCCCTGGATCTGTGACAGACACAGAGACACGGATGGGGAGAGGTATATCATCCTTCCGAATGGCTGAATCTGCCAAGGCTGGCCCAGGCTGAAGCCAGGGGTCCCTGTCCATCTCCCACTTGGGTGGCAGGGACCCACGTCCTTGGGCTGTCATCTGCTGCTTCGCAGGGTGCACACTATACAAAGCAGGGTTGGAAGCAAAGCAGCCAGGCCTCGAAGCTGGAGCTGTGATGTGGGATGCAGGCATCCACCCTGCACACTCTGTTCCAGAAGCATCAGCAAGTCCTGTTGATGTGTGCGGACTTTGGTTCCCTCTCCCCACAGCTGCCATTGCCTGCTTGACTTTGTCTTCTCTCACCTGGATCATTGTCACAGAGTCTCTGCTTCTAACCTTGCCATCCGAGCGGTTACTGCCACACAGCAGCCAGGGTGATCATTTTAAAACTCAAGGGAGGATGTGTTTTGCCTTCCCTTTGAACCCTGCACTGGCTCTTTGTCTCTTTGAGGGAAAGCCAAGGCCCTCAGAAGGGCCCCTGGTCCGTGGCCTCTACCACCCCTCGCAGGCTCTGTTCCAGCCATGTTTCTGTCTGACTCTTTCTGGACATAAACCAAGAGTGTCTCACCATGGCTTTGGTCTGCGATGCTCTTTGTGCAGATTTCCTATGGCCCACCCCTTCACTTGTTTCAGGTCTTTGCTCAAGTCCCATCTTTCCTGTGAAGTCCTGCTCTAATTACCTTAAGAATCCACAGTCCTCTCCCTTGATTTCTCATGTTTTACCCTCCTGTACTATTTATTACCCTTTTCCACTTTATTTTCCTACCCTAGAACTGACCAGCATCTCATGTATGTCCCCGTTTGAATCCTGTGTTTATGTCTTGTCATCTCTGGCATACCCCTGAGTGCCCTAGGGGTGGGCGGTGGGTCTGTTCAGTTCATATATTTACGGCCTGTCATCTATGGGGTACCCCTTAGTGTCCAAGGGGTGGGCGGTGGGTCTGTTTAGTTCAGTGCTGCTGTGTCCACACCTATAGCAGTGCTTTTTGCTGGTTTTCAGATGAGTGGATGTTAAATGAACGGACCAAGGTAGGTGGCAGACTGTAGTTGGACAGTTCAGGAGCCATGGCCCTGAGCTTTATTCCTGCTCTGCTCCTACAGGTTACGTAATTTGGACAAGTTACCTCACCTCTTGGGGCTTTGATCTCCTTGCCTGTAAAATGATGACAGGTACCCTAGTTTGTGGAAAAGATAACATGAGTGCCAAGTAGCTAGCTCATTGCAAGTTGTTTAAGTGAGAAACTCTTGTTTGTAGAAGATCTTTCTGGGGTGTCGTAGGAAAGCCTGTCTCAGTGTAGCCCCTGAAAATCAAAACCACTTGTGATTTGCTGAGAATCTACTGCCTGAGTCCCAGGGGTTTGCTGGGTAGCTACTGCCTGAGTCTCGCACAGAACACTCTGGAAGGTCCTAAAAGACCTGTTTTGTTACATCATCCCCTCTGTGCCCAGCAGCTGACTCTTTGCAAATTATAGTCTTAGAGTTGTATGGTAGAGGGAGGAGTAATGGACACAGCTTCTGTGTGGTCCTCCAGAGCCCCAGATCTTATTTGAATAAGGGAACCCTGCAAGCACAGGATGTGTGTTGTGTGGTCAGTTGGTGGGGTGGCATTGGCAAAGGGCAATGGGAGTACCTGGCGCTCTGGCTGCTCTAGACTTATTGGTGATCTTGCTGTGACGTAAGTCTAGCCACGCCTAAATTCTTTTCTTGTCCTTGGCAGTGGGATGTTCTATGACGGGAAGCACACGTATCTCATTGAGCCAGAAGAAAATGAGACAGCCCAAGTAAGTGCTCCTTCTGTTGCCACAGCAAATGTGAACATAAGCTGCCCGGCCCTCTTGGATTAGGCTTCCCTTTGTGACCTTGATTAGCCTTTCTCACCTGTTCACAGATGGCATCTCCAGACAGTCACACTGGTATTACGACTTCACCAAATGACATGTACCTGCAGCCTTTCATAGTCAGTTCCACAGATGGATGAATTTTTTACCCCACTTTTCCTTTTTTTTTTTCATTTTTCACTCCATTTCCCCCATATTTTCTGTATTTTTTCCCCACTAGTAATTGCCTTTAAGGCTCTTTGCCAATGAGGTTTGTAGAAAACGAATTCTTAACTCTCTACCTCACTTTGGTTGAAGTATCTGCTTTCTCTAGATTAGAAAAGGACTGAATTATTGATATAGTTGATTGATAAATAATGTACTACTACCAAATAATATGGTTTGGGAAAGCATCTGTATTTTATATTATTTTCCAAGAGTCCATTGCTGGCTGTCCTATCACTTTGCTTGACAGTCTCATCATTTTAAATAATACACTGAGACCTGAGTGTTTATAATAATCTATTTTTTAAATTAGATGAAGCCAAATGAGATTTTATGAGTGTTAATTACTTTTTTCTCAAAAGAAACACCTTTCATCTTTATGTCTTAACCTTTAGTGTAACTGTGACACCTGAATTTTGGAGCAGGGTCTGCCCTAGGCACACACAGCACCAGTCGCCCACTCCCCAGTGCATGGCTAGTTGATACCCTGCAGGTTTTACTATGTTATCTGGGCTGTTAAAAGGGGGCACTGATCTGTGAAAAAGAATCAGTCATAAGAAAACAAGAACCCATTTTTTCCCCTTAGATGTCTTATTTTTCCTTGGGGAAATAGGTCTAGTCATTGATTTTCCATTACTGCAGACCTTGCCTTCTCTCTCTGTTTAGGTGCTTTGTTTCTGATTGGTTGTCACTCTAGTGTTGGGAAAATAGGAGACTGGGTGGGAGGGGTTGTGCTATGGCTGTAAACCCAGGAATATCTAGTCAGGCTGTGGTTCATTTAAGGGTCTCCCTTTCTCCTGGCATGACTGAGCAGCCGGAAGTGGCTGACTGCTTACCCTCCCTTGCTTGTGTCTTTCAGGAGGATTTCCACTTCCATTCCATTTACAAGGCCAGGCTGTCTGAATTTCCTTTGGATGATCTGCCATCTGGTATGACATTTATATACTGACTTTTTGTTTTAAAAAGCAACTTCAGTAATTCATCTGATGCCTTAGAACTTATACACATGTGAAATATCATTAGCCCACAACTGCTTGTGACTTTTTTTGCATAAAGTTACATAAAGAGGGCGAATAAAATGCTAACTGGCCTCTAATTAATACGGGATGAATTCCGAAGATATGGCTTATTATTACTACTAGCTCGAGGAATTATTGACATATAGAAGTAAAATATGTAAACTCTGGATGAAATACTGGTTCTGTGAACATAGGAATGAATTTCTTTTCCTGTTTGTTGTTTTCCTCATTGTCTCAGTCCATTCACTGTTGTTGCACAGTATCTGACACCATGTAATTTACAAAGGATGCAGGTCTGGGTGGTAGTTCTGCAGGCTGGCAAGTCCCAGAGCAGGTGTTGGCACCTGCATGCCATCTTGTTAGAACCCTGTGCAGAAGGTGTCACACAGTGAGGCAGAGCAGGTGTGCCAGCTGCAGTGTGTCCTCCTCTTCTGATGAAGCCACTGATGTCACCCAAGGACCGTACCCTTGTGAACTTATTCACAAATGCTTTGCTTTAACACCATATGCAAACGCCATCAGTATGGGACTTTGATCAGTAAGATTTTAACACAGAAACTTTTGGACCCAAGCATAGTATTCACTTCTCTATTTTTTTTTTTGGACAGAACATTTTAAGAAAAAAAAAACTAGTATAGACCAACATTTTATTTTTATTATGTGCTATTTTGAAACTATTGTTTTCTACTCACATGTATTTATAGGCACACTCATGGAGAGATTGTGGTTTGAGAGCTGCCTTCCGCTCTGCACAGCTTGGAAGGAGCGTGCACCTTTTCCCTTGGCCTCACTGGTGGAGCCGGGTGCTGTGGGCACGGTTGTATCTGGCTTGGTGCATCATTCGTGCTTTCCTTGTAATAAGATGCCGATTTCTGGTGTGGAGCTGTTCCTCCTCTCCTTACGGAAAGCCATCTTCATGTTTAATTCCCTCATCATCTTTGCAGCAGTTCTGTATGATTCCCGTTTTTCCGTAGTGTGAAGGAGCAGAGCCCGAGCTGTTTTCCTTTTACAGGGTTTACACAGCTATGAGAGGGGAGAGTTGGGTTTTGGATTGTGACTCAGTGAAAAGGTTCTCTAGGAGACAGGCAAATGAGGGGAAATGGGAAAGTTGTGAATCTAAGACCAAATCCCAAGCAAGCGCATAGAAAGTTTAAAGTTGACTGCTTTAGAAAGTTAGAAGTTTAAAGCATATCTTCACCTTTTGCTAATACTCCTTTGTCTCTTAAATAAGACTGTGTGGACTCCTGCGGCTTCCTGCTGCCACCAGGCCAGAAGATCCTGTTGGGTAGAATTCACCCTTGTAATTTTTGCAAGCAAAAACTCTGATGCTCTGGCTTGACACGAACTCTTCCTTCTGTAACTTTATGAAACTTTATGATTCCCCTTAAGGGAAGAAAATAAATCAAAGCTAGCTGCCTGAAAACTACAATTTAATAGATGTTACTGGAAGCAGCCAGCATTAATTAGTATTTAAGGTAATAAATATTTTCCCTGAAGACTTTCTTGTGGGCATGTTATGATACAGGCTTACCAGATTTCTTGAGCTTTGTGCAGTACAAACTTTGGAAATGACTCAGCAGTCTTGTTATTAAAATGGTTCTTAGGCATATTCTTTGAAAACTTAGGTTTGCCTCAATTATTTGCTATTTTTCCTTTCTCCTAATTTTGTACAACAAATCCCACTCTTAAGGTGGAGGTTGGAATTGTCAATTTTTAGAATGGATTTTTAAAATTACTGTGATTAATATAATGAATTAGAAGAAAATGAGAAACAACTAAATGTTAGAACTCCAGTGTTTGTGAAATGAACTTAAAAGTAAGCGTATTTGTTTTAGGTTGGGTGCATTTAACTGGTTTGTGGATGATCTCCATCTTAATCTTATTGTTGGCTGTGAGCTCTCAAGACTACTGTTCCTAAGAATACATTTCGGGAAAAGCTTGTTTATTTCTGGTGATCCCTTAACATCCAGTTCTTAAAGATTGAAATGGTCCAAGAGCCAGTGTTGTAGCAGAAGGAGCAAAGGCATGGCGATGCCAGTGTCCCATGGATGCTGGCTTGTGTTCCAGCTGCTGCACTACGTATCCAGCAGTCTAGGAGAAGCAGTGGAGGCTGGCCCAGGTACTCGAGCCCATGAACCCAGATGGGAGACTTGGAAGAAGCTTCTGACTCCTGACTTCCTTCCAGCCCACAGCTGGCTGTTGTGATCATTTAGGGAATGAACCATTGGGTGTAAATCTCTGTCTTCCCATTTCTCTCTCTGTAGCTCTACCTTTTAGTGAGTCTTTGAAAAGTTAGAATGATTGGGGCAGGCATCTGTGAACTAGTAGTAAAACTGCCACCTGAGATGCTGGCATCTCTTATGGGTGTTGGTTTGTGTCCTGATTGCCCCACTTCCAACCCAACTCCATGCCAAAGTCCTGGGAAAATCAGCACAAGATGACACAAGTGGTTAGGCTCCTGTCATCCATGTGCGAGATTCTTTGGAAATTCCTGGCTTCTGGCTGCTGGTTTTGGGCTGGCCCAGTGTTAGGTGTTGGGCCATCTGGGAAATGAGTTTGTGGTTGAAACATCTCTCTCAGTGCTCCCCCCTCCCTCATTCCCGTCTTCCATTGCCCCCATAAAGTCACTTAAATGAATCTCAATAACAATGATAAAGTCATAAAAATCATTTAAAATTATTTTGTAATTTTGTAAATTGATACATAGTAATTTTTCCCCATGCATGTTGTAACTGCCTATGTGAACAGTTGTGTAGTACTTTGGGGCAGCAGTGTGATTTCAGAGAACTTTTTGGTTTATACAGATAATACCTAATAACAACAATTACGCTTCACACTGTCATGTAACGTCATTCGCATTAGAAGCTGCACATCAGACATCTTCATGTCATTCAGTCATGTCAAAATCTTATGAAATAGATACCACGGGGAATGAGTTCAGTTTCTGCTTCACTTCATAGGCATATCCTCCAGTATAAATAGGCTTGCTTTTATCCAGTGTTAAATCTGTATGCAGAAACAATGGATATTAATGTTGACAGGTCAGGGGAGATCAGATTTCACTTCTGTTCCCAAGATGAGAAAAGTCAGGCAAATTTTGTTACAGGTGAAGAAGTATGCCAGTTAATTGGAAAATTAATTGAAAACTTGAGTGCTCTATAGTAATTCCTTAATAAATCATGAGCTTATAAATGTGTGATTATTCCACTTGTTTTTGTGTGTGTGTGCTCTTCTTTCATTTGTTTTGCCCTTGAAGATTGGCTGTTTAGAAGTCTCCTGTCAAAGAAGTGATTATATTTATAGGAGAAACGTAAACAATTTTGATACAAATTGGTACAAGAATGATATTTGAGATCTTGTACATTATATTCACTCATTGTTTATAATAACTGTCAGATAACATCTTATAATAATGGTCTGTGAGGTCATTAGTGCAATAATATATAGTAGGAAATTTCAAAAAGCTTGTGGAAACAGTAATTCAAAGAAAGTTTATATTGTAGAAAATAAATTCTTACATTCACTCACAGTTTTCCATAATATGCACCTTCTGTGAACTTTTTAAATACCTTGTAATGTATAGAGTTCAAAAACAATTTTACAAATAACATGTTTTAATTTTATTTTCCTTTAACTTCTCATAAAATGTATTCAGTTCATAACAAGGAAAGATCAGCAAAACTTTGATTTCATGTCTTTTATTAGAAAAAATATTGTTTTAAGTTTATTTGAATGGCAGAGGATGGAGACAGGGCAAAAGAAAGAGAGACAAGTTCCATCTATTGGTTCATTCCCCAAATGACCAGGTCCAAGCCAGGAGCCCAGAGCTCCATTCAGGTCTCCCACATGGATGGTGGGGGGCCCAAACACCTGGCCATTTTCCACTACTTGCCTAGACACACTAACAGGGAGCTGAATCGGAAGTAGAGGAGACAAACAAACAGACAGATGAAGTGAAGCAGCAGGGACTCAATCCCTATATGGGATGGCAGTGTTGCAGTTGGTGGCTTAACTCACTGTGCCAATCTACTGCCTGAGCCCTGATTTCCCTGTGTTAAAGAAACATGGCAAATGTACTAAGTTAAATTTACTTTGTTTGTTTTTATTTGCTTTCAGAATTCCAGAAAGCAGACACCAGTCTGCCAAAATTTACTTTCAAGTCAAGACCAAAAAGGAGCATACAGCAGGTATGTGTTTGCAGGTCTCTGTTGGGATGTTTTAAAACACTCAGCTGCTGCTGGTCCTTGGACTCTGTGTTGTCTCTACTTAACAAGAGGTGCAGGTGTCTGGCAGCATGGCTGATGGCAAGGGTGGCAAGTCTGGAAGCACAATGGAATCGAGGCTACATTGTTTGGTAGACTGAGAAGATTCCACCCAGCAGATCATCCTAGGATTCACACCGGGAGGATGTGTTGTGAGGGCGCAGGTTGTACCATTTCAGCCTCTTCCCAGGTTGTACCCAGGTTGTACCATGAGCCTCTGCCCTCTCACCAGGCAGTCTGTGTGTGTACCACCTGTCCTTTTTTTTTTTCCTTTTTCTAATCTTTCAGCAGGGGCGGGGAGCCTTTTTTTTTTTTCCCTGCCAATTTGTAGCATTGTGGGTCATATGAAATTATCATCTTAAAACCTAGTTGTCTAGGGATTGGTTGAATTTTGATTCCCACCTGTTGTTGCCTTGGCAGAGACAGACCTAATGATTTCAAGCTCATGGGCTGCTTGTTGTCCACCCCTGGCTAACTACTTTCTAAGGATCAATCTGTCAAGTTTAGAAACCAGAAAATTGTTCCCTCTTATTTGAACTACCATGGAGTCCGTAATATAAAATTAGGACATACCTGGATCTGAGACTGAGTCATCTGTTCATACAGTGCTTCAAACCATGTGAAGGAGGCGTGGCTGGTTACTCCCCTTTCACAAGGACAGACATGATGACTCTCATAGGTGACTGTGATTCACCAAGAATTGTAGATGTAGTGAATTGGCTGAACAAATCAAGAGGACTGGTCATCAGGATCTGGATGTCCTCACTGGGGTGGAGATGGAAGTCGTGGTGAGTGTGCAAGTGTATTTGTGTGACTTAGAGGGAGAGAGGATGAGAGGAAGATGAATTGGTTGAAGGAACTGGTCCTCTTAATTACCTTGACATAAGAAATGTTCATAATCAGATTTCTGATTGCTACATGCCATTGAATATTTGCCACATGCACAGCCTAATTGTAAGAATTTTAGCTATATGAACATGTTTAACCCTGGTGGCACCCTTTCAAGCAAAATGTTTTTCTTATTGTCTCCTATTTTGTTGATAAAGAAAATGAAGCTTGTAGGTTTGAGAAATTCCTCCACCATCATACAGTTACCCAGTTGTGATACTGAGGTTCTGACCGGGGAAGCCTGGTCTCCAAGAGGTGCATGGAACCTCGGGTGCCCTTTTTGCTGCCTCTCAGAGGCTTGTGTGTTCCACATACAGGCTCTGTGTGTGGTGTGAACCACTTTTCTCTCTAGTTGCTCCTCCTGTCTGTCTGTACAATCATGGATTCAGTCAACCATTAATTGAAAACCTTTGAGAAAAAAAAGCTATTGCTTGTTTACTGAGCATGTGTGGACATTTTTTATTGTTGTTTCCTAAACAAGAAAGTGTCCCAAAGAGTTGCATAATATTTACATTGCAAGTTGCATTTTAAGGAATCTAGAGCTGATTTAAAGCTTACAGATGCATGGGGTCTATGCAGATACTATGTTTTATGTAAGAGACTAAAGCATCCAAAGATTTTGGTATTCATGACAGTCCTGGGACCAATCCCTCAGGTGGACATATACATATGCATATATATGTATATCAAGATCTTCATCCTACACACACACACACACACACTCTGGACACACATGGATACAGTGAATGTAGATCCTAAAACCTGGTTAAGTAAAAATGATTACCATTATTATTTAATTTGAAGTAGTGATTTGCAATCATTTAAGTAGTGAACCAGCAGACAGAAGATCTCTCTGTCTCTGCATCTCTCCTCTCTCTCTGTGGCTATGACCTACAAATAAAAATGCCCTTAAAAAACTGAAAGAGACTTTTTGGGCAGTCTTTTGTATTAGCTAATCATTCTCTTCCACAGTTAATAAAGCAGATCATGTCATCCTAAAAATATCTGTTGGGTTTCTTATATTTGTTTGTCTTATTTTGTTGTTTTGAAGACTGTTGTCATTGATTATAGATTGCTACTCATCTTTGCTTTTCCATCTCTGGTTTATACTCTGTTTTCTATCAGTTTTATGTAATCAGTTTTTTTCTTTCATGTTTTAAAGGATGTGATTAGCAATGAGATAAAAATCTTTATGGTCCTTTTAAGTTCATTTTAAATGCAACACTCCAAATAAATAGATATGTTTTGACTATAGGTGTTAATCACAAACAATGGCCTTGTTAAGTAAGTGAAAAGTATTTTCTGGGAGTGGTCATTTGACACAGATTTTAAGATGCCCTGTTGTGTCTATGGAAGTCCCTGGGTTGGCTGTCCACTCAGCTTCTGATTTAGCTTCCTGCCGATACTCGCTGTGCAAGGCAGCAGGCAACACCTCCTGTCCTTGGGCTCCTCCTACTCATAGATTGACCCAGATGGACATCTGGCCTCTCAGCTTTAGGCTCGCCCAGCCCGCAGCTGCTATGGGCAGTTACAGAGGGAGCCGTGACCGGCAGCTCCACTTGTTCTCTGCCTTTCTAATAAATGAATAAAATTTGAGTATTTCACTTGAAAAAATATGTATTTAATCTTGGTCTGAAGGAGCAGGTTAACTCTGCAGCTCTTGTAAAAGATTGTTAAAGTCCACCTGCAGAGATCAAACAGGATGGCTGCCTCAGTATCTGCTCCTGCCACTCATATTTATGGTTATGATTGTAAATGGAGAAAATTGGTCATGGAGCCGACAGCTCTAGCTCTGCTGGGCTCTGCATGACTGGCCAGGAGCTCAGGGTGCAGTTTCAGCAAAGCCCCTGTGTTGCCTCAGGATTCTCTGAACCACACCCCAGAAAAGACCCTTTCAATCAGAGATTTGCAGACTCTAGAAAGTGTCAGTCACCTGATTGTGCCCTCTCAGAAATCCTCAGGGGCTTAAATTTAAATAAAGAATGCTCTTACCGTGTCACTCTATGATCGACTGTTAAGCAGAATTAGCTAGATGCAGCAGACAATGAAACGTGGGCATGCAAATGAAAATGCAGACTCACCAAAGGCTTTGTGTATGTCTGGTTTCTCCCATATCGTTTTATACTTATTTTTGAACCGTGTAGATGAATTACCTGTTTGTAAGCAAAGCAACTAAGTGAACATGGAAATATATATGCTAAAGGAATAAAAGTTGACCATTTTGTTATGTTAATTTCTTCCTATTTCTAAGCTCTCCCTCTCTGAGTTTAGAGGGCTTATTCATGTATGTTTCCTTTGCCGTGTTGCAGCATCTTCGACATCCTCGTGATGTAGAAGAGGAAACCAAGTACATCGAGCTGATGATTGTGAACGACCATCTTATGGTAGGATTTGCTGCTTTAAAAAAATAGCTTGTCCATACCTTTGGTGAAGCTGGTAGGTTCAAGAATAAGAACTCACAAAGTTATAGTTGGGCCTATTTGTGAACCAGCAACAACCTGTAAGAATAAGGCATATGATGTAGAAATACTAGCTAGAAGTAATTCGTGAGTTCCCAGAAGCATTTCTGTGATTGATAATATTAATTTTTTGGATTTGCTTCATCAGTGTAGGTACTCGTGTTTGAATGTCCTCATCCAATACGGCAAGGTCAAGGGAAAATGGGAACTTTCATTTTCTGTTGAAACAGTGAGTCGCTGGTTATATGTCCATTTATTTTGCAATATATGGCTATATGTTAATAAAAGAAGGGCAGTTTTCCTCTTCCTTTCTTACCATGGAGAAAACCATATGGAAATGCTTCTATGGATACATGTGAAGAAGTTTAGGATGAGAACTTGGCACAGTGCCCCTCCTTGTTTAGTCAGTTATTTTGAAACCAGCATGTATATACTTAATTTATGGCAAGCTTCAGTCAATATGGTGAGCTTTATCACACAGAAGGTTATGCTTTTGATTATCCCATGTAACCAGAATGTTAAATCAAAGAGGTTCGATTAGTGCACATCTCTGAATTTAACTGATTTCAGATACAAGGATTTGTTAATTTACTTCATTTGATTTAGTTGAGGGGATAATGTGCCACTTACTTGTATATGATTAATCAAATAGTATGCATTGTAGCCACCCTTGTAATAATGCAATCAAGATTGAGTGTTACTTCGTCATGCAAGCTATTTGAATCCTGTGAATGCTTTTGTCCTCCTAGATTTTTGTAAAACAATAAGCTAAAAGAACACATTTTAAAATATTTTGGAACAGTTATAAATTCAGGGTTCTGCAACTACCTCTGACAGGTAACAAGTGAAGTGAACCAGATGCAGGGTCTAAGTAGGGAAGGGCGCTGGGGAGAAAGAGAAGGCCAGCGTGGTGTCAGGGAGCAGGATCTGTGCTCTGGCTGCCTGTGCTTCATGGTGATGCTGCTTTGAATTGAAGCCAGCACACTGTGAATTCTGAAACACCACTGGGGCCAAACTGAAGGTAGATGGGAATCCGCCCTTATCCTGTCATCCTTTGAAGACCTCAAGGGCTTGTTCTTACCAAATAATGACAAAGTGCTGTGCGTGGTGAATTCTAAGACTGGTTGCAATGCTCACATTCACTTTTTCTGGCTGTACCCTGCGTAAGTCTATATGTTTAGCAATTCATTGACAACTTTCATGTTTTATCCTCTTGAATCAAAATCCTGTTCAAAGGAATCAGATGAAATGAATGGAAGGGCATTTTCTTCTTCGTCTCACAGAAGGACACCTCAACATTAAGAATTATATTTGTTAAAAAGCCCTAGGGATCTTTCCATTGCAGCATGTTTTCTTTGCTAGGATGTTAATTTCCTGGTGACTTTCAAATCCTTCTCTGGTTTCTCCTTTTGCTTCCAGTTTAAAAAGCACCGGCTCTCTGTGGTACACACCAACACCTATGCAAAATCTGTAGTGAACATGGCAGACTTGGTAAGTTTCCCTGGGTGAGTTTCCCTGGAACTAACGGAGTGGGGAGATGGTTTTTCTAGTTTCTGCGTCCTGAGCTGTAGCTTAACTGGGGTGTCTTGAATGTGTTGGGGTGACACTGTAGTTTATTGACTCTGATTTATGGCTGGGAACCATGAATGGAAATGATCCGAGTTACTTACAGAGGTGCCTACAGTTCTGCCCCATGCATTTTTATGCCCCAGCAGATGAAGGCCGAGTCACAGCCGTGAACCTAGATTCATAGTGCTTCCGGCGACGTGGAACTGGGATACCAGTTGTGCCCTTTCAGGAGTGCCTGGTGCTGTGGTGATGATGTACTTAGTTCCACTGTCCCCAGGCCTTCTCAGGCACCGACTAGGTGGTATAGGAGAGAGTGTACTCATCATTCCCTTTTTAGAGAGAGGAACCCAAGAATGTAGGCACTGTTAGTCTAGGGTGCCAGAAAATCCACTCGGGGGAGCCCTGAGTAGGGTGCAAATATTTGTCCCAAATGGACAAATGTGCTTTGCGGACTGTACTTGGTAAATGTGATTCTCTATTATTCTAAGTAAATGCATGTCAAAGCACCTTAGAAGCAGTTTCCTGCCTGTAACTACAACTCAGGGTATTTCCGTGAAAGGAGCTTCATAGGCCTATTCATGAACCATTTGATCACATGTACAGCTGATGTGTTCATTTTGTTAATACACTAGATATATAAAGACCAACTTAAGACAAGGATAGTATTGGTTGCCATGGAAACCTGGGCAGCTGACAACAAGTTCGCCATATCTGAAAATCCATTGATTACCCTACGTGAGTTTATGAAATACAGGAGGGATTTTATCAAAGAGAAAAGTGATGCAGTTCACCTTTTTTCGTACGTAACTTTTGTGATAATTTATTACCTTTTTTTATGGTTCTGTGTTGAATGCTCTTTTTTGTCTGAGATATATACTGTTATTGCATTTAATATTTGTGATTTGACAATTTAGAAAAGGGCTTAATGTGTAGATGCTTTGAAATTTCAATCAAATCTTAAGAAATTTTGGGTTATTTTATTATTACAAGTCTATTTCAATGAATTTTTCAAGATTTAATCATGATTGATTAAAATACTGTTCATGGTCATGTAGAGTACTCTTAATATCAGATACATTTTTAAAGTTGCCGTTTCAAAATTGTTAATACTGGGTTTTCATTGAAAGGTGAGAATTCAGTGTTTCTGCAGTTTATCTTTTAATTTTTTATTATGTTCTTTCTGGAATGACATACATATTTTCTGCAATAGCAGATTTTTAAATTAGCATTGAGGATCCAAAGTCAGATCTGTTGAGGAAAGTTGTCAGTGGAACTAAAAGCTATAATGTTTTTGTCACATTTGATTCTAACCTAATATCAAATATAGAGAAAGAATACTGCAAGGAAATTAGTAAACCATTAATCCATACTCATCAGTTATTTGTGTTTTCCCCATTTATTATTCCTTTCCTCCCTGTCTTCCTTCCTTCATCCATTTATCCATATATTATTTTTCTTCCTGAATCCTTTGAGAGTTAAATTGGAGATACTTACTTCAGCATGTATTTTTTTCAGAATGAATATGTTCTCTTATATCGCCACAGTAAATTATTAAATCCAGAAAGCGTAACACTAATACTTCTATGTAATCTGTAGTCTGTCTTCCTATTTCTCCAGTTGGCTCATTGTCTTTTGTAGCTGATTTTTAGCCCAGCCAGGATGCAGAGCAGTTTCCTGCATTTCATTGAATCATCATACCTCATAACTCTCCCTCTCCTCTAAGAGAGTCCCTGAGCTTTTGTCTTTTTTGAGCTTGACATTTTTGAGGAGTGCATACCAATCATTTTATAGCCTGTTCATCACAGTGGGGATGTTGGATGTTTTCTCAGTAGGAGATTCACATTATGCATTTTTAGCTGAAGTACCAATTAGGTGATTCTGTATCCTCAGAGTAAGTCATATCAAAGATGCTTTTTTCAACTGGTGTACTTCAGGCTAAGTTGGGTACTGGTTGTGGGGACATATGTTCCTCTCTGACCTTGAGAATCTAGAAGGAGGCAGATGGTATTGACATGGTGTGCATGTTGGGAAGAGAAATGTAGCCAATGAATAACAAAGCATGCTGTGATGTTTGGACTGTGAGCAGTAAGTGTCTCTCGTTTCCTTTTCTGAAGGGGGAGTCAATTTGAGAGTAGCCGGAGCGGGGCTGCTTATATTGGTGGGATTTGCTCGTTGCTGAAAGGAGGAGGCGTGAATGAAGTAGGTGTGAACATCTGTACGATACCCAGTGGTATGATGGCTGAAGACGTTTCTCTAATGTTACAGGCGTGCTCTCGCGGTGTTGCCCCTACTCCAGCTGTTAGCCTGACTCTCCATCAGAGTGGGCATGACTAATAGCCGGGGAAAGACTTGGGAAATCACAGAATCATGTTTTACTTAGCGTGACTTCCAGGTTCAGCCTGGTGTGTTTTCAGATGATACAGAGATCATTCCCTTTACCCTCCCTCACTGGAGTCCCCTGGCATTCCGAATGCTTTTCCAGAAAGCTCAGTGAGTTCTGGAAACTTTGGGTGCCCTCCTAAAACCCCGTTGGGTATTTTCTTATCTCTACAGGATTTGGCAGATTTGGGAAGAGGAAAAATTGGGGGAGGGATTTTCCAAAAGACCCCTTTTATGCCTGAGGCACTCAACTAGATAGAAGTGATCTAAAAGAAAACATCCATATCTTGGACAGGCTGCAGTTTACACAAATATCATAAGATCCTCTTAGAAAATTTGTATTGGTGCCAGACTGCAACGACTCCTCCTAAGTCATCCCATTTGTTGTCTTTAGCTACATTGTGCACCGTGTGGAGAATACAAGTGCAAGGGGGTGAACGAATTCCAGATAATGTTTGCACCTATATTTCTGTTTTGTATCATCTGAAACGCTGGCTTGATCACAGTTTAACATACATCTCAGTGGAGAAATTTGGGCTCAGGTTTAGTTTCAAGTTTCCAAACTCAAAAATTGTTAACTCTCCAGCTTTTCATCTCCCCCATAAGACCTAATGCAACATGAATTGATTTCTTATTACTTCTTCCCAGACACACGCTCAGCACTAGCTACCGACATGCTAAGCTTCTGATGCGGAGAAAGCTCAGAAATTGCTTACTGTCGATTGTATAGTGGCACTGTGTCATGCCCATCATGAAAAGCAGTTTGTATTTAAATGTTTAATTTTTCTTTGTCTTCCAGTTTGGGAAACCGGATTTAATGGCAGTTACCCTTGCCCAGTCATTAGCCCATAATATTGGTATTATCTCAGACAAACGAAAGTTAGCAAGTGGTAAGTTTTGGTACATGTTTAGCTTATTTGTGTTTAAAATACACCCCTCTAAGATACACAGGTACTTGGTGACAAACCAAGTGTTCCTGATGCTTAACCTGTGTATACTGCCATCCACTTGGAGCCTTCATACCAAACTTTTACCAATGAGTGAGAAATTGTCATCGTTCCCAGAAAGGCATATGAAACTGGATCCTGTATATTACCATAAGCTGTTAGTTTATTGTAATTGGTTATGGGTTGTCCTTCATTTAAAGCATTGTTAAACACATCAGAAGATTTTTGTTATTCTATTCAAATTATATTGTCTTGGTAGTCCCATGTATCTATTTGTTGTTAACTATTGCATAACAAAACTTCTAAGTATAAGAACTGTAGTAAGATATTTAAGACAGAAAGCCAAGAGGATTTTTTTTAATATATAGAAACAGATGCAGTTGTGTTCACTTTCTAAGAAGACTTGTGTGTCCATTTCCTCCTAGGTGAGTGTAAGTGTGAGGACACCTGGTCAGGATGCATCATGGGCGACACTGGGTGAGCCACTTCTCTGTGACAGTCACTCCCTCCTCCTTTCCTGCTGTGCTCTTGTCTTAGGAATGTGACACTCAGCAACTGGCTGTATGGAACCTCATCACAAGCATTTATGACAAAACTGAAAGTAAATCTTCTTTCTCTAGAAAAGTATTTAAATGTATATTATTTGAAAAGCAACAAGACAAAGACAGAGATCTCACATGTGTGGATTCAGTCCCCCAGATGCCAGCGACAGCTTGGCCTGCACTAAGCCAGGCAGGCGCCTTCCTGACGGGGCAGGCGCCCTTTCCCCCTTGGGAGGCAGGACAGAAGCGCTTGAGCCATCCTCTGCTGCTCCCCAGAATTCACGTTTGCAAAAAAGTGGATCTGGAGCAAAACACTATCATGGGAGGCAGCTGACCCAAGTGGTAGCTTAATTGCAGCAAAAAATGCCCACAGCGAGACGTGTTGTTTCTCATTTTATTTCAAAATAGTTTTAAATTTAAATTGTGAGGTAGTTAGTACCAAAAGTTTCCGTATACCCCTCACCCCATCCCATAGTAACATCTCGTGTTACAATGAATGGACCTCATCCGGCTTCTCTTGGATTTTTAACTCCATACCCCTGCTATCCCTCTTACCGCTCGCATGCAGTGTTCAGAGTGTGTGTGTTTGCTTATTTGCTTTTCTTTTAATTTTAGCTCCCATATGCAGGGGAGAACATTGATCTTTGTAGGTGTCTGGCTCACTTCCTTCAACTTGATGTTCTCCAGTTCCATCCATTTTGTTGCTCTGTGAGTCTCCGTAGTCTCAGGGGTGGGGCTCAGACTTCCTTTTGTAGAATTCAGGAGTATGTGCTCCTTCTCAGGTGGATTTACGGTCTCCTTTTCCACTTGCTGTTTGTGATCACATTGCTTTCCTAACTGTGCATGTGTTTCCTGCAGTTTTGATTTGCTAACCAAGATCCTCCATGGGATTTTGCCTTCTCCATGTTTGCTCCTCCTGACTTCGCACGCAATGCCTTCCCCCTCTTTCCTCTAGCATATTCCTAGCCATCTGAGGTATATTAAGATTTTTAACCCCTGCAGGTATTTATGCTTCTTCCAACCAGTTTGTTATACATTTTTAAGGGATTACATTTTATGCTCATTTATATGCCATTCTTCCACACCATAATCCTTCATATAGACTTGGTTTTCAATAAATATTTATTGATTGCATTTGAATTTTGAGTTTTTGGTATGTCTGACAAAGAATATTAATATTGGAGGGAATGTGTATGCAAATATATATTTTAAGCATGTTTTGAAATGTCCTTGGACTTTTTCTTTAGTTTTGACAGGTAATAAAGGTGTTTGTGTTGCAGTTATAACATTTTAACAATTAGGAAAGTTTATGCTAGAAGTTCTTGTATTATGAAGGCTCTGTAATACATTTTATTATTTTTATGATTTAAAAAAAGAAGTGCATAGGGCACAGCACAATAGCCTAGTGGCTAAAGACCTTGCCCTTAACATGCTCCGGGATCCCATATGGGCACCAGTTTGTGTTCCGGTGACCTTGCTTCCCATCCAGCTCCCTGCTTGTGGCCTGGGAAAGCAGTCGAGGACAGCCCAAAGCCTTGGGACACTGCACCCATGTAAGACACCTGGAAGAGGCTCCTGGCTTCAGTTCTGCTCAGCTCCAGCCATTGCAGCCACTTGGGGAGCAAATCATTGGACAGAATATCTTCATCTCTATATCTGACTTTCCAATGAAAATAAATAAATCTTTAAAAAGTGTATAGTCTGCATAGCACTTTGCATACTGTATAGCAAAATCATATGGCGGCCTTCACATATGCATAGCTTTTGCATTAGAGCTTTTGTTACATTATCTAGATACAAGCAAGAGAAAAGCTCTTTATATACAGTACTATGTGATCTGTTTCTATAATTTAATCTATGTTAAACATCACCTAGCACTACTGGTAATGGACGTGTGTCCATGATTCTCTTCCACTTCTACTTTTTGAGTTTCTGTATTCCTAATTGTTGCCAAGCATGGTAGAAATGAGTAGCATCAGTTGTATTTACAAGTCAAAAAAGTAAAATGTTAAGAGTGCATTGAATACAACAGATATTCACATCCCAAAACAGGGGCCATGGCAATACCCTCAGATGTTTGAAAGGCAGTGTGGAGGTGGTATTCCTCCATGATAGAGGATTATGACTTGAGGTAATTAGAAACACAGAACTATGGGTGAAAGTTTTAGGAAGTCAGATGTAGCAAAGAAATGGTAGGTATTTGAGGATATGGATATGTTTTCACTGATTGGACAGTACTCATTTTGCATGTAATAAAAATGCCACATCATATCCTGTAAATACGTACAACTGTTATAAGTTAAAACGTGTAAAGGAAAAATTTAGTGAATTACTATACCTAAGGATGTACTCATTGTGATGGCTCTTAATGCACATTGCCAAATTGTTCTCAGAGCAAGTTTTTTTTTAAATTTTATTAGCCTTTGATCCTTTTTTTGCTATATATATTTTTAAAAGGTGTATTTGATTGTTTGAAAGTCTGAGTTACAGAGAAAGAGGGGAGAAACAGAGAGACAGAGAGATCTTCCATCACCTGGTATCCCTGAGCAGGTGAGCACAATGGCCAGGTGGGCCAGGCTGAAGCCACAGCCAGGAGCGTTATCCAGGGATCCCATGAAAGAAACGTGGGCCCTCTACTCCTGCCTTCCAAAGCTGGTAGTAGGGGGTTGGATTGGAAGTGGAGCAGCCCGGACTCAAAGCAGCATCACAGGCAGCAGTCTTAGTGCTGTGCCACAATGCTGACCCCAGCATACATATTTAAATCTGAAACTTGAAGAAAAAGTACAAGATTAATGACAATAAACCATTTCATTCTTTGAATCATAAATTGCTAATTTGGTGTCTTCTCACCCCCAAATACCTTAGTGGGCATTTTTTAGCAAGTTCATGTTTCAACATAACTGCAGTTCAAACCATACAACCATCTAATGCTTAGCTCTCCTTCAAGGTAATCTTACATTTCGCAACATCGTTTATGACAGAAGGCTGAGTATCAAGCATCACTTTTAGTTTTCTGTCTTTTTAACTTCTTTCAGTCCAGAACAATTGCTTAGTCTGTCTTCACCTATTGTGACCTGACACATGCATGGATTAGAGGTTGCGTATTTTGTAGTATGCTCTGCAGTTCCATCCCAGTTTTAGTAATTGGGAAATATCTCTCGTACCATAATTTTGCTCTAACTTTCATTGAGTTAAATTACAGGTCCTATTATGTGTGTGTCTCTGTTGAATGAGTGTACAACTACCAAACAACCCATAGTTGCCAAGTGAAGAACTGAGAATTCTATGTTGAAGCAAAATTCATAGAGATGAAATACAATATCATGCATAAGTGAATTTTTAATAGGATTCAGTTTTCAGAGTACTAGACAGGAAGACACAGCTGTACCTATGGAATTGGATTTGCTTCTCTCTTATAGCTATTATCTTCCTAAAAAGTTCACCCAGTGTAATATCGAAGAGTACCATGACTTTCTGAACAGTGGAGGTGGTGCCTGCCTTTTCAACAAACCTTCCAAGGTAATAAATGTGATCGAGTTATGAAATCTTCTGTAATACAATAAGAACAGGTTTTTATCTTTAAAGAAAGAACTTATGTTTTCTTGTATCCATGAAATAACTTTGTTCTTCAGAAATAAATATTCTTAGAAAGATTCTCTCATGGGTGCTTAAAGTTTGGTCCTCACCACAATTTTGAGATGTAAATGCACAGCTAATAGATGTTTCTGGTCAAAAATTAAAGTCTCTTGAGATGCGCCATGGTTTTGCCCAGGATTATCAGTTGAACCAAGATTTTTAATTCAAAGATTCTGGTGTAAATGCCTTACTTTTTGTCAGAACTTAAATTTCAGGAGTCAGACTGGCTTGGTTTTAGTCAGTAGCTAGGATATGTTTTTATTCCATTGAACCAGATCCTATTTGGCTGAAGAAGGTACTTCAAGTTTCTGGGAAATAAACTAGCAAATTAAACTCAAAAAAATTTGTACAGTAAAATTTGAAATTCAGATGTAGCTCTTTTTCATAGCATGCATTCTTAGGAACTTTTGACACTCTATTTTATGCATGGATTTCAAACATTTTTGTACCCAAATAAACTTGGCTTTAACTTCTCTTTCTCTCTGAACCTTTTGAAACACTACCATCCATAAACATGCATGTAAACACATTTACATATGTTAAATAGAGAGTGCTCCAAGATCTAATCGTATCTTATAGCGTAGGGAAATAGAAAAACATGTTTTGTAGTGACGGTCCGGTTGCCGGGTGTGTACGAGTGAAATGGTCTGTCGGTCTTCTGGATTTCAGCTCCCTCTTGGGTTTTCCTCCCTCAGCTTCTTGATCCTCCCGAGTGTGGTAACGGCTTCATCGAAACTGGAGAGGAGTGTGACTGTGGGACTCCTGCTGTAAGTCTCGGGCTGTTCTGATGATGTTTTCAGATCGTTTGAGGACGTTCCATATCTGTGCACTGAGCTACAGCAAATGTCTTAATGTCTTACTAGGAAGCTTTTTAAAAAATTTTATTTATTTGCTTGAAAGCCAGAGTTACGGGGAGAGGAGAAAGAAACTTCTCACACACACACAGAAACAGAGAGAAAGAGATCTTCATTACTGTGGTTTATTCTCCAGAGGGGCAAAATGGCCAAGGCGGGGCCAGGTTGCAGCCAGGGGCCAAGAGCTTCTCCTGGATCTCCCAATCAGTGACAGTCCCAAACGCTTGGGCCACCTTCTGTCGCTTTCCCAGGCCATTAGCAGGGAGCTGGGTTGGAAAAGGAGCATCCAGCGCACAAACTAGTGCCCATATGGAGTGCCTGTGCTGCAGGTGACAGCTTTACATGCTATGCTGCAACAACACCGGCCCCATTACTTGGAAGCTTTATGGGATTTGTGGAAAAAAATATTGTTCATGCATTTAATTTTAGAAAATATTCTTATATTTTCAGGACAATGCCATCATCATCATCTTCTTTTTTTTGCAAATGTTTCTGTTCCTTAGGAATGTGTCCTAGAGGGGGCTGAGTGTTGCAAGAAATGCACATTGACTCAAGACTCTCAATGCAGTGATGGTCTTTGTTGTAAAAAGTGCAAGGTAAATGAATATGAATTAATTAACAGCATCCAACATGCATTAAGTTACTAAATTCTATCTGCTTAACAGGATGTTTATAAGTTTCGAGGGCAATAATAATTCCCATATCACTGATGAGAACACTGAGGCATGTGGTGGCTCAGTAGTTGGTCCAGGTCTTGCACCAAGCGGTTTGGGAATCCAGGGTATGAACCTCTTACTCCCTGAGGTCTGAAAGTGGACCTGTGGTGTGAAACCAGATGTTACTAGTCGTAATGGTTTTTACCCATCTTCAAAAAGCCAAGGAGGTATTCGATGGCTGCTTCTTTTCTTGTGACTCAGCTTAATATGGTTCTCATATTGTCTGTTAAGGCATTAAAAAGGAATACTTTTAGATATGCTTCCTTACAAAATGTACACTTGCCTGATTTTGTCTTCCTGATAGCGTTTTCATAGCTGTCTACAAAGACGCGAGCCTTGGTGGCAAGACTGATGCTTGTTTGGGAGCAGAGCCAGGCACTTACGCAGTGATCAGTACAGGTTCTCAGTAATTTGCTGGGTGAATGAAACAGTCAGCACGGTGCTCTCAAGGCCTGCTCGATGACTGACTTCGGTCAAAAGAGCTGCAGGAGGGCCAGACCAAAACACACTGTGTGCCTGAGGTTGCATCCGCACTTTTTGTGTCATGAATAGAGCTGCATGCCTCAACCCTGTTGGTAGATTTGGGCGATCCCTTAGTGCTGTGAGGGTGTGCCGTGTGCATTGCAGGATTTTTAGATGCTAACAGCATTCCTTCTTATTGTCACAACCAATAATCTCTCCAGACAGTGCCAAATGTTCGCTTGAGGCCCCATCGCTCTGCCTGAAACCATTGTTGTAGTGTTCACCAGTACCCTTTTGAGATGAGCATATCTTCCTGACGTTTACAATTGAGTGATCCTAATCTCAAGACTGCTAAATGCTCTGGACGGAATAAGAGCGATTCCATCCCAGTTGGCTGGCAGCTGCCCCTGTGGTTTCCATCCTCCACTGTGTCTCCTGGCAGCTCTTAGTGACAGGCAGAGCTCTCAGAAGAAGGAAGACTAAATCATACGGGAAACAGACACTCTTTGATTTTGGCTACTGCAACTGTTTATTCTGTGAGCTTTTCCAAGTGCCATAACAAGGGATCCCAAATGATTTCTCTTAATCCTTGAGTTTTTAAAGTCTGCCAGTGATTAAAATGCACTCAATTACGCTTTCTTCTCCCTTGATTTCTAGAATTAGACTCTGCACCATAATCATTTCAAGGAGCATGTACAACAAAATATGGTATAATATATAAGATGAAATAACATAACTACTGCCCTACAATATAAATTACAGCTGGGTTGTTTGTTTTGTTTTCTTTTGCCACTTTCTTCACTACTTATTCCAATCACTTCTCCATCCGGCCTCTTCAGGGAGCCAGAAGCAGAGTAGTGGATGGAGAAGGGAGAGTAGAACAGGATGTGAATTGGTGCATATCTGTATTTCCTCTGCAAGTGTTTATACTCATATGCCTGTAAGTCAGGCATCAGTGAACTTTTCCTATAGGGCTACGTAGTGAGCACTCAAGTCTTACCCCGCTTCCTCAATTCCGTCTTTGAAAGCAGCTGGTACAAATGCTGAAACAAATGAGCATAACTGTGTTCTGATGAAATTTTATTTGTAAAGACAGCCAGCCAGCCACAGTTGACCTTCAGACTAGACTTTGTAGACCCCTGCTGTGAAATGTTGCTTGTTTACATGTTTGTACTGTTTTTCCTTTCGTGATGGAAGGGGTTTTAGTTACTCTATCCCTTGCTGTATTCTAGCACTTGGAGCAAGTTCTCCCTCACTAAGCTTTCCTGTGAAGTTTCCTTCCTGGAAGTTGTTGGGCATTTATACCCTCATCTAAAGTCTTCATCAGATCTGCTCATAGGAGAATCTTCTTCAGCCATGGCTCAGGATAGTCCTAAGTCATCTTGATTACTTATTTGTATTGCCTACTGATGCCGTAAAAGGTTCTTGTCTTTTGTTCCATATTGAACCCACAGTGGGTAGAGCAACACAGGGTGGCACCTTGTAAGAGATTAGTAAATACTTGACGGATGAACAGATGTTATTCTCTCCTTAAAAATATCTGCTGATAGCTGGAATAGAATTGGCTGAGAGTTTTTGCACATGTCGTGCTGTTGTGGTCCAGGTTTGGGTCAGATGTTTGTCTCTTACTTAAAAAGCCATTTTAGCACAGGCCTCATCACAGCATAAAGTTTATTCAGAGGATGAGGAATCCAGACATACGTGGCTGTGTTCAGGGAGAGTGGGCTGGAAAATGAAAAGATAAGGATGAAGGATTGCTGCATCCTTCCTCACCGTGAAGCACAGTAGGCTTCCCAAGACTCGGCTTTAGTGCTCTCCTCAGTGCCAGCTTTAAGGGCTCTGGAGGGAAACGGTTACACCTTGGTGCAGTGCAGCCCTCCCTACCCCCAACGTTCCAGGTAATGGTAAGTGAGTCATACTTGACTCACAGGTGGGCAGGAGAGTTGTGGGTTCCAAACTCTGTGACCCTTATCTGGCTGCCTGCCTGCACCATATCACCAAGAGCAGGAGACTTGGGTGCTTGGAGGGCTCCCAGCAGCGAGAGAAGATAAACTTGGTACAATAGTGAAAGGAAGTCAAATCCTGGGTACAGTTGTCTGAGCAGAAATACAAGCTTAGAAGGTCCCGGTGTCTGCCTCCAGGGTCTGTAGAGGGAAAAGGAGAGCAAGTGTGATAACATTACCTTTTTTCTAAGGAATCTTGTAATTTATAAATGAATATAAACATTTATTTGTGCATCTCCCACACTTTGAAGTAGTTGAAAACAAAGTGCAAGGAAACAAATTCAACACAGGCACAAATAATGGGAGCATTAGAAAAAAGACCAGGATTTTACCTACATGGAAATTAAAAAAAGGCAAGAAGAAGGGAGGGGGAAAGCTAGGAGGGTGCCTTTGAAAATCAACCTGGAAGCTTCAGATTCTTGGAAAATATGATGAAAGAAGGGAGAAAGAAAGAGAAAGGGGAGGAGAAAAGGAGGAAGTGAGTAACCAAAGAAAGGAGAAAGCGTGGATGCCAACGCTGTCGGGCAGAGCAGAGTTTGGACTTGTTCCCATCTTGTGGAGATGCTCTCCATCCTTCTTCAGCACCTGGAAGTGTGCGCTGGCCGTGAGAATCACACTGAGAGACTGTCTCTTAAAGCAGCATGGTGTTCAGTAGCTGTGGCTTTCACGGAATAGTTTGATAGTTCCTATCTGCACAATTTTCATTTTTCCAGATGATAATATGAATATTTCTTTTCCTTGTACAGTTTTACATGTTAATTTTTTGCTCCTTTTATAGTTCCAGCCTGTGGGGACCGTATGCCGAGAAGCTGTGAACGATTGTGACATCCGTGAAACGTGCTCAGGAAATTCAAGCCAGGTAATTTACGCAGTAATTCTTCTCCTCTCTAGCAGAAAGGCAGGAGTATTTTTAGTGCACTGACTCCAAGGTGCTATCTTTCCCATCACGTTTCCTTTAATTTTTCAGGACTTTGAGTTAGAGTGGTTGAAGTCTGGGCAGCTGTTTAGCATGATTTTGTCTTAATAGGAAGCTAACCTACGACTGCACGCATGCCTTAACTGTTTTATTTTTAAGCAGAGGGTAAAAAGCATTTTATTTTCTACTTAGTGAAAGTGAAAATAAGAACTGCTCTGCCAGTTGCTCCAGGCAGAGATCCGTGGAGGCTGAGTTCCCCCTTCCTCTTTCCTGGCACTTAGCTGACTTAGCTACCCTAGCCACTAACAGTTCTTGAACTTAATAACTTAATTTTTATGCCAGGTCTCTGCCAGGCATGCAGAGATGGATTCTTAATGCTAGTATTTTGTAAAGTGGATTTTGTCCAGGAGGCGTGAAAGGGAACACGCACATGTGTGGATGTAGGCCGTAAGGAAAGGAGTGGGGCAGGGGAGTAGAGAGAAGGCACCTTCAGCACCTCCTCGCATCCTGGTCTGTGCAGTGAGAAGAGGGCCTCCCAAAGGCTGGGTTCTTTGATGAGCTCAGAAGGCGAGCAACCTTTCACCTGGTGCCTTCCTTCCAGCTCCCAGGGATACAACCCAGGAAATGGTGGTTTGATTGATAAGTTATCAGGCACTGTCCATGGCCCAGGGGCTGGTGGCCTGCAGGCACCTCCAGCCCTGTGGTCCTACACTGACTAAATCGTATCAGGATTCCTACACTTAGTATCAGAGTGTCAGAATGCCTGGTTTGAATCCAGAATATTTCAGTTTAGCTTCCTGCTTTGTGCATCCTAGGAGGTGGCAGAATGGCTCAACACTGGAGCCCCTGCCACACACGTTGGAGACCCAGCTGGAGAGCTGAGCTCCTGGCTTTGGACTGGCCCAGGCCTGGTTGTTGCAAGAATTTGGGCATTGCATCTTCTGGGACATTACCTGTTATGTCAGATGCACTTCATTCAGTTTGCCAATAAATTTATCACTGCGTTCCTGTTTGTTTAGAGTCTCTTATTGTGCAACAGCATCACTGGTCCCAGTAAGCTGTTGTTTTCTTTTGTTCCATGTATGTATAATATGAATCTTACTCTAGTCTCATCACTTTGTATTCCCACTACTCTTTTTTGAAAGGCAGAGAGAAAAGCAGAGTACTGCCATCCACTGGTTCACTACCTAAATGCACAAGATCAGGGACCCCAACCCCAAGTGGGTGTCAGGGCCTCAACCACCTGCTGACTCCCAGGGTCTACACTTTCTCTTTTCTCTTTCGAGTGTTCACTTTTGTAAAGATTGGTATTACTTGGAGAAAAAGAGGCAACACAGTTATACACTCTCTTGTCTGTGCAGTGGGCACAGGTGAGCAGCGGCTGATCCAGATGTACTGAAGGAAGTTGTGGCTCTCGAGGCATCTGGCATGTGCCCAGTGATCAGCTGATTCATGAGCTTACTGCATGATCACAGTTTATATATTGTGGTAACTTAACTTATGGCTCTGTTATTGGGGAGCTGCTGTCATTTAAAAAGCTCAGAAACTGAAATTCCTGCATACCAGTGCTGTGCAGAGCAAGGCCTGATTTTGTATTACTTTTTCTGCAGAGAAGAGTGATTCAGTTGTGATATGCATATGCTGAGCATTAAGCAGGTGTCATTTAAAGATAGTCATCCTAAGATATTAAAGATCTTTTGTGTAAAAGTGTTTTTCCTGCTAAGTGGCAGTGTCTTTTAAGTGAATACCTGCCTGCTAATGGTTACCTTTAAAACTCCAAAAAAGAAAGTATATTTTAGACCACATTCCTTGGAATGCGATTTTTATAAGCAGCTGGGAGTTTTTGAAGAATCCTAAATCTAAAAATACATAACACATAACAGGTTGCTTTTGTTGCATTTGTTGTAACAGCAGACGTTGTCTGCCAGTAAATAGAAGTGATTGTTGTACTATATTCAATGCAGTGTGTGAGAGCCTTTCAAAACGGTGTCCATAGAGCAGTTTGTTATGCACATGTAGACAGTAGAATGACCAAAATCACGGGAGATAGCAATATAAAAGAGAACCTGTGATTCGGTCATGCCTGTGTCTTAAAATGTAAATTTTTGCATAAAAATGTTGAGGTTAAAAGGTATCTAAATATAAAAGTCTATTGCTGTTAGGTAGCACATAGTTGCATGGGTGACTTTCGTCTTACTTTTTTCTACTTTCTTTTACATTTCCCAGCTATTCTCAAAGGACTCTGTAATTAATGGAAGAAAATGCAAAATAGGATTTGAAAATTGCCATCTATAAATGTCTGTAAAATAATTGTAATTCTCTACAGTGGCTACAAGAGGGGAATGGAGAGAGAAATTTAATAAAACATTTTCAAAGTAGGCTTGTGCTTCCAGGTCATCACTCTAAGCATGAGGGCTGTGTCGCTTCTCTTGACAGAAGGGGGGAGGCTGTAGTGCCTGGACACAGTTGTGCTGTTGTCGTGTGTCCTTCTTTTCTTGCTCTGTGGAGTCATGGATGGAGCAAGATGCAGTTCAGTGTGTTTTTGGATAAGCCCATTGTTCTTTTGAGTCACTGTTGTGTAATCAACTTTTTTTTTTTTTTTTTTTTTGCTTCTGATAGATCACACTTTTAAAGAAAAGTACATGGATTGTTGTATTTCCTCTTGATATTTTTGTTTTTATTTGCAGATGGTAAGGGACTAGCTGTATTATCAAAAGTAATTTTTAAAATAAAATTACAAAGCATTGGCTCACCCTGTATTGTACTCTGTATGTGGCTCATGGTTTGTTCTCTTTCCCCAGTGTGCCCCTAACATTCATAAAATGGATGGCTATTCATGTGATGGTGTTCAGGTAGGCCACTTCCTTTTTTTCGTAAGATTGTCATGCGTTATCGAAATAGGGATATCATCAGGTGCTTCTGAATCAACTCTGAAGAGCACAGGGCTGTACGCGTGCATGCCTGCAGCTTCCCCGCTCCTATTTTGTATTTCAGTTACCAGACGTAACCAACATTGCATCACTGACTAGGATTTCTTATTTCTTTTTAGGGAATTTGCTTTGGAGGAAGATGCAAAACCAGGGACAGACAATGCAAATATATCTGGGGACAGAGTAAGTAGAAATGGCAGCTTGATTATGTTTAAAGTGTGCTATCAGATTTCTTAAAGACACATAATCTAGAGGTTCATTTTTACCATTTTATGATGGAAGTTCTGAAAGCTGCTACAGGTCTTTCTTAGCTGGGCACTTTTCTAGAAATTAAAGAAAGGCACCCCTTTGGGAAGACATAGCCCCATACATCTGCTGGTTGCCGGTGCCTGTGGACAGGACAGAAGGTGTGTTTGCTGTCAGGTGGGGCCCATGCTAGGATGCACAGCTTGGGGAACAGAGCGAACCTGCATTTCAGCTCCACTCGCCCTCTGCTAAGCTGGGTGCCCTCAGCAACACCTGTATAACCATATGGGTTGGACATGGTCCCTGAATAGGGCATCCTTCACTTGGAACTGGAACATTGCAATTGCAGTACGTTCTTATTAGCTTTCTAGTTACAGGTGACCTTCAGCCAAGCCAGCACTCGTGTCAAAAGGAAATTTTAATATTGTTTCCTTCAAATCTGTACGATTTTCAGTGGAAACTATAAATGGGTCTGTTACATCCCATTACTTAAATTATACTCTCTCTCTCTCATATATATATATATATGTATGTCTATATAGAGAGATATATACATATAAATGTCATACAAGTATACTCCAAGGCATTTGAAGAAAATTGAATTAAAGATAAGTTTATTTGGTGTAAAACATTTTTTTTTTAATTACAAATAATTTGAAAAATCTACAAATAGTTCATTAAAATGCTTATTATGAAAAAGCTATGCATGGATGTTAAAAGTGTTTCCACAAACACAAGCCCGTTTCATTGTTTTCTTCATAAACTTTTTTTTTTTTGTTTTCGTTTTTTTTTTTTTTTTTTTTTTTATTGTTGCTTACATTATATTATGTAGTACAGTTTTATAGGCGCTGGGGATCCCCCCCACCCCTCCCATACCCCTCCCCCCATGGTGGATTCCTCCACCTTGTTGCATAACCCTAGTTCAAGTTCAGTTGAGATTCATTGCTTGCAAACACCTGCCTAGCATAAAGTTCAGCGTCTTATTGTCCAGATAAGTTCAGTGGCCTCTTGGGGAGACCTTCTTCATAAACTTTTAATGTATCACAATACAACAAATATATTTTTCTTTAAGCATTACTGTCCAAGGTTTTTATAAATACTTTTTGTTTTTGGCTCCTCAAGAGGCAGTGTGTGTTATTCCCAATACCAACAGGCTGTAAGAATCATGATACTCTTTAATTGTCAGTAGTAATGACTGTACTCATTTTAGGAGAAGTATATGCTCTTTTTATACAACTAGGAACCTTGGCATGGAGGATTTTAGACAATCAGGTTTATACTCTGAATAATGACACATAGTTTCATTTCTACCCCTAGAGCAGAAAAGAGAAGCTACCAACCTAATTAGCTGTGGCTTTGAACATATGCAAACATCCATCCTGGGATCAATTTGTGAAAATTATTTTATTGTCTTAGATAGCTGTATTGATCATTCGTGCTTCAGACAAGATAACAAGCAGCGATTCTGTGTGTGTCTTAAAGTGTTACTTTACTCCCAGAGATTTAGCTTGCACCAAGCTTATTCAAAGCAAAATAAGTTTTGGAATTTGCTAAGAATTTGTAAGCAAATTGCAAGTTCTTCCACTGTTCATGAAATCCAATTGGATTATGAAGTGTTTTAATACATTTTACTTTGTGAGTGGTAAGATAGTGAGTGAGAAATGCATGTTTTACGTTGGGTACAAATTAAAGCCTGGATGAATTATTTATTTAAGGAACCACTTTGTGGCACCTTTTCCTAATTGCTAGATAATTCCTAATGTGTGTGTGTGTGTGTATAATATATAGTTATATAATTTTGTTCCTGACGTTTATCGATTTTGCGACCTAGAACTTGAATGTCATCCGAGATCTGACCTTTTTTGTTCTTTGGAACTCTCGTGTATATACTCGTGAGCAACATACCCGAGTGCCGATGTCAACATGTCAGCTCCTCGGAACCATGTTGATCATCTTGGGAATTGCTAATATTTCAGTGAAGATTTCTTACATCACCTTGACCCTTGACTTTAAGCCATTTGAACCATTCAAATGTTGTCTCATTAACTGACAAAAAAAAAAAAAGGAAAAACAAACATTTCTCTTCTGCTGCAGAGGTGACAGCATCAGACAAATACTGTTACGAGAAACTGAACATCGAAGGGACCGAGAAGGGTAACTGTGGGAAAGACAAAGACACATGGATTCAGTGCAACAAACGGTGAGGTGGAGAAGGGTGCCTGGGGCTCATCCCTTGGGCAGTTTATGAACAGGGCTGTCCGTCACCAGTCCTCTGCAGCCTGCAGAGCAGATTCTTACCTCCACACCTCCTTCCTTCCCAGGGTCCCTACCTTACCTGCGCAGGGTTCCCCAGCCTTGACAAGGACCCCACCTCTCTCCTGAGACCCAGGCTTGCAGTGCTAGAAGACAACCAGCATCTGAAAAGCTACAGAAGTGAAAGCCAGCAGTATTTGCACACAGGGCCATTGACTGAGTAACGGGCTCTAACTTGTCTAAACCACTTAGGTTTTGCCAAGGATGTCAGTCCATAAGTCGTGTCTGCTCGGAAGCCTCCAAGTGACCCTTGAATCTACTGTCCCTCTCTCTGTTGTCCGCATGTCACACGATCCTGTTCTCTATCAAGTCCCCACCATTTGTCTTTAATTCCCATTCTGATTAGCATTAACCCAACCGAGACTTCTGTTAGTCTTTAAAAGTTACACAAATCTTTTAATAATTTTTCTATGCCAGCAAATTCTAAACTGCTAGCATCAGAATAATCTTCAGAATCTTTTTGACTAGGCTGATTCTTTGTCCAGATTTCAGTGGTACCTCATAGCTGATTAGTAACAAGAGTAGCACACCATGTTTATGGAGTGTGCGTCATGGGCTGAGGACCCTACTGTACTTATACCTGGTCATTTATATGGCATTCCTTCCATTTTATGGCTGAGGAAACTGAAGCATAGTTCATTAATTTGCCCGAGATCCTGGAGCTAGGATGTGCTAGAGATATAATTAGAATTCAGGCAATCTGATTTCAGAACTCTCAATTACTTTTCTGAGAGTTACATTGTCTTATTCATGAAATAAAGTGGAACCTTATCTTGGCACTGTACCTTCTTCACAATTTTCCCCAACCTATAATTTTGTCTTCTCTAGTCTTCTGAAGTGTAGCAAACCCTGCCATTTCTAATGTGTGTTTATCCTGTCCTTCTTCCATGCCTGTGGCTGTGCTGTTTAGTCCTTGGGTAGTACCATTTATATTCATACCATCAACAGGCCAAAATGTAACCCTTTCTAGAAACCCAGTTATGAAATATCTCCTCTATAAATAATTTCCTGATTCATTCTGGAAGTAAACTATCTTCCTCTTTTCCTTGAAATTCCCACTTCCCATTGTATTATTCCTAAACATATTTACCCTAATCTGTTTGTAGTTGTTAATGTCTGTGATTTCTCTTCTTATCTGGAGTGTAATTTCTTCAAGGATGAAGATGATGTCTGAGCTTCTTTTTGCATTCTAAATCACTTAGTAAAGTTCATATACATAAAGGATACTCAAATATTTTTGAATGACCATTGATTCTGTGTTGAGAAAGTGTTTTATGATAGAAATAGTAAAAATGATTATGTAATTAAATTTAGTTTTAAATAATAGATTAATACTTTTTTTCTATTTGATAGAAACAGACCCTATTTCTTCTTTTCTCTGTTGAATAAAATCTGATATTTTCAATATGCAATCTCAATGCTGTATAAATTAGTTTTCATCAAATATTTACTTAACTATTGACATATGGTTGTTAGACAGGTAGAATAGGTACGATGGTATGTTACACCAGTGAAAATATTTTTTGTAAGTTAGCTTACAAAAGTTAACAGTCATTGGAGAAGTAATAAAATATATTAAAAATGGGAAAGAAAGAGCCCCTTTGTCTGGCGATCTATAATCTTTCCTTTGGTTCTTGGCAATTAAATTGTACAAATATCTGTTTTGCAAAAGAATAGTCATTCAGAGGTCATTTGTTCACGTCTAAAATATTTTCAAAATACTTTAACATATCCAGTGATGTGTTTGATAAAAAGAAGAGTGATGCTGAAGAAATTATTTGATGAAGAATTTTCTGTAGCTAACTGCCTGGCCAAATGGACAGTAAAGGAACAGGTAGGAAATACTTGGGATTTGGATACACAACGAAGAGTTTCAGAGAGGAGACTGTAGGCGACCGACTCCTTGGTCTTGTTTTCTTCTGCTGTGTATGAGTTGTTGAGATGAAAAGTACGTGTGAAATGAGAGATCGCCCTTCTTGTTGTGATGCCTTTCTGCATCTTTGAGGAAGGAAGTAACCAGTACTCTTTGGACAGGGATGTGCTATGCGGTTACCTTTTGTGCACTAACGTTGGGAACATTCCACGGCTTGGAGAGCTCGATGGTGAAATCACATCTACTGTGGTTGTGCAGCAGGGGAGAACATTAAACTGCAGGTAATCTTCTGACCATCCCATCGACCCTCAACTTCCCAGGAATGCAGTGCAGTACTTCTGTTTTGAGTTCTTCTCCATGTCATCAGGCTGGAGTGGAATCTCTTCTTATGAAAAGACTGAGTGAATAAATCCTGTTGAATGTAGGATGTAATGTCATTACTAGGTTTGTGCTTAGTTGGTTAGTACAGTCTTAAATGGCTTGGTTTACGTTTCCTCATTACTGAGAAAAACAAATGGGGACTCATGTTTACACAAATGTCACTAAATGGATCTCTAAATTTTTTTATTATTGAGAACTAGTTTGCATTTGTTGTTTTACCACACACTGGCCAGTTGGGATGAAGCTGGACCAAGAAGCTGGGGATGCGATCTATGAGTTAATGGCAGCGGCCCATTGACTCAGGCCATTGCTGTGGCCTCCCAAGCTACAGCTGGAAATGGACAAGACACTCCAGCATTGGACACAGATTTTTTTTTTCTTTTTTGAAAGACTGATTTATTCTTACTGGAGAGGAAAATTCACAGAGAGAAGGAGAGACAGAGACAAAGATCCTCTGTCTGCAGATTCACTCTCCAAGTGACCACAATGGCTGGAGCTGAGCCACTCTGAAGCCAGGAGCCAGGAGCTTTCTCTGGGTCTCCCATGTGTTTTTAGGGTCCCAAGGTTTTAGACCATCCCTCTACTGCTTTTGCAGGCTACAGGCAGGGAACTGGATGGGAAATGGAGCAGCCTGTACAGGAATTGGCCCCCATATGGGATCCTGGTGCAATGTAAGGTGAGGACTTAAGCCACCAGGCTACTGTGCTAGGCCTAGGACACAGATACCTTAACCCACTAAACTAAATGCCAGTTTACATAAATCTATTTAAATAAGTATTTGTTTATTTATTTAAGAGGGCAAGAAAGAAAGGAAAGAAGAGATGAGGAGACAATGGGAGAGGAGAGGAGAGAAAAGAGGAAGCAAAGAAAGGATGGAAACAGGGAGGAATAAAAAGGAAGGAGGAAAGGCAGGCTGGAAAGATGGGAGATATGCATGGAGAGAGAACTCCTGGTTATTCATCTGTTCTCCATATGCTCTCAGCAACTGAGACTGCGCTGGGTCAAACCTGGGAAGTGGCAGCTCACTGCAGCTCTCCCACTTGGGCAGGAACCCAACTCCTTGAACTGTCACTTTCAAGGGTGCGCACTAACAGATCACTGGATTCAAGAGCAGAGCTAGGACTCAAACCCAGGTATCCCAATGTGAGATGCAGGCATCGCAACCAGCAACCTAACTGCTAGGCTACTTGTCTGCCCTCTAAATATAGATATTTAGAGTTGCTGTATCCACATGGAGACATGGAAAGAAATGGGCTGTAATGTCAACTAAACTTTGAAATGGATAAAGCAAGTGGGTATATGGTACATGACTGATCTTTGCCAAGAAAGCTGAATTCTCATCAGCTGAGAACCTATTCAAGATAGGTTCTCCAAGATTGACTTCCCCAAAGGTTCAGACATCAGATGTGTCATCTTGGAGAGTGGGAAAGAGTTAGGTGTTGTAGGTCTGGTGTGTTAGCTGTACATTGTGGGCACTTTTCTGGCATGGATGCACTGGGAGCTTCCCACACATCCATGGAAGAATTGTGTGCTACACAGAGAATTAAAGAAAAAGGTTTCATAGCTGGGGAACAGCAGGCAACATTGATATGAGGGTTTTATGGGTTTGGTCCATTCTCAGTCTGCAGAGCAATAGAATTTCTCGTCAAATACTTGGGTACCCTAACTAAAATACAAATAAATTACCAGGTATGTAAAGAAAGTCTCTGACATGAATAAAAAGGAGACAAAGTATTTTTAATTAGTAGTGGTAGAACCACCTATCATTATTAGCGAGATATGAGAGGTTTTTGTTATGATGTAAGAAAATAATGGTATTAACAACAGCAACAATAAAACGTGTAATTCAGAGAAGAAAAGGTGCCATTGGAAATTTAAAATAAGATGGCAGAAGTGAAACAAACTAGTGACTGGTTGTAAACATGACCCCTATTTGTTCTTCTCAGTAAGACAGCAAAAGGCAAAGGCAAAGAAATAGAACCAGAGGAAAACTTACCAAATTATAAGAGAAACTGAGAGCAATGCCCAAGAGGGAATTATGAGTTTACACATTAACAGCTCCGGAAACTATGTGTGGAATTAGAGGCATATTTCACTAGACCATTTATGAAGTTTTTGAGGGGATTTGGACAGCCAGCAGAAAGCTTGTATTAGTTTTGTGCTAATAATAAATTTTAAGAAAAATATGTAATAAAACAAAAAACAGATAAGTGGTTTGCTGAAGGGAAAGTTGCATTCTGAAAGGATTTAATTGTGACATTACTAAACTGAGTAAGATTTACATAGTTGTAATAATGTGGTTTAATTTTTGATGAAGCAAAGTTTGTAATGGAAAGGGTAGGGAAAATGGAAGTTTATGCATGTGACATAAGAAAGAAAGACAAGGGGTAAACTTTGGAATTCCAAAGAGTAAAGTCAACTGATAATATCTAAAGTTGAAGAATAAAGAGTTGTCATGCAAATGTATTATTTAAAAATACATGCATAGCTAAGTAACAAAGTAATCTGGAAATTATTGTGGCACAGCATTTAAGTTGCCGTTGGAATTGAGTTCCTCAGCCTATGTGCCTAGGATTGAGTCCATGCTCTGCTTCTGGTCCAGTGTCTTGCTGTGCACTGGGAGGCAGCAGATGAAGGCCCAAGTGCCTGGATTGCAACTACGTGAGACCCAGATGCAGATCTGGCTTCTGTCTTTGGCTTCGCTTAGGTTCATCTGCTCTTTCCACTTAAAAGTTTGACATGATTATGCTATTGGTTTTTATTGCAATTATGAGTAGGAATTAGGCGATGGGATGTTGCCCAATTTCTGCTTTTTGAACATGTTCACATGTTAATGAAATAGCATCTTATTTTTCTTCCCAATTTGCTTTTAGTGGTGGGCATGTCAAACTGGAAGAAGATGTGGATCTTGGCTATGTGGAAGATGGGACGCCTTGTGGTCCCCAAATGATGTGCTTAGAGCACAGGTGTCTTCCTGTGGCTTCTTTCAACTTTAGCACTTGTCTAAGCAGTAAAGAAGGCACTATTTGTTCAGGAAATGGAGTAAGTATTTGCACCTCACTGTGAGAAACTGTTCCTTTGTTTCTTTTACTTCTCAGAAGTAGATGTAATCCTAGGCTGTTTATTTCCCTAATTACAAAAATGTGTTTGTCCTTGGTTGGTTAACATTAATTGGATCATGGCTACTTGAGAGTTTCTGTTTAATCTGTGCAAACACAGATGTGAGAAGGGAGGATAATCCTTCTAAGCAAATTCTTCCATTTTTGTTTCTACTAGTGTGACTTCATGTAATGTCAGCTTTCTGAAGTGAGCTGGGAAACAGATTTTAATAGGCCATATTGGGATAGCAGGGGGATGCTATGATATTCAATAACTCATGTGGTCTGGGCACTGAGCTATCAAAGCAGACTATAATGAATGTGTACCAGCTCAGAGAACATCTCAGAAATAAGAACAGTGATTCGGGGAAATATTTTCTTACAAAGGAATAGAAAGAAGAGGAGCAAACCCTTTAAATTCTTCCAGTTGTATATCAGATACATACATCCTCATTGCTAAGTTTGTAGGTTAAGTGTTTATCATCTGGCGTGGTAATTCTCTGTTGTCACTTGTAGTTAGGGACCTACACTACTAGGAAACATAGATTCTTTTTCTTGTGTGTTGTGTGCTTTTCTTTGGATCCTTTAACTGGTTGCATTGGACAGTTGAAGTAAAGGATCCCTGTGTAAGGACTCAATCCTGGTCATTCCTTGCATATCCCCGAGGATATTCCCCCACCAAGAACTTTCCAAGGGAGGTAGCTAAGCATCTCTCCTGCCAACAGAGCAGGTGTTGTTATGGCACAGAAGGACACGCTCGGTAGTTCTGCTCCCGTGCGGGGGTCAGCTGGGCCGCCTCCTCTTGTCACTGAGAGGATGTGGGGGGCACCTGCTCTTTGAAAAGACAGGGAAGAGAAGACATTGTTTCTTAATCATCTGTACTAATGAATAATCATCTTTAAAATTTGAGTACAAAACTCAGAAAATAAAGCTTTGTTTAATGACCATTTGTTGAAAGGACTTGTAAAAGTAGATACAAATAAGTCAGATGGCAAATAGCATCCAAATAATTTACAGTAATTATGCAAAATAGATAGAATAAAATAGAATTTTAACCTAGTTATGTGAGAAGGAAAAAAAAAAGGTTAAATATTCTTCAGCAATGTTGGCTTGTAATCAGATGGTTTTGAATCCCACCTATGTGGCTGCTTTTGTTTTTTAAGAGCTATGTTTAAAGGGCAGAGTTATGGATCGAGACGGTAATGGCCACAGCCGTGAGGGCTGGGTCAAATCAAAGCCAGGAGCAGACTTCATTTGGGCCTCACATGTGAGTGCAGGGACCCAGACATGTGGCCCATGTGCTGCTTTCCCAGGCGCATTAACACAGAGCTGAGTCAGAAGTGGAGCATCCGGGGCTTGAGCCTGCATCTGTATGGGACACTGGAACTGTAGGTGGCATCTTTATCTGCTCTGTTGCACTGTTGGTTCTCTTTTTCTGTTTCTTAATAAATGGGAAACTGTGGACAAATTATTGAGCTTCTCTGTTTCTCAGTTTCTTTGAAGTGGAGAGTAATAAAAATGCCTACTTTTTAGGACTGTCCTGCAGTTAACACTTGTAAAGCACTTGAAGCAAGGCCTGGGGCGCAGTGTGCAGGAAATGTTAGCTGTGCTACCTAAGATGCACACTGCATCTTGATCCTGTTATTGTTTACCTGGGGCTGCCGTAGGACACAGAGCCTGATGTTCCAGAAGGCAGGTGGACTTGATTTCATGGTGGAATGAGCATTCAGATCCAGGCCTTTGGACCTAAAGCCTGAGCCTCCCTGTCCCCCAGCTGCAGTCCTCCCCTCCCCATGTTCGTTCATCCGCGTCCTCTGATGGAGCTGTTTCATGTTGCATTGAGTTGTGAGTTGATGTGTGATGTCTTCTGGAAAAGCAGATCACACAGGAAGGCAGCCTGTGCTGCCAGAAGCCTGCCTGGGGAGGCAGCTCTGAAACTGCCTGCTCTGCAACCTGCCCTAGCCCTCCCTGCTTCCTCCTCCACCCTGAGCTACTGTGAATCATTAGCCCAGGAGCTAGATTGTGGTAACAGGGGAGAGGGAAGGGAGACCCCAGTGCCAAAGAACTATCGAAAACAATTTAAAAATTAATGTTGGAAAAAATGGAACTTAAAGAAAAAAAAGTAATTACCCCACTTCCCATCCAGCTCCCTCCTTGTGGCCTGGGAAAGCACTGGAAGATGGCCCAAGACCTTGGGACCCTGCACCCACATGGGAGATCAGGAGGAGGCTCTGGGCTCCTAGCTTCGGATTGGTGCAGCTCCAGCTGTTGTAGCCACTTAGGGAGTTAGTCATCGGAAAGAAGATATTCCTCTCTGTCTCTCCTCCTTTCTGTATAGCTGACTTTCCAATAAAAAATAAATAAATGTATCTTTCTTTAAAAATGTAAATAACGTTTTGCACGAAGACCCTCTTGTTGTATTAGACAACTCACAGGTATTTCTGCTTAGTTTTAAAAATCTCCCTCATAAAATTTAAGTCAGTACAAGTCAAAACAATACTTGATTGTTATTATTATTTTTTAAGCAATGTGTTCGTTGTTCAGGAATAGGGCATTTCAGTACAGCCAGTCAAGCCACTGCTTGAGACAGCAGTGTCCCGTATCAGGGCGTTAGTTGAGCTCCTAGTCGCTTCACTTTTGTCCAGCTCCCTGCTCATCACGCTCCTAGGAAGACCGTGGCAGATGGTCTGTGTGTTTGGCCCCTGCCACCCATGTGGGAGACCAGTTCCTGGCTGCGGAGTTCCGTCTGGCGTGGACCTGGCTCTGGCTGCCGTTTGTGAAGTCAACTGGCAGAGGCAGGATCTTGTGTCTTTCCCTCCTTCTCTCTCATGTTACCCTGCATTTCTGTTTAATTAAACAATTCATTTTAAACAGTCATCGTCATTGGGTTAACCATTTTCTCTAGAAAAATTTTTTTTGATTATTGAAATGAGATAAAAGTAATTAGTATTAGGAAGCAACGATAATTTTCAGTGGGACCAAATTCTAAGCACAAGGTAGCCAGAAACCAGTGTTTGTGTGTCCATTGCTGTGTGCTGGAGTTGGTACTGACTCAGGTTTGCTTTGGCTTCCAGGTTTGCAGTAACGAGCTCAAATGTGTGTGTAACAGACACTGGACAGGCGCTGACTGCAGCACTTACTTCCCACACAACGACGGCGTAAAGACTGGTCTCACTTTGTCTGGTAATGGTAGGTGTTTCTGCAGGGCCTTGGGATAGACCTTAGAGGCAGTAAAGTGGCAACTGCCCTTCAGACATTTATGTTTGAGTTATTTTTAGGATAATGCAAAACTATACCCACATCACTAATGAATTCTATCACTCAGCTTAGAAACTGATCATTTTTGTTAAACCCTAGTTACCTGTAATCCTGATGGTGTTTGGTCTGCTGCTTTAGCCCTGTCCCCTACTGAGGGCTTTTTAATTCATCTGGAGATGTCCACAAACTGGTGCTCATTGTTAACTTTCTGAACTTAAAGAACTTTGTATTTTGAGGATAGGTAAATAAGAAAGAAAAAGCAAGGATTGATCTTTAAACACTTTAATTTCCCTTATTATTGAGCCTCATCCATATTCAACTACTAGTAGTAATATTGGCCATGGCCAGTGGTATAATGATACAATGTGCCAGTGCTGATAGCTGGGATAGCCCAAGTGGGGAAGTAGAAAGCCAGTGCAGACAGCTAGGTGAATGCCCCAGTTGCCATTTCATCATTTGATTAATGAGCGTTGTTTTGTAAGAAATAACAGCCTAATCTTGATACCCATTCACCACCAAAGGATGAGGAAAAAAAAAGTCCATGTCCACTCTCATCAAGAAAACAGGTTAGAAATGTTAACTCGTATGGTCTTAATGAAGATGGTCAAGGAAGAGTAAGATGTCCGCATCTCCATGCTTGGCGAGGATCATGTGGAGCTTGTCAGGCAGTTCTTGGCGAGATGAGGGTGCTGAGATGTATGGGCCTGATTAGGTGACCAAGAAGTGAGCAAGGCTAGCATCTAAGTTGTTTGATTCTTGTAATGAGTGGGAGAAAAGGAGAAAGCCCACCTAGGTGAGGTGCTGGGGGATCCTCTGGTAGAGCAGCCCATTGCCTAGCCTGGCTTTCCTGCTTGACTGCTGTGGGTCCCCAGATGGGGAGGCTGCTGTTTGTACCGTGGGGATGGCACTGTCCTCCAGGCCTCCATGAGGCCTCAGGAGCAAAGCATACAGGTTCAACATGTGCTGGCAAAGTGGCTCCTGGTACCATAGCCAGCCCTCAGACTGGCCTTTTCTGCTACTGGGTCCTGGCTGGCACTCACCGAGTGTGCCATGGCCTCCCTGGGCCACTGTTCAGTGACCCTGGAGCGGCACATATCAGCTCTCCTGACAGTGGATCCTGTCCCCGCAGTGCCCCCACTGAGCCAGAGCTTGGCTGTACACTGTCCCCCGCTAAACCCATGCAGCCTCTGTCTTGCCACCTCGGCCCCCATCTCCTCTTAGCACTGCTTCTCCGTGCAGGCTCCTTCTCTGCAGTGTCACGGCCCTCCCTGCCCAGCCTGGGGGCAGGCAGGCTTTCTCCTGTAAGACTGGGAGAGATCAGACAGCACACACAGACCAGGAGCCTTAGCGCCTTGAATTAGTTGACCAAATGGAGTGACATGGCAGCAGTAGCATATCTAGTTTCTGAGAAAGAGATAACAGATTTTCTGCAAGTCCCTCCTAACGGGTGTTATCCTGCTAAAGGAGTGGCCACTTCTCCTTTGCGTCATCACCCTTTCTTCCTTTATTTCAAAAACATCATAGCTTGCAGAAAAATACAGCTTTGCCAAGTGTACTTGGACAAGAATTAAAAAACAGCATACACAAAAACTATTTAAAAATTAAGTTGATGTGGATTGCTGAACTATGATTTTGTTCCTTTGGAAAATACACATCTAAAAAAAAACTAAATAACTGTATTAGTATAATGATTAAAAATCTGGAGAGTAAAGTTCCTGAAAGACTTCTAGGTCACTCATCTTTTCTTTTTTTTCTTCCAGGTGTAGCTGGCACCAATATCATAATAGGCATAATTGCGGGCACCATCTTAGTGCTGGCCCTGATAGTAGGAATAACTGCCTGGGGCTATAAGTAAGTAAAACATTTCAACATTGTTACTGCCAAAATCTGCCTGTAAACATTTGGATTAAATGAAAACATCTAGAAAGTTTTATACCTTTAGATAGAGTACTTGCAATGAAAATTACTCTGACTCAGTAGTCAGCCAATGATTAGCATGGCATGGTGAGAAAAATCAGTGATTCTTTTTTAAGATTTTGAGACAGTTTGTTTTTAATCCTAAAAGTACCAAATATCGTGTGAAGATTATTAAAGTGTCTTAAAATTAATGTGCATTGTGTCTTCTACAAAGACTTAGTTGACTTGCTTTTTTTAGCATTAGAACTTCTCTTGACTTGAACCTGTACCTCCAAATCGAGGCAAGATGTTTAGCATGAAACCTTAGTGGTGTGGTCACAGCAGTGGCACCAGATAGAACAGCAGCAGCGGACGGGCATGGAGGGCTCGCTGTGGCCGTCAGCACACACAGGCGCTTGCTATAGCCATTGGAAGGCAAATTTCCGTTTTTTCACAATCAGTCAGAAGGAGGCATTTCTTTGTTAATTGTGTGTTTTTGTGTGAAGAAAAGGTGTTGTGAGGTTAATCCAGATCGGAGGCAGGCATTGTGGTACAGTTGGTGACGCCACTGCAGAGGGCACTCTCACTCCATATAGGATGTGATTCAAATCCTGGCTCCCCTGCTTTGAAATAGCTTCCTGTTCATGCAGCTGGGCTGATGGCCCAAGTCCTGGTATCCCTGCCACTTCCGTGGAGGACCCCGCTGCCCTTCCTGGCTTCAGGCTGGAGCAGCCCCAGCAGCTGTGGGCGTTGAAAGTGAACCTGTGGATGGAACGTCTCCGTCTCTGTCTCCCTCTCTTTGTCACACTGCCTTATGAATAAACAAAAAATAAATTAGAGAATAAGCATCAGGAAAGGGCATTTTATCTAGCTGTAAAAACACCTGCGTCCCGTATTGTAGTGCCTGGGTCCAGTGCCCAGATGCAGCTGCTGGCCAGCTTCCTGCTGAAGTGCAGGCGGTGGAGCTAGCAGTGACGGTGCGAGGTGCAGGGCTCCTGACACCCACCGAGACCTGGGTTAGCTCCAGGCATTCAGGAGATGATCCAGCACCTGAGACAGTATCACTCTGCATTCCTCTGCCTCATGGCTACATAGGTAGTTTTTTAAAATCCTAATTCTTTTTTAAAAAGATTTGTTTTATTTTTATGGGAAAGTCAGGTATATAGAGAGGAGGAAAGATAGGGAGGAAGATCTTCCGTCTGTTGATTCACTCCCTAAGTGGTCACAATGCCCGGGTCTGAGCCCATCCGAAGCCAGGAGCCGGGAGCTTCTTCCAGGTCTCCCACACAGGTACAGGGTCCCAAGTCTTTGGGCCGTCCTTGACTCTTCCCAGGCCACAAGCAGGGAGCTGGATGGGAAGCAGATTAGCCAGGACACAAACTGACACCCACATGGGATGCTGGCACTGCGGTGGATGATTAATGTGCTGCCCGACTGCATTGGCCCCCTATTCATACACGTTTTAGCAAGGTATAAGTCATACAGCATTTGAATGGTATTTAACACCCTTAGAGGTTTTACTAAGTGAATGCTTTCACGCATTCTAGCCTTATTTCTGTATTTAATGTGGTCAGTCTCCTTTTAAAGTACTTCTGTCAAATGATATTTAAAAAGTCGCTAATACTAAAGTAACTAATTCAGATTATTAAGTTAAAACTTAGACATGGGGAGCCCAGAACTTCTCTTTAATATTTCAACTAAACATCATATTCTGCCGAGGTGGTGATGGTGTTCTAGTCTACGGGCCCAGGGATTTTCTGGTTTTGGAAGCGTACAGCCGCTGCAGGGTACTGTGGCGTGTTATCCCATTTAGCAGCACATATTTCTGTACGCATGAACTTAGGTCTCTAATAATTTAAATGGGAATTACAACATTTTAGACTTTGAAATTCTCCAAAACCTTTCTATTGGCTCATTTTTTTGTTGTATGAGTTGATGTGTGAAGAATGTTGATAGAGTTCGTGGAAAATCTGGATTATGAAGAATGTGGCTGAATTTCAAAGCCTTTTTTTTTTTTGGACCAAAGTAACCTTATATTTTAATTCTCTTTTCTGTGAACTTTTGCAACATCCTTGTATCTTATCAAACATAAATAATTTCTGCACGATGAAATGAAAGTCTTAAACATGTATATAGCAGCTGCATAAAAGCCCTGGGAGAGTTTCTTTGAAAAGAAAGAGCAGTGAATTTATGGCTGCAATAAGTATTTATGTTACAAACATCAAAACTCAGACTTCTGAGGAGGACTTAGCGAGTGGCACTGCTGTAGGCAGGTGGGGCATGGGGCGGTCAGCGTAGCCTGGCTGGCCTGGCTGGTCCAAGCGGTGGCAGGGGGTGGCTCAGCCCCATGAAAGGAGCCCTGTGCCTGTCTCTACGGGCCTCTCCCAGGGTGAGACTTTGAGGTACCAAGCATAGGGTCAAGGCACAGCTTTATGTAAGTTATAGAAAGTGTCCATCTGTGGGGAAGGCTTCTCTGTACACTCACCATTTGGCCTCACACCACCCAAGACAGCTTAACCTGTTTGCGCAGCTTCCCTTCTGCATGCCCTGGAATGGCTGCCATGTCTGTCCTTGCTGCTGTGAAGTAGTGGTCATGTGAAAATGGAAAGGAGTGTCAGCCCTAGGAGTGTGTGCATCTCTGCCACCTGCTGCTGCAAATGCACATTTCCTGTTTTGAAATCTTGGAAAATATTGCTTTTCAAAAAATATGAAACCCAGCTGTCTAGTCCGATTGCTCACGAAGTTACTTTTGTTTGTCTTAATGATTAGAATTAATAATATGATTTCTTAGTTTTCAATGTTTTTTGAACCTTACTGGTTTTTTTTTTCACTTCTTAATATGTGTACCTTGCAGATTGATTGAGGAAAAAACGACATGTCTTATTTGTAATGCAGTTTCCTTTTCCCAAATTATTTGAATGTAAATGATTAAAGTTTCAATGTTTCTTACTGGGAATGAGAGCATGCAAATTTTAATAGAGGAATTAAACTCATGAATATGATGTTTCACGTTCTTCACTTGAAATTCAAAAACAGATTCTGGATCTGAGAAGTCGTTTTCTCATTAGTCCTTCAAGTTGAGTTCTCTAGCCCTTCTCCAAGCCGTGGGGTAAGGACGAGGTCGTGAGGAGCACTCGCTCAGACAGGACAGCTCGGGTCATTGGACTGAGGGAATAGGGAACAGGGCATGTTGACTCAGTGAGGCCAGATTCCCTTTTCCCCTCACCGGGTATTGTTTAGAATGGAAAGTCACAGCACACGGCCATGTCTACACTCAGGTGCCCCGTGTTAAGCATGAAGCCAGCAGTGTAGATAGAATAGATGAGAAAGCATTATCCTTGATCCCAGAGAAAGGAATCTTAAGAATACTGACTCACTCGACCTTTTATGTACGCCGAGCATTCGAATGTGATTATGTTAAGGAAGCCGACAATTCTCTTGGAAAAAGACACTGGTACTACACCAGCGAGCTCTTTAGAGGAGAGTTTTGGTTAAGATCAGTCATTTCAGACTCATGTAAGTTTATCTTAGCCCCTGGCCAGATAATACAGACACGAACCATGAAGCATATCCCTGCAATGTGAGGCTTCAGCGAGTTTGCGGTAACAGCTCGGGAGGTTCTTGCTAGTGTTAGCCAGGCTTGTCGTACCTGAGTAGTGAAATGTTCTCCTGTTTGAAGTTCTTAGGAATAGCCGTAATTTAGGGTATATATATTCTGATAGGAATGAATTATGGCTTTGGCGCTCCAAGAATATAAATAATTTATGTAAGCAACTTAATTCCATGATTTAAATCCACGTATACATCTGAAAGCTTGTATCTAAAATAAGATTGACTTCAGAGCATAAGTAATATTAGGTACAACACGGACAGCAGTTACTCTCGAATGAATGTGGCTTGTTTAAGGCTTTTAAAAATAGTGGCAGGGTTGTCACTAATCTTTTGGTGTCGCCTGCCCCAAAGATGAAATGAAAATTTTGAGTGTGTATTTTGTGTTTTGATTCTGCCACTCCAAATCTTCAGTGAGCGGAGAGTTTGGTGTGTAGTGCTGCCTCCTCACTTCCTCCTGAGTTAACTAATTCTTTCATTTTTTCCTCCATCTCTTCTTGTCATGAAAAGAAACTATCGCGAACAGAGGTACGTGAGAAGAATAATCTGGACGTTGAACTGAAGGGTGGAACTCCTGTTGGCTTTGTTGGAATTATATGTGTAATTATGAGCCAAATTCACTGTGTTTTTAATGCTTTAATGATCAAATATTGATTTTTTGTTTTCTTAAAATAGTGATTTAATAATGTAAATGTATAAATTTAATTGTGTTATTTTAGTGGTTCTTTCATTCAAAAATACCACAATTAGCCTAAGTTCTTATTTTGGTATTTTTATAGTAATACATAGAAGTTTTTTTTTTTTCACTTCTAAATCAAATGTGAAGATATCACATTTTCTTGCATTAATTTGCTAACTTAATTTTTAAAGCCCTCTTTATTGCTTAGTGGTTAGTATTTTCAGAGAGATTTATTTTCTGTTGCTGTTATATTAATAACTTGCAATCATGAATGACACGTTTATTTGGAGACAGTGTTGCTGTGAAGGGGGAATGTTCTGGTACTTGTTATGCCTGCTTATTTGTAGTAAAAGAAAGAATTTGCACACTTGGCATCTCTACTGTCTACGTTTTGAAAAACAGGAATACCTGCGAAGCCAGGCAGCTGTGCAACACAACCTTCAGATCCGCTGTTAGCAAAGAGCTAGCAGGACTGCCAAGCATTGGTGTTACATAAGAATTACTACTCCTTCTAAATCTGCACACATACACACAAAACACAGCGCTACATCCTTCACTTTTTGCATTTTAACATTACTAATTCTATTATCTATTGTTAAAAAGAAGGTAACAGTATTACTCTGGAATAATGCACAGACCAGGTCATGCGCATCATATAGGCTTTAGTTCCGCACTCAGGGTATTGAAGGAGATAGCTACTTATCTAAGTTTTCTTGTTGTTGCATTGCAGGTGTGGTGGGTTAGGAATAAGGAGTAAGGAATAATAAGTGTGCTGAGAGACTTGCAGCCCCGACCACAACTTTAATTCCTTTCATAAATCAAAATTCTAAACTTTTTTCTTCTGTTTCCTTCTGTGTTATAATTTAAAATCCCTATAAGGCTTTAGCCGTAAGTGTCTGTAACATCTCTATAAACACATCGTGTCCAAGGGATAGTGATTGAAATCCTGGGCACGCGGCATAGATATTAGCGAATATCAACTTTACCCTGCAATAACGAAAAAAGTCAAGCAAACATATGAATTTTAAGAGTCCCTAGATTTCTTCATGAGTTTCCAACTCTTACATTCACAAACGCTTTTTAGTAGAGCAGGGACCACTTGGGCTCTCACTTGTGTAGATAGTAATTAGTCGTATTTGAAGCCTAAGCTTGGTGTCTTTCTTCACTGAGACATAATGCTGGGAAGTAAGATAAAAAATGATGGCTCAGCTCTGTTTCCATAGGAGCTAAAGCGAGGGTGTAATTTAACTTTCTGGGATGTCCAAAAAGGAAAGTGAAGTGTTTCAAGTACAGACAGAGCTAACACAGCGTGTTCTCACTAAAGAGTCAGTGGGCACAAATGTCATATTCTCACTCAGCATATGCATAGTGACAGTAAGGTGCATTTTTACACTAAGAATCTCCACTGTATGCCCAATAAGATTGTCCTAGTCTTGCAAGTCAGCGTTTCATCAGCCTGGCTCCTCTTTTGGAATTGTCCCTTTTTTGAGATTTGTCACATCTTTGGTGGATCTTTGTTTTGTATAGTTACATATGTCTCAACAACACCTTTTTTGTTATTGTTGTTGGTGGGGAACCCTTATCTATAACTAAAGGATATTAGGTTTGTAGAGAGTTTTCAAAATGAAGAAATGCAAAGAATAGACTTTAGATCAGAAAGTTGTGAAAGTATCTTCGAAGAGTTTTTCTGTTTGAAAAGTATTTGTTATATGGCAATCAGTTTGGTTAATAGACCAAAGCAGGCATTAAGAGAATTTCCATCTTAAAAAACTATCTGGAGATGTTTGAATAAGAATCTGCTCAGTTCCTGTGGATGCCAGGAAGCAGAATTAAGAATTTTGGAGTTGTCATTGCTTTGAATTAGATTTTCTACTGAGTTTCTATACTGAGAAAATTTATTGACAAGTGTTTAGAAATCTGTCCCAGTGTGATATGGGAAAGTCACTGAAACTTTTTTAAATGCTAAAACCTAAGAAGGTTTTTTTTTTTTTTATCATCTGTGAAGCATGATAGAAGGGGCGTTGTTAGTATAGAGCCTCTGAAGCCTTTTCATTGCTCTGCTGTGCTGACAGAAGAGCTGGATACAGTGGTCCCCAAGAGGAAGGAAGCACCAGCCACAGCGCTGAGGTGCATGGGAGGTGCACACATCTGGCTGAAGTGCTGCAGTGTTGGAGCCTGTCAAGTTTGGCTTTAGCACTAAGTACAAGCCACTGTGTGTGTCATCAGCAACCAGATGCGATTAATGCTGTAGTGGCTCAGAAATAGCCAATTGAGTTCCACTTTAAAATTACTGAGAGGACAAATAATTCCCTGAATCATTCAGATAATTTGATAGATTATTTTCCTCCTGAGCATATGTCCTCAAGGTTCTTAGTATATTAAAGCACTGGATTATAAGCTTACTTGGAAATCTGACGAAAAGATGAGAAACACCCCCCCTTTTTTTTTTTTGCTTAATTAAAAAAAAATAGTACCCCTTTTGGGGTGTGGTGGTGTTAACATCCCACATGTGTGCAGTGTCACTTTGCATCTTCCAGTGTCCTCTCGTGGGGGTTAGAGCCGTGGAACCATGAAGCCGGAGGAGACTTGGGTGTGAGGCACTTGGAAAGATCAAGATCTGTGCTTTGTTGAAAATCTTCAGGAAAGGAAACGGAAGCTGCTTCAGTTGACTTTTCTGTTTGTTTTATAGCTTAGCTACTGAAGGACTTAGCAGCTGAATGATTTGCTACAAGAATTTAGTTTTCATTTTCAGACACGTTTGCAAACAGCGATGGAATAAGAAATATTTGTTGAAGTTAGAACTGTCAAATATCCCTATCCAGCTGAAATTTTGTTCTGTTTCGTTGTCTGAAATGAATATACATTATTATGATTAAGGAGAAATAGAATCATTCAATCCTACCCCATTTCTTTTCTCCATCAGCTATTTTAGGAACTTTGTTTTCAGCTCATAAATTTTTCCTTTTTCATACCTTTCTTCATTTTTATATCTTATTTTTTGGTGGTTATTCATGCATCTGTCGATCTGCCTTGATGCACTTTATACAGTAGTTCTTCTAACAGTAAAGTAACAATTCCAATAAGAGATAGCCAAGTGTTGAAGAAGAACTTGCTTCGGTATTAAAGCAAAGACTTAGTAAATGCTTTTCTTTCCCTCATTTTCAGTATGTGCTCATTATTAAGGTGAATAGTATAGTTCATCGGATGTTTGGAGGAAAGCTTTGACTTCCCCCATGAGAAGAGCAGTCATCTGCTAGAGCCTTTTGGGGGGTGATTAGGGAAGCAGTTGTTTAATCTTCAAATTTTATGCAACAGTTTATGACTATGAAGATGTCCAAATGGATTGGCTTTGTCTCTTGAAGAAAAACAAGAACAAGCACCCCACAAGCACAGCTGTGGTAGACCTGAGAAGTGGTTGTGTTTGTCTAGCATTGAGTTACCTGGGTTGGTGCTTGTACAAGGGAATGGGGAACAGCCTCAGCGCATCCTTGCGCACCAGTGTGGAATGCCGAGGTCAAAGGGCAAGACAGCTGTCATTCACGCAGGAGAGGAACCTTCAGGATGAGAAGGGCCTTAGTTACAAAAGCACTGATTTTCCTCTTGATTATTGTTTATAGTAATCATGCACATGTCTAAAATATCTGCATACCATATAATGAAGTAATGTTCTCATTGTAAAACTTAGGGTCAGGCCACCTAGTACGGCAATCACTTTCACATTTCAAAACTTAAGGAAACATAAAAAAACATTCCGCATTTAGAAAGAATGCAGTTAACATAAATCAAGGACTTGGAAAAGAAGTTCAGTTAAAGTTTTTTGAAGGAATCATTCAGTTCATCATTTATGAGCTTCTGTCACAGATGACAATATGTGGTTTTATCAACCATTGGAATTCCTGTTGATAGGATTAGCTATCATATGTGATGAATATTATCTAAAACCAAGTTTCTGGATACTGGAGAATATTAAATATTATCCTCAGGATATCTTGGCATTTGTAATCTGCTATTGACATTAACTGTGTGTGCAAAGAACGTTACATGCATTTCTTATACATTTCTCATGCTCAGGGTGACAAAAATGAGGTGGTGTCCCAGAGGATTGTTCAAATAAGACTCCCCTCCAGTCCCTTGACCGAAGCCTACGGTCCTGTGGGCAGCACTGAGGACGTGTGTACCCTGTGTTCAATATAATCGTGCGTTACAGGGTGGTTAATGTTGAAAGCGTGCCAAAGCATGCTCAGTCAGAAGAGCAAAACAGTGGGCCCCCTCCACTGTGTGAGGCACGCCACTTAACACCTCCAGTGCCTGCTTAGTGAGGCCTTGGAAGAGGCCAGGTTTGCAAGCTCAGAGCTCATAGCAGGAGCTTGTCTTTATTTCATTGAATCTGGGGAGGCCCATCTCTTTCACTCTGGCTGTTGTGAGAGATAGTAACAAAAAGGGGTTGTTGACCCTAACGGTTATTAATGGAAATATAATGTTGGTGGGGCATTCTGTGATATTCTGTTGTAAATATTAAAATGATATGAAAAGGAAGTTTGCTCTTCAAGGCAAAATATGAACTCTAATTTTATTGAGAGATTTTTTTTCCCTCAAGCGTGGATGGATTATTTTTTTTTTTTTCTGATTCAACAGCAAATAAGATTTCACTGATCAAAATCTGTCTTGGAAAATACTGTCATTTCTCGTGTGCTAACATGATAAATATGGGGCTGGTACTATTCTTCCTACAAAATTGTTTTATGACACTATGAAAAAGAAAGTATAGTAATGGTGAACTAAAGTCACTTATAGGATTAAAAAATATTTTGGAAGAACCTGTGTCAATTAATTAGTCTTATATACCAGAATTAGTCTTATATCCAGAATAATGAAAAATTTTACATGCTGTAATTAAATTATAGGAGAGAATTAGATTAAATAACACAAAATAAAATGCATGTTTTATATTCATTGAAAATCGGAGATTGGAAAGATGTAGGACTATATAATTTGGGAATAACCTGAGAAGGTATTCAGTCACTCAAATGAACAGATGGCCAGTGATTGTAAACATTTACATCAAGACGGGCTCAATAATAAAAAAGTTGCGTCCGAAAGTTATATTTTGGGGATAAAAGTAAGCATCAGAAAGTAATGTTATCCTGCTAACTCAAATAGGGAAGCAAGTGGAAAAATTAGTACTTTTATTGCAGACCTGTTTGAATATTAGCTCTGTTTAAAATTCTCAGTCCAGCCCTGGTCTGTGGCATCCCGACAAGAGTACGGAGGAGAACAGATTCAAATGTCGGATGCATTTGGCTGTTAGGGACTACTCATTGACACATGATCAGACCAGCCATTGCCTGGGGGCAGAGGGGGAAGGTGATGGGGTCCTATCCAAAAAAGGCTATTTGATTCCTTTAGGAGGAGTCATGGAAGTGTGTTTGAGTCAAATGAGGGCATTAGTAATGATGGAGTACAGGGTCCTTACCCTTGCTCCTATTGAGGTAGAAATGGAGAAGTGAGATCACCTTCTGTCCACAGACTGCCACAAAACTTGTGAACTGTTCCAACCCTTCCATCACATACTCTATACAATTATAAAATTGTACAGTTATAAAGTCACCTTTTTTATTATTCACATGTCTGTGAAATAATCAATTGAAGCTCCAAATGGAATCCTTAACTGTGATAAGGAATTGTTGGATTAAAAAATAGGATGCCGTAAAAATCTTTTCTTGAAAAGATCTTTGAGGACCAAGTTGAGGTCGCATCACACCATGTTTGACAACTGGGAGCGGTTCACTGACCACAGTGAGAAAACAGTGGTGCCTTTTGGGGCAAGGTCTTGTCTGCCCTCACACATACGCTGCAATAGCAATTTGTTATTTTTTTTTAAGGGCAAAGCTGCAGTTAACATCTCTTAAGTATAATGAAGTTACTACATGTATAAAAGCCTCGTCTTTCCTTCCCTCCCCTCGAAGAAAGACTTTACTCTTTCGAACTAACAAAGTGTTGCTGATTGCATTTCTGCTTGCTGCCTTTAGAATGACTTTAACTTGTCACATTTATTGATAATCTCATGTGTTGTGATAGATTTGATTCATGTAGATCATTATCCCTACCTCTCTTTTTCCTGAAATAATATTTGTATATGTGTGTGTTCATGTGTGTGTCCTGTTTTCTGACTCTGAAATGTTTATTATGCCTTAGACAGTTACCCCAGGGAGATTATGTAAAAAAGCCTGGAGATGGTGACTCTTTTTATAGCGACATTCCTCCTGGAGTCAGCACAAACTCAGCATCTAGTTCTAAGAAGAGGTCTGCTTTTCTGTCGCATTTTCAGATTTCTACCTGTTCCATCCCACATTATTCCATTAGTCAGAACATTTCATTATTTTGCAGCAGGTTTGATCCTTCTTCTTCTTTCTTGAATGTTAAGAACTGGTATCCTTTGTTCTTTGATTACTCTACTGAAAAATGCCATATGCTCGGAACCATTTGTTATGCAAATCAGGCCACAAAATTGAAACAAAGCAATCAGACACATTAAATCTGTGCAGAAACCCTAGGATTTCTCAGTCTTGTTTTTATATGACTTAACAAACTATATATCATATTGAATCATGTCGTAATTGGTGAGCTTTATGTCATGTTTGGTAGTCAAAGAAAAAGGTTACTGTCATGCTTCAATAAAAGCAGTTGTTAACATAAGTTGGTAATATAAGTGTTGCATTGGATATTTTTAATTTTTATATCTCAAAACTAAGCTTGCTATGAAATAAAGATTGCTTCTCTGTGAATCGTGTATTTAAATAGTATAATTTTTGCTTTTTTATGGAATGATTAGATTTATTAAATATGCTTAACATTTGCCTGAGTTTTTCATAGTTCAACTGGGATTAATGTACTGTTTATATACTCGAAATGCTGATGATGTGTTCTTGTTATAACATTGTAAGGTATATGACACCATTTGAAATCCCGCATGCTTTATAATCACTTAATAAAAGAAATGGGTAGGAGAAATAGTTGTAATGTTTGTAATGTTCTAGAGGCTTGCAGTTACTTCAAAAAGAAGCTAAAATGTTTTGCTGAAAAACTTCTCTGAAGTTGCTGATACAGGTGTAACAGAGAGGAACAGAGTTCTAGTAGAATCCCCACTACTGACTTGGGGCACATCAGATGTCTTGTAGAGTCAAAGGAAAACTGTTAGTGCATTGAGAGGGAGCATGGCCTCTTCTGGAGTTCTAGATCCAGGGAACCATCTGGAAATTCTGCAGTGGCTTTCAGTCTTCAGAGACAATAACCTGAAAGGGAAAGAGAAAAATTTAGCAACACCGGGAACTCTGCTTTATGTGGAATTTTGTTAAGCATGGAGAGTAATTTTAAATAATACACCTCAAGACAAAAGTAGAATTGATAAATTGGACTCAAGGAGTGCAGTTTTGGAGAATGATTTTTTTTGAAAACCTTGCTTTTCATTTAAAGCACACTTGCTAGTTAAGAAATGAAGTAGGGAGCTGGTCGAATGCTCTCATGATGTAGGCATTTTCTTGGTCAAATATCAAATCTCAAACGACACAGTTAAAAATTGAAAAAGTCAGTGGTCTCTGGCAGAATTTCTGTTGTCCTTTTGTACAAAATAGAAATCATTTAGTATGTACCAGATGATGTTTGTAAGTTCCAGCCTGGAGAATTAATTAATACATAGTAACTGTGCCGAGTTCCTTTTATTTTCACTTACCTGTACAGGTCTTTTAAAGATAAAATAGTTAACCATTTAAAAGTTACCCAGAATGAAATGTGGAAAAAGTGTTTAAGTGTAGTGCCACTTTCTAAAGTATCTCTTTCTAAAGTCTAAACAATCTGAGTAACATCAGATTTTAGGAAAGAATTCAGTGGGTTCTAATTTTTAAGTAGTTTAAAGTATACTATGACTGTTAGCAGACTTCTGCTTAGTATAGGGGATTTGTCAGCTCCTTATTTCTGGGGTACCACGAAGATATGTAGGATTTCCTTTAAAGACTGCAGGCACCAAGCAGCAGGAGGGCTCAGTACACATGGGCTTTCCCAGAGGCTTTTGTGCCAGACCTCTGAGTTTGCTCATTGTTAAACCAACCAGCACCTCCTGTACTTTTTTTGGATCATTTTTGTGGGCCAAAATGTCAATTCTCAGAAATTATTTTTTTTCTCTGAGAATACCTAATTATTATTCTAACAATGATTAGTTAGTTGCAGTTGAACAAAATCTTCATGTAATCTCTTAGAAGTCCATGTTCTCATAATAGTAGATTGGAAATCATTGCTTTACAATTAAGAAACATCTATGGTGGGACCCCATTATAACTGCTGTTGGGGTTATGCAACCACAGTGTGTGTTGCCTTTGCTATTTGTGGTCACTGTGTTCTGGGGAATGTGAATTGGCTTGCACAGTGCCCTAAGACTTATATTGACTATTGTAATGGGGTTCCATTGTATTTGACTTTTCTTAAATTGAATGTTGTGTAATTCTGCCTTCTTCATGAAGACTTTCATGTTCTCTTCATTCTTTCATTTCAGACTTTTCTTTCTTGATGTGTTTTATTCAATGCACAGTAATGCCTACAAGTTTTGCTTAGTGATATCAGAATATTTGATTCTCTTTTAGAACAACCTGTGAATATTTTCAATTTCAGGTCCAATGGGCTCTCTCATTCTTGGAGTGAAAGAATTCCAGACACAAAACATATTTCAGACATCTGTGAAAATGGACGACCTCGCAGTAACTCCTGGCAAGGTATTGGGCAGAGCTCTGAAGTCTCTGTCCACACATTCAAGTTTTGTATTATGTGATCCCTGGTTAATGAAGGCCTATACTTTTCTGGATACTCTGACTCTCTTCTCTTAATGAAGAGGCTATTTAGAACAAGAGTCAGGTTCTTGTTTCTTGGGTGGGAAATGATACTATTGGGTAAAGGCCTGTGTTGTAGGTGGTGCTGCTTGTGAGATCCACTTCAAATACTATGTAGTTGAACCTAGGAGTCATTTATTTATGTAGAAATCTAGCTGTTGGTTCTCTTTTTCAGGTAACCTGGGAGGCAACAGAAAGAAAATCAGAGGCAAAAGATTTAGACCTCGATCTAACTCAACTGAGTAAGTCTGAACGACTAATGGAGAAAAGGCACTCCAAGGTTCTGGACGCTTAGTATCAAATGTCAGTTAACCAGACAGGAGCTGTAAACCAGGCCTCTGGTCTTGGTGTTGTCTTTTTAATTCTTTTCTGTCGTTTAAGAATTAACCATGGCTTTTCTCTTTTACATAGGCATCTCCGCAACTCTGTCCATGCCAATATTCACTGACAGTGGGGTCTCACCCTCGCTGCGGGTTTTTGCTCCAGTCACCTGCCATTGTGGTGTCTTGGTTCCGTTTGAAGGGAATTTTGCTAACATTCCTTTCTTCTCATCACCCCCGGGGATCCAGCCATCTCAAGGGGTCACCCTCCCTCTCCCCAGAATCCACACAGCCTGGAAGCATCAGGGCCCAGAGCATGGAACTGCTCACAGCCTGAACCTACCTCCCCAGGTCTTCATGGCTGCCTTCTAAGCATTCTCTCAGACTAATGGAATCAGGCTCCCTTTTAAATCTTCCATCAGAGGACATTTAAAAGGGCATCTCCCTGAACATGCACTTTAGTGGAATCGTTGTCACTGAATGCAGCAGTATCACACGATTTTGCATTTCATTCGGGGTGGGAACAGAAGTTGCACTTAAAGCCTTGTACGATGAAGTAGACACCATGCACTTTGGTTTGTTTCTCCACAATGAAAGGTCAAGAAAGCCAAAGCTTCTGCAAACCTGTGCCTCCCTGCACAGCGCAGCCTGCGAATCCTTTCAGACTGGCGCTGCCACCTGGTTTTAGTCACAAGCACTTTTTTTTAACCCTGCCTGTTTCTCCCGTAGTGGTAATTATTACTGCAGGGATCTCAATTGCTTCTTCATGCCTTAATCCTTAAAGAGTATGAATAGCAGGTATTTGTTAAGTGCTTGTCAGAAACTTACGTTAGCTTTTGCATTATATACCCTGCCTTTTTCAGTCCAGGAATAGTGCTAGTATTGCCCTGAAGTTTGGACCTTCCACCTGAATGGTATTGACTTGTAAGTGGCTTGTCACAGTTTCCTGGCAGATCTTACCCCTAGAATGGATAGAGAAACTCAAGTGATACCATTGCATGGTCCAGAATGACATCCTAGAATGCTGCTCTAAGTAACTAATCCTGAGGTTTTATCTCTTGCATTCCCAAAGCGTGTGGATGCTTCAGGGCTCATTGTGACTTAACATGTCTTGCATGAAGTCACCTGGTCAGAGCCCCTTAGTTGCTCCTTAGACGTTAAACTTTAAAATCTTCTTTAGAGTGTCCACTGTGTACAATTTAGTATTCTGATAATATTTCTTATAACAAGGCTTTGAAAACTTCAAAAGAAAAAAAAAGTCGATTGTATGTTACGTATAGAGCTTAAGCAAAGAATATTTGGCATATTAACAATATGTATGCAATATTTTCCAGGGCACTTAGGTATTTTTTTTAACTTGCATGAAATGTGTACTCATATCAGGATATAAAAATCACAATGCTGCATATAGCCTTTGAAAAATCTTGTCTGCGAGATCATTAAGCTATAATAATTAATAAGGCACCATAACAGCATCTTAGTGAGGGAGACCTGTTGAGAGTAGAGCTTCCCTCTGATTTATGGACTTCCTAAGTTTGGTTGCCTGACTCATGCCAATGAAGTGAGGCATTCTGCGGGGCTGGTCACTGTCCCCACACGTGCTGCTGTATGGGAATGACCTCTCTCTGTGCATACGCTTCCTCTTGTAAGAAGCCCTAATACATGGTGTATCAAGAACTGGGTTAGCATGTTTTGTACTTTCCACATTTAAGTGATCCCATTTGCTTCTGATATATCTGTGCAACCTTAAGAGGGGCAGACTGACCATTAAGATCCTTTGAGCCTTTAGTTTTTTGAAAGAGGAAGTACTCTGGGTCCACTACTGGAGCTGTTTAGAGTTCCACCATCCCTAGGGGATGATGCAAAAGTCAGGATGGGAATTCAAACGTGCCACTCAAATGCACGCTCTGCTGATGAACCCAACCAGGCATCCTTGTTTATTGTACTGTCTTCCATTTGAACCTTTTGCATCTTCCTCACTGTTGTACATGACGTTTAAAAAAAAAACAAAACTTTTTTGGCTTAGACTCTGTATTATATATTGTGTTTTTACAGGAGGGAGCCCCAAGCACCTGAGGCTGGGCACTCCCTCGCCCAGACAGTCCCATCCCAAGGCATAAGCCCAGGGGGCTCTGACAGCCCCCAGACAGGGAGTCTGGATCACAGGTCAGTCTCCACCTGCCCCTTCATTCTGGGCTGCCGCTTAATCTCCTTCCAAGTCCCTCCCTTGTCTGAGAACAGGGTCACTGGATCTTTGACCAAGCTCCGTGTCTGCTTGGCGGTGCTCCTGGCTCAGCCGGCACCAGCTAATTCTCTGCCTTTCCATCCTGGAGAACACTGAGAGCTCTCCTACCCAGTGTATTTGCAGTTTTTTGTTTTTTTCTGCATGTTGCGCTCTGAGCCGAGTCAAGCCACTTAGGCAGGTCTCCTGCAGTTTGGTTAGATCTCATCACTCCAGCACCCCTCCCTAGAGGTGCTAGGAAGCCCACCCCAGAGACACTTCCCTGGGTAAATGCCCAGAAGGAACTGCCATCTGCAGCTCTCCTCTGTGTCCTCTGGTGACCGGATCATGGCCTTGAGCTGTGCTCCCAGACACTGAGGAAGAGGCTCAACAATGCAGGTCAAGCTATGTGCTTGTGCTTCCATGGAAGAGCCAGGGCACCAGTGCTTTGAGTGTCCAAGATGGTCCGTCAAAGAAACCACTGTGTCTTCCTGGGAGTGGCCGTCTGCCTCCGTCTGCCGTGTGGCTCTGTGTTCCCTGACGATAGCTGCATGGGCTTCTGCCACGGCTCTCCCCAGGCCGGAGCATTCACAAGCCTTCATCTGTGGCTGCACTCGCTTTTCTAAGTTTTTGTTGTTCTGTTCAGAGTCTCAGTGGAAATCTCTATGCAAGTTTACATTGGCTATCTTTGTGAAAAGTGCAAGTTGGCAATGATTGTGGCTAAAGGCAAAACAAGTGGAAGCTGTTTCTGAGTCAGGAGACATTATCTTGGCAAAAATGGCCTTCTGGGCACAGAAACGCAGCTGGGGCCTCCTTTCAGGAGCTGCACGATGAGATTTGCCGAATACCTTGGTTATGGCTAACGAAGAGGGGAAGGACTATGGGAAATCACCTGTTTTAAATGCAGTCTTGTTGGAGATGCATGTACAAACAACTCAAAAGCTAAAAAGTGGGGAAAGAAGCAAACTTTAACCTGAAACAGATATTGTACTTTTTAGTGTTCCTTTGTTTATTTTTCAGTGACTGTTTTACAGGGTTTGCTTATCTCTCATGGTATTTCTAGAAGTTACTTTTTAACGTGGTGGAAAAAATCCAATATAACATCTAAATCCTTGCTACACTGAATTTTCAAATGTTAAATCTGCATTATTTTAAAGGGCAAATTCTAAGAGCATGTGGTTTTGCTTGGCTCCCAAGTTAGAAGTCATTCACGCAATTTAGGACGAACACTCAGAAGGCAACCTGCCAGAGCCATTTCCCAACGGAATATAAAAATGTTAGTGAGCAGTGAGAATAGGAGGAGGGAACATTGCAGCTGCAACCAGATTATTGAACTCAGTGGTCACAGGGACCTATTTGAACCCCAGTTCCTGTACCCTGGGGCTCCTGGGTCAGAAGGGGGAACCCTTTCTGTTCCCCACAGAACCAACTGGAACAAACTGTCTGTTAAATGCAGCTTAGGATCCACCCCAGGCAGTGAGAAGAGCCTTGTAAAAGCCTCTCTTAACTGTCCTTGAGGAGTTATGCATCCAAATGCCTGGTTGTAATCACAGCCAGCTGAGTCTTTTCAAAAAGCACCAGTATCATTCAGAAACCAAGGGGACAAATGAGAGGTGGTCTGGGAAGAGTCATTTTGGAAGATGGAGAAGAGCTGTTGACAGGACCACGATGGAAAGGGATTTCCCGATTTGCTTGGGGAAGCCCTGAGAAGCTGCGTCCTCAGGTTGACTGCATTCTTAAATACCTTGAGGCTTGTTTAGCTGAGATGATACTCATGTCATTGTATAGACTGCCTCATAGTCATCCAACATCCATCCCGGTTTATTTGCCAAAGTCACTTGCATTTGGAGGGTGTAGACATCCTTGCTAAGCTTGTGCTGTGTATTTTTCAGATTTTCTATCTTGTTCTGCTTTCTTTGTTCCTTCCATTGCTTTCTGCAGGTATTTAAATCCATGGTTCAAAAGAGACTATAATGTAGCTAAGTGGGTAGAAGATGTGAATAAAAACACTGAAGGACCATACTTTAGGTATTTCACAAATTAATTTTATATCTTTTTCAAACTCTCCCAGCACAAACGAGTACTGTAGTGTGACTGGCTCTCTAGCTTGTATCTCCCAATACAAGTTCCTATAGGTGGAAAGAGGGGTCCTTGTTTATTTGCTGCCTCTTGATCTCTGTTTATTTGGTTCCATGAACGAGTCTAGCGCTTTTCTGAATGTTTCAAATGAAGCCATTTGAAAAGGGTTGTCATCTGATGCATGCCCCTGTCGTCATCTTCAGCTTGTCAGTAGCTTCCTCTTCATTTTATGCTGTGTAGTGTTCTACAGGCATGACACATCCTTTCCACTAATAAAGAAACACTATTAACCTGAGCAACCTAACTTTTAGAATCTAGAAATTACATAATGCATCTTTGCCTACTCACTGCCTAAGAGTGCATAGTGCATTTGAAAACTCAAGGAAATTATGACAAGAAATTAGATGGGATATAGTGGAATTTTGCTTGGAGTAGGAATCGATTTGATCCAACCTAAAGATTATTGCACTACAACTGGCACCCAAGCAGACTTGGAATCTGTTGACGTTTCAGTAGTGTCTGCAGAATGCAACCACTGGCACCCAAAGAGGGGCAGCGCTGCGAAAAGTGGTCACAGATTTTCCACAAAGCATCCAGGGAACTTGAATGACAATGTCGCTGTCCAACACTTCAGCCAGACCAGAAAGCCCATAGGCAGAATGTGCTTCACTCACCACGGAGAGGAGTTTACAAACTCTTCAACTGACCTCATTCACTGCAGAGAGAATTTCCAAGCACATTTAATGGCATTTTTTTCAGTCTTTTACAATGTCAAATGACCTGCTGGAGGTCAATGTCCACTTTTTATCTGGCTACTTCATAGACAATTAATGTAGAGAAGAAATATATGCTTAATCACTAGTTACCTGCTTTCAAACTACTTACCATGACTTAGGTCAGAACCAACCAGATAGCAGGTGTATATTTAACCCTCAGCATCCATATAAAGTGGATTATCTCTTCTAGTGTACCATTTAGTTTAGTCATGTATAGTTTGAGAAAATGATTAGACCTACCTGCATTTAATTTGGCCCATAACATTTACATACACTCCAAGGAAAGCGTAACTCCTGCCTGCTCACAAAAATGTATGCTGCTTTTCCTCCTGATCCCCTCCTGCCCTGCCTCCTGCTTGTCCCACACTTCCCCACACTGAACCTCATGCACATACACTCACATGCAAACATCCCACCCTCACCTGTAGCTCCCAAGATGACCAACGTCAGGAAGACAGGTAAGATGATTTTGAATGCTACTTGGAATCTTGGCTCGCCTTCAGTCCTATTTCTCTTCTGTATTTCCCTCAGGCTTGTGGGCAGATTGTAGTTTGTCATGGCCCTGGAGCCAAAACAGAATGATTTGGGTCCTGTATGCATTAGGGCTCTTATTGCTAAGCAAACTCAGTGTGTCTGTGACCATGATTTGTGAAATGGTCCCTAGGAGTGGCCTCCCCTCCCATGGGGGAGCTGAGAAGTTGCTGTGGCTCCCAGAGGAGAGCTCACCTTTCTCGAAACCAGCACGCGGGTCTGCCCAGAAGCTGTCCACTTGCAGTGTGGATGGGGAATTGCTTTAGCGCCCTCCGATTGCACGCGCAGAGCTGCAAGGTGAACCTAGAGGATTCCTTAGTGTCCTCTTAGCAAGCGACCTTGGTTTCTGCTGAAGCTAGGCCCATTCGAATTCATTAAGAGAAATCATAGACTTGTTTAAAGGCTACATGAAGCTCAATGGGCAGTTACAATTTGAAACTGTCACTTTTGGATTAGCAAGAGCTATGTTGGTCAGACTGGAAAACCAACAGGGAATTTCTGTGGCTCTGGTGAATGCCCGAGGTGGCACAGAGCTTTGAACACAGGGATTCCAAGTGAGGGAATTTCATCCTCTTTCCATTATGGCCAGGCCTCACCCAAGGGGCCCGGAGTGCATCCTCCCCTTGGCTCGTGCTTTGCCAGCCTGTGCTTGTGCTCAGATCTGCTTCTTTGGCTGCCAGATCATTCAGGATTATCACTAGTGAGGATAAAGGTCCCCTCATTAATCACGTGGTGCAGAGTTCAAGGCCTTCTTATCATGAAACAATGAGACTTCGTGATGGCAGCCTACGGGTCCAATCGAAAACATTTTCCTTGCGGAACTTAGTAAAAGCCAGGCAGTTAGCTGAAGCTGTGGAGCCGCCAGGATGTCTCCGCTGTGTGCCCTGACCTGGTTCTGCAGGGACAGTGGTCGTTCACGTTATCATCAGTGCATGTCCTGGCCATCGGGAAGCAGTGGAGGAGCCCAGGGCTGGAGCATCTTGTCAGCCCAGCCTGTGCCTTCCAGATGCAAACAGTGCCATGCCAGCTCTGTACTAGAAGAGACCACCAGCTGATTGCTCACCTCAGCAGTCGATTTTCAGCTCACTGCCATGATCACACAGAAAACACAGTTACCCTGAAAATAAGCTAAACTTAACGTCAACTTTCAAGTGCCTACTGCGTACCTTCATGACACTCTAAGGGATCATTCTTACTCCCCGTCTACAGGCACAGAAAGTCATTCAGGGTCAGCTAGTAAGAATCAGGAGCAGGGTTAGAGCCTGGCTTCTTCTGACTCCCAAATCTGCTCTCATTTCATTCCACCGTATTTACTGAGAAGTTTCAGGCATATACTAAAATTCTACAGTAGGACACTTCATAACTGCTACTAGTTAAGGTTACTCTGAAATATTGAAACACCTGTGACTAAGGGTTGGACCTGTGTCTCTCTCCTAGAGCTGACCTGCTTCATCCTGTCCTGGGGAAGAGGGAGCACAAATGGAGTGAGGTTGATCTCTAGGCTTATATATATACAAGATGTGAGCCCAGCAAAGTCTCACATAGACCCAAGCTGCGTTGTAGTGCATTGGCTTATATACATGCCTTTATGTTGCAGTCATAACGTGGCACCTATACCACCCCACATAGGTTAACATGGTTCTTAGGAATGTGGCAAGGATGATGTACAAGCTGGGTTGGGACTTCCAGGCAAGTGGCCAGGGCCAGAAAAAGATATTAAGCATTAGACCTCCCTCAGACATTGTGAGAAATTTTGAGTTGATTTTCTCTGATTGGCCCTGCCCAGTTCTCTGCTCTTCAGATAATTAGGTTAGGCTGCCACGCCCCACCCAGCCCTCAGAACCTCTTGCCCCTTCTATTGAAACTGGCTTCACTTCCTCCCCTTAGGGTCCCAAGTGCCAACTAGTTGTTCGTGTGAGAGGTAGACTCTGTGAGCTTTCTTTGGGCCTGTTTTTGTTTTCACACGTCACTGGCTCTGCCTGTTGGAAATACTTAAGGAGAAGCCTGGGATTCCAACACTCCTTGTGCTTTCACAGGTGCTCACACCTGTCCATGGCCAAGTTCAGGTCATCATGATTGTTAAGCTAGGCGCCAACAGTTCATTCTATGGATACATGTGCTGTCGCAAGTTAAAAAGGGGACTCATTTGGGGTGACCCCTTCAAGTATAGAAAATAGGGTTATTGTGCACCTGACTTGGTTTTGTGATCCTGGATGTCTTATCAGTCATAAATAGACTAAAAAGCTGAACCTAGGTTACGATCCCTCATTTTAAATACTTAAATCCAAAAGCATAAACTTCATTTTATAGATACTGAATTTGTTTCCTAAAGATAAGTATTGTTTAAAGGGAGGAAATTTATGTCTTGATTCTGTTGAAGGTTTTGAAAGCAAAATCTATGGCCCTACCAATGCTGTCCCCATGACCATCACTCCCAAGCTCAGTCAGTCACAGCCACTGAGGGGCATGCTACAGAAATAAGTCCTTAGGCTGCAGCGTGGCAGTGAGAGCAGTTCCCCAGTCCCCACCACGCAGGGGCAGGAGTTCAGGAGTCATGATATTTAGTGGTCATTTGTGGATGGGATAAGGACTGTAGCAACCCATCAATTTCCCCTGGATACGTGACGAGTAGATGTTTTTTACTCCTCCAGACAAGTTAGCATCAGGAATGGGCTCCTCTGGTGAGCCTAGTTTAATTACAAACATCGTCACTCCACATGCCAGACCACACCAATGTAGCACAGTGCACCGGCAGCCTACCCAGCAATGCTGATCGCAGTGACTAACCAGACCATCTCTGTATGTTCTCATCAGACTTTGTTTGGCTGGAACTCTGCACTCCTCACTGCTTGCATGTTTACTAATTTACGATTTAAACTCCTATATTTGCCTTTGTTCCTTTACAACTAACACACTGGCCTCTAAATGCATGAGTTTTGTGTAAACTGGTGTGTGATTTAGCAACTAACAAATATATCCACTGTGATATATTTTAAGATCTTAAGATATAACTGAGATTATTGTACTTAGCAGCATTCATACATTAAGTGGTAGCCATAAGGCAGAGTATTAGTATGTTGTACACTTAGTTTACCAGTATGAGTTCTTACAATAACTTTATCCCTTCTCCATGTGAGCGTTTTGTTCTATGGGAAACTTCCATATTGGATTTCTAGGTGAAAATGATGAATCTGGATAGTAACGTTTTGAACAGTCCATAGCAGTCGTTATAGTGTTGGGAAACATGAAGTTAGGAAGCCAGTGTTGGGAATGACAGATAGCTTCCTGGTAGTTCAGCTTTTGCTTTAGGGGATTGTGAAAGTAGCAGTCAGAGGGTTTGTCTTAGGCCCACTTTTCAGATACTTAACAATAATCTTGGGCAATCATGTAATAGTTATTTTATATGTTCTCAACGTCTCAGGACTCTGTCTCCTGCCAAGTCTCCTTCATCATCGACTGGGTCTATTGCATCCAGCAGAAAATACCCTTACCCAATGCCTCCACTTCCAGATGAGGAGAAGAAAGTGAACCGACAAAGTGCCAGGGTAGGTGGAGATGTCCTGCCCGTGCGTACCCACTCATCTGTGAATTCATGTCTGAAAAGAAAATGAAAAAAAAAATGTTGGTTTGATAACTGAAAGATTCTGGAAGATTTGAGGTTCAGGTTTATTTTTAGTTATTAGTTTAACCTGCATTGATATATTTTGAAAACGTTTGTGTGTATTATCCATTGCTATATATTTTCTGTTGTTGGTTGCACTTTAAAGCCTGGAATTGATAAAGTGGTATGTATTTACTTGATCCACTTTTAATATCCTTGATAATGTCAGAAATTACATGAACAAGTCTCCTCTCTTCTTCATGCCATTTTCTGACTATCTTAGCAACAGGAACTGTGACAGAGTCAGATCACTGACAGATGATTGGGGTGGGGTCTTGATACAAGGAAATGGGACATGAAAAATCTGCAGTGTTAAAAGAATATGGCAAAGGGTTGGGGCAAAATTTAACAGGCTTTTATACTCAAAATAGTCAAAAACAAGTATGGAGACAGTGATTCCTTTCACCCAAATGTAATTCACCAGAAGTCTTATTAAATGCCAAGTGCCTTCCTACATTTTAAATGAGGATGCTGCTGTCTTGCAGGATTCCAGGAAAGTATCCATTGTGTGGAATTCGAGACCTAATGGAGCTGGGAAGTAGTGCATAATTACCTTTAATGTGCAGGCTCTGTTTTTGCACTACAGTGTTCCCAGAAACAATGGTGCAAAGAAGTCAATTTATAAAGCTTTCAGAGGCTCAGCTGATTTGTCCCCTAGTGGGTCCTGGGTTCCCAGAATTCTCAATTTTGAAAGGTGCTTCTGAACTTCATTGAATCTGACCCTAAATGTTGGCATTCAGGGTTTATAGGGATCCTTCAGATTTCAACTCTGTAAAGTCCTGAGCAAACAGCCAAAACTGATTAGCTCAATTCAGTCAAAAAGTCTTTAGGAACAGTTGGTTGTATTCTGCTACTCATTTGAAAATTACCTTTACGATCGTATGGGAAGTGATCAAAGAACGCTGGGATTTTCAGCACTTAGCTCTCTAGCCTTAAGATTGTTTAATAGACTCCCAGTTGTTCCTGATGGTTCATGTGAGACTGAAATTTCCCTTCCCTATCAGAAAATTAAGTGCAGCATGGTGTGTGTGGGTGTGTGCAGGCGTTCTCCATGCTAAATTGTCTGTGTTGCTATTTTGCTTCATTAACTTGAGGATATTCTCTGAGCCACACCCTGGAGTGGGGGTTGTTGGAAATGGTAGCATCTGAGAGCCAATGAAAATGACCACTCCCCAGGAGAAATGGCTGGCCCATGACTCCTTCCCTGGGCTAAGTGAGCTGATCAGGAAGCCTGCAGCTGTGAAAGTCCTGATTTGTTCTGTCTACTGTGGAGCAGGTGTGTGAGCCAGGGGCAGAATCCTGCACAACAGACAGTTTCCATTTCTGCAGTGTCGTCGTTGGCTGAAGAAACACAGAAGCAGCCCCTTTGTGTTTTGTTCTTTCACTAGAAAAAAAAATACATTTACTTATTTGAAAGGCAGAGAAGGAGAAAGAGCAAGAACACTAGAGGGAAAGAAAGAAAAAGTCTTCATCTGCCCAACTCACTCCCCAAATGCCCCAAATGGCTGGGCTTAACCAGACAAAACCCAGTCTTGACGTCTCAAGTCCTGCAGCGTCCCCTGCTGCTTTCTTGTGGGCATGTTAGCAGGAAGCAGAAGCAGAGCTGGGATTGGAGCTCAGGCCCTTCAGAGGCATGCTGACAAGGGCAAGCTCATGCCTTCTGCTCAGAGCCATGGCTTGACAAGTCTGGGGACCTCATGACTTGCATTGCCATTCATTTATTCCTCTCTGAAGCTATCTCTTATTGATCTTCATAGCCATCCTTGAGTCAACCTCATCAGCTCTCTGAAGCCGAATTCTTAACTGCTTACCACTTCAGACCCTTCTCTGAGCAACAGTCCAGCTCTCTGCCTTTGAGCCTGGTGGTCCCAGTTGAACTCTGCTCGGTGCAGGTGTCTGCTGCTGAGACAGATCCTCACACAGATAGACCCAGTTGGTTTCCAGAGGCTCAGAGGGAAGGGTGTCTTTTTGTTGTAGGGTTTTCAACCCAGAATACGGCAACAACCTCAATTCTTGTCTTGCAGAAAGAATTTTCATGAGGACACAGTTTAGTTTTAAAAAGATTTATTAGAAAAACTCAGAAAAGGAGTTCCTCTCCTAGTGATGGGAGGGGGCTTCAAGAGAGAAAGGACCCTTAGCCCCTGCCATAGTGGCAGGAGGAAGAGGGGAAAAGGGCCTAGACCTCTGCCATAGTGGCAGGAGGAGGAAAGAAAGAAGAACCCGTACTAACAGTGGGGATAGTGTGTTTTAAAACTTCACTTCAAAGAAGTCTCTCCATAAACAAAGGAGAGAATTCCTGGTTTCAGGGGTACTGGCCTTGGGACAGAAGGCCCAGAAAGTTGGCCCTGTTACCAGCCAACTTCCTTAAGTCCTTTTTCAATGATAAAGAGGCCAGTCTGATACTACCCCCTTGGCAATGGCTAGACACAGAATTGCGATGGAATTCCGTTGATGCTTTAGGTGGGGAATTGGTATGTTAATATTGCCCTGGTCTCCTGGGGAAGCGTGTTCTGGATATGTTAAAATATGCGCTTGTCTCTGGTGAATCCAAGACATGGTGGGGAAAATACCCTTTTATATTTGAGAAAAAAAATGATGACTCAGGGACCCAGAATACCCTAACTGCTCACTACCCAGTCTAACTCCTCTCTCACCTGGACAGAGGAATTGTACATATTTATGGATTATGGTTGGTCTTTCAGTACTTACAGATTATGTGTTACTCAAATCAGGGTATTGTTATTTGCTCTTCTTTGACATTGCTTTATGTTTGCAGGCTTGGAGCTCCTTCCTTCTGTTCGTTCATAAATGTATTCTAGGTTTTGGTGGACTGTAGTCACCCACCTGTGCTAACAAGAGGATGGATTCCTTCAGTCTAACTCTGGTTTGCTACCTGCTATCCAAACTCTCTCCACCTTTGTCTGCCCCTAACCTAGTATCTTGGGTTTGGTTTGAATTTTTTTTTAGCTTCCAGATTTGCAGGAGAGCATAAAAAGTTTGTCTTTCTGTGTTTAGTTTATTTCACTTGACATGTTCGCCTCTGGTTCTGTCCCTTTTGCTGCAGATAACAGCATTTCATTCACAACCTCCCCAGATGACTGTAACATACTCTGATATTAACAACCATTTCCTGGTGGCTGTATGAGAGTCCTGGGGAAAGACGAGCATTTGTGGCTTAAAAGTGTTGTTTTCAACTATTAATACATTTAAATATTTAGACTTACATTTCAAATAGCACTAAATGAGCATATGAAAATTTTCAGTTAATTTGTTTGAAAGGCAAAGTTACAGAGACAGGTGAGCAGAGGGTGAGAGAAAGAGATTGAAGGAGAAAGAGAGAGAGAGAGAGAGAAAATGACCTTCTGTTTTACTGCCCACGCAGTCGCCATGGCTAGGAATGGGCCAGGCTGAAGCCAAGAGCCTGGTATTCTATCCAGGTCTCCCACAGGTGTGGCAGGGGCCCAAGCCATGGCTCAGACTGTCTCCTGCTGCTTTCCTAGGTCCATTAGCAGTATGCGGCATCAGGAGTGCAAGAGCTGGTGCTCGAATCAGCATTCACACGGGATGCTGGTGTTGCAGGCAATGGCAGTGACGTCACACAATGCACCACAATCAGCCCCTTGGATGAGGACAATGTATAAAGAAGTGATGGCTCCACCCTTGAGGCCATTTGGAGAGTAAATCAACGCAAATTTCATTCTCTCTCTCTCTTCTTTCTCTGTGACTCTGCCTTCCAAACAAATAAATATCAAAAAAAAAAAAAACAACAAGCATGAAGAAGTGGTAGACTTTGAAAAGGCTGAGATGCAGTTGTGGAAGAGAGACTGGGAGTAGCAGTTGTATCTGTGTATTAGACTGCAAGGGTGTGTGTCCACAGCGTGGATGTACAGCTGGAAGCCCTGAGTCTCACACATCTGTGTGGATCACAGAATGTTTGATTCTCACACTCACCAGGTGCAAACTTTGCCTTTCTCTCTTGTGCAGCTATGGGAAACGTCCATTTAAGATCACCTGTTTACACGTGACACATCGAAACTGTTTACTCCAACTTTTATAGAAACCCAGCCTCACGGAATCCCTGCAGATCTGTCTGCCCTTCAGAGACTCCCTGAGTAGCCACCGGGAGGGGAAGCCAAATCTCACATCTGGATAATTTTTTTTTTCTCCATTGGCGGAACTGAACTGAACCATGCAAAAAAAAACTACCGAATGTCACCGTATGATGGAACGGTCAGGGTCCCATGTGTTAATGTGTAATCTGCATGACAGACATATATAGAAATATCAGTATAATTAACTCACACAACCCAAATGTAGCAAGTCTCCTAAGGACGGTAGTGGGTTCAGAACCTGACCCTCAGAAGCACATTCTCATTGTAGAACCAATGCTCAATGCATGGAACTTCTGTTAATTGTTTTTCATATTTAAGGAAACAGCATCCCATAGTAGAAACTAGCATGTAGGGCTAAAGCAGCCAGGGGTTTGCTGCAGGATTCTAAAGCTTTCAGAGGCCAACATCCCATGTGCTAACTCTAAACATGTATTTTTATTTTTTTTTTACTTCTCATATTTATATCAGCACACAAGGACACCTGTACATATGTAAAGATTTTTAAAAATCCAACAAGGAAAAGCAGCTGTTACACATAAGTGTATTTTGCCAAATGCCTAAACCAGTGAGTTCCAGCCCCATGCTCGTCAGGTGCTCAGCGATCTGCAATACCTGTGTTGTAAACACAGTAGTTGAGCGCTGTGTCATCCGGAGCTGGTCTCATCATGCGGTGTGTGGTCTAGGAGAGAAGAATGTCCTGTGAGCTTCGGGCCATGGCAGCTCTCTGCAGTGGGAGCCAGGAATGCAACTGCTAGTCAGCTCCTGGGTCGCTTCCAGCCTGGCCACTTCTCTGTGGGCACATACTGCTTGCCTCGGCACCTGGTACCTGTCAGGAGCACGCACCTGCACTGGGCATACCATGGAAGCCCCGAGCCGCTGAGCAGTGCGACCTGCTGAGATGACACAGGGGAATCAATGGGAGACTGCTGACTGCTGGTGAGTCACTAACTACCAACTTGTCGGTCCCCAATCCCCTGTGGCTGGAGGTATTCCTTGCTTGATGAAACGTGGTGGCCATCCTAACCCGGATGGACTTGCTGTAACAAAGAGCTGTCTATACCAGTGTTTGTCACCATTGGGCCAGCAGTCCTGACAGGTCATTTGGCACACACTTCTGAGCAAGATGATGGAAGACTCTGTCCCAGTTGAAAAACCTCTTCAACAGGCCATAAGGGGTTAAGTGACATTCAGATATCCTGAGATGGGACACCGATGCCTGACAAGAGAAAGGATCTAATGTCTTGGATCCTCTGTTTCTTAATCCATGGAAAAACTGGCATTTGTGCATTAAAAACCCTGTCTTTCAAAACAGAGTCCAATAGCTGTTGTTAGTGTCGCTATTACCCCAAAAGAAAGCAACCCTCTTGAAGTGGACATTGGGGGATCACCCACATGGTCTGCCATGAGTGTACTTCTGGCATCCTCTTTCATGTTGCAGAAGGACCTTTTCTATGTTTGGTCTCTCGCTGTGGCATGGGACATCTTTTCTGATGGACCTCTCTTCTCAAAGTCTGAGAATGTCTGAAACCCCGATTTACTCATCCGGAATTACACAGTGTGAAATGGTGTTTTTTCATGATTGGAAAGGATGCTATTGTAGATACTACAACAAACCGAAATTCATCAGACTGAGTTTTGGGTGAGTGTTGGGTGACGTTGTCACGCAGCTCAAGCCAAGGACAAAAGGGCAGACAGACAGAAAGATGTAGCCAATCGAGTGAGCAGGATCACTTGAATGTGCACTGAATGTTTTTCAGGTATCGAGTATGTGAAAGGCCAATGCTACAAGATTTATTTTGACTATAAAAGAGAGTTTATAGATTTGAACGCAAGGTGCCTCATGTAAATTTGCCTCCTAGTTAAAGTTAGATAGCGCCAATTTGGGAGAACCCATAAATGACTAGCTAAGTAGCAACAGATATCTCGGTCTCCATCTGTCATTTATCAGTCATCTCTTTGTTGACAATGTATGTATCTTTCTTCACTCTGGCTATTTAAATATGAAATTATTTTTCAATGAAAATCGTCATGTGCCTTTTGGGAGATGTGGTGACTCCAGAGGTATAGAATTTGTAATCATCCTCCTTGGTGATAACCTTCATGTGGATTGGAGAAAAAAGTAGTTTTTTTTTTTTAATTTATTTACAGAGGTTATGATTCAAGGACTAGTAACTCAGAGTTCCAGTTGGGATAGCTGGATATCTCCCTTAAGCATTCTTAGGGCCATTGTGGAAAATTCTTTGACCAATCTGTAGTCTCTATGGATGGTATCCCAAAATAGCTCATTTTCCTGGTTGATTTTTCTTAAAGCATTACATCTAAGTATTTGTGACCTTCCATCTTTTGAGGTAGATAGAATGAACCCAAAGCACTAACAACAAGCACAGCATTATTTCCTTTTAAATGTCTGTCTTGGAAAGAAAGTTGAGGTTGTGTAGCCTGTCACCCAAGTAACATTTGAATGGCACACAGCAGTTACTGCAGGATCAACCCGAGGCAGGAAGCAGCAGTTCGGCTTTCACGTCTCTTCGTATGCCTTTCCCCGTCTTTCTGCGGTTGTGTACAGAGGCCCTGCTGCCTTAGTCGGCCATGGTCATGATGCTGCAACAATCCTTGACCTGAAAGAACACTTTGGGTTTCTTTGTTGTTAATGGCGTAGGGTAGGACAGCAGGGAGGGCCTAGGAACTGGACTAGCCTGATTGGCTGCATTCACTTTCTTCTAATGGGACCCAAAAGCTCAAAACCAGCCCCAGACCCCCTGGTCCCTGCTGCCTGGACACCAAGGATCCTCAGCTCCCTGACAGGGCAGAAGAGCGAGAGTTTCCACTAGGGATGCTTGCTGTGGTTTTAAACAAACTCAGTCTCTCAATGAGACACAACCTATCCTTCAGTGTCAGTCCTTAAAAACACATCAGTGGGGACTTAAGAGGCCACACTTATTTTTCTGTTTGATATTGGTGCTTTTGTAAGGTCTGCTTTTTCCCATTCTCCCTCTTGTTTTAAAGAAACAAGCTTTTGAAATCACATTTTTAAATGAGGCTGGTTCTGCCTAGGGCTTCTACACATGAGACTGGAAGGGTTTCTGCAAGAAGTGGCCAAAAAATACAGTGAGATACTTGACACCTCCACAGAAGCACTGTTCATGTCTGGGTTCTGTAACAGAATTACATACCTCGTTCTTTTGTGTTTAGACCCATGGACACTGCTCAGTCTGTCCCTGGCCGCTCTCCTGAGGCCGCTCTGCCTCTTCCCTTTGCTCAGCTTTTCATCCTCACCTTGGGCCTAGAGGAGACTGGCTCAGGGTCAACACTATTCATTCATCTCATCCATTCATTGCTTGGTTTCACACAAATACACACACAGTGCTTTAACATAGCTAATACATCTCTTGGCTAAAGAAATGGCCGTTTTATTTGACTTAAAGGGAGGCTATTGGAAGGACCCTGACTGGTTTGTGGAGTGTGTGCAGAAGGAAGCCAGGCAGGACACTGCCAGCCTGGGCGGCCCCACGCAAGGCTGGTGGGGCAGGCGGGGAGTGGACGAAGCTCTACTCCCACTGTCGGCATGTGGCTTTCTCATGTTCCCAATGGCCTTTTCCCTTTCCCTTTTTAAGTTTTCCTTCAAAACTGTCACCGAAATACTTTATCTACTCTTAAATGCATGAAGTTAGATGAATTATTCATTCTCCCATTACTAGCTTAAGGTATATACAAAGCCAACATTTTATCAGATGGAGCTTCTTTTGGGGCTCACATGTCTTTCCTCCGTGGGGGTGTTTCAGAGCAGAGGAGGCTATTCTGATTTGGGGGTGCAGCAACTTTCCTCCCCACACGGGAATTCTGAGGACTGCAGTCGACAGCTTCAGTTTCTAGGGGTTCCCTTTGGTCCTGGGGGGTCAGGGGAGAAGCAGCCGCCCCGTGGCTGGTGTGATGTGGAAGTGCGCCCCCTGGTGCCTGCTGGCTGTGTGTGCTCTCTGTGGCAGTGCCCCGAGACCTAAGAGGATTTCTGTGCATTTTGTTCACTGCCAAATAGAGCATCTCCTGATCCAGTCCAGTAAAGGGAATTCAACAACAAATCCCCGCCTAGGTAGTATTTTTTTTCTTTGTCATTTACATCTATGGCCTGAAAAATCATAAGCACCCCCACTCTGGGATTGGAGAGGTACTTTCAGAATCTTCCTGCTCCCCGTCAGAAATTCCCCGTCAGCCACTGTGCAGTGTTTCCCTCTGACTAGGACCTAGCACTGTCCCACAGGCCGGCCCCTGCCTCAGCTAAGCTGCCACTCAGGAGGACCGTCAGTGTCAGAGTGCCCGTGGGAGGCACTCAGATCCTTTCCCACGAGCACTTTGGCCTGGATTATGCAGTTTAGGAAGCCAGCGTGAGATCCAGGATGGGAGGAGACAAGCAGCAGTGAGCTTTGAGGGACCTTGGGAGGACACAGGAGCAGAATGGACATCCACAAGAAGGGTCCAAGGCCGTGAGGGTCACTGGGCCCCCACCAGGCCATCTGGGGGCATGGGACGGGGCACTGAGAGCAGGTTTGCATATGTTGTAGTTAGCTCTAAATATGTCACAGGCTAGTCCACCCTTACTACCCACTGCTGCCCACTGTGCATGCCCCTCCTGCCGTTCACACGGTCAGACCATTCCGGGAGCTGTCTGAGGCTGGCAGGATTTTTATCAGAGGCATTATCAGTTCATATTCCTAATCACCCTTGAAATCAACAACAGGCAAAAGGGATGCTCTGTTGTTCGATTTTACAAAAAGGCATACAATGATACTAAGCAATCTTGTTAAGATAGAAAACATAAAAAAAATCATCATTGAAGTTTCACAGAATTTCTGAAGAAAGATATTTCCCTCTCTTGTTTAAAACACATTTATAGTGCTGATTGGCTTCCGCCTGAGAGCTTTCTGTTTTGTGAGGTTTCACGCTCTGATCTGTGTTTTGATGATTACACTCTAAAAACAACACAAATAGCCCCAATTCTTTAACCATAGCGGTGCTAAATTATAGCAGGTAACAACACAAAAAGTGATTTGACTAACACACTTCACGACGATACAAGAATTCCTGCTAAGTTATACCTGTGTACCACTGCCTGGTGAGAAACCCCACTTTTCTTTTCTAATCCAGCACAAAATCAAACTGTGTGTCTACGGCTAGTCTTTCTAATGGGTAAAAAGGACCCGACTTTTTTCTTTTATATGGGAGACTTTTTTTTTTTTTACACTAACTGCAATAGTGCTTAGCAAAAGGTTAACTTAGGACTAGTCAGCACGTACTCCTTTTTAACTTGCTGGAAGACCTGCCCCTCCTAAGGAAAATCCTTCAAAATCAGCTTCTTTCAGAAACTGAGTGTGCTGCCTACACCCAGCCATCCGGAGGGTGGCCTGCGTAGGTGTGCGTTAGTGTTTCCACGTCTCTCTTTTTAAGGTGTGACGCTGTCTACATCTGGGGAAGCCATTGTGGGCTAGAGTTAGCAGCATGGTCTCCCCTTTGTTGACAGGTAGAAGCGTGTAAATACTCAGATTTGCATCGTTGTAACATTGTCTCTGCTACCGTAAACTTGGTTTTTAAGCTATTTTAAAACTCGCTGGGTTTTGGCAAATATCAAGTGCAATGCACATCATGACTGCTTCTCCTGAGCAAGTGTGATCTGTTTTATGGCTAAGTTACAAAACCATCCTCACCTTGTAGGCAAACAAACAAAAATCTTGCTGTTTTTAAAGGTCACTGTACTTTGAAGTTCAAGTTTCTGGCACAATTTTATTAGTATTCATTTGTGAAGCTAGTGAGATATCACTGTTTTCTATGTTACTCTCATTATAACATCATTAAAGCGACTTTCAATAAAAGATCTGTGTTATTTTACGCATAACTCCCTTGACTCCATTTTTTTCCCTGCAAGTTTCTTTCAGAAGCTTTGTGGGTGGTCTGGTGAAGGGGTTCTTTCCTGTCTCACACTCTCCAGGCACAGCCTACTCACATGAGAAAGCAACAGTGCTTTGGTTTGGTGGGCCGGTGAGTGGTTTCCTCAACACGGTGTTAGGTGAAGTATCCTTACCCAGCATCCTTCCCACGCTGCTGCAGAGCAGTCACGTAGGCCAGACAGGGCTGCTTACTCAAGACCTGGGCCTGAACTGGGGTTGTAAAGCATTGAGCCTCCCATCCATTCCGTTCAGGTAGTTGCATGGGTTCCCTGACAAGCAAAGGCTCCTCCCTGGCCCCTTGATGCTCTCCCCAGGCAGCCTCATGCTGGCATCTGCAGTTGCCTCACCTTGGGCTCCTGGTCTGCAGAGGCAGAAAGCAAAGTGCTGTTTCAATGCAGGGAAAACAGAAGGTACTGCCAAAGGGTTTGTAGATTTCTTAAGGAGTCTAAACAAAAAGCCTCATGGTGATGGCATAGGGCTCTGGTTCTTGGAGTAAGAACACACTGCACTGAACAAAGCAGAGTTCAACTGGGGCACAGCAGGGGCTTGAGCTCATGAGCCACCTCACAGTCCACTGGCGCTGCCTGGGATTGGATCAGGTCATCATGCTACGAGCAGTCCCAACTCCAATGTGGATCCATAACAGTGGGACTCCGGTGAATGCTTCCTGCAGTGCAGATCCATACCCAGGCCACCGTTTTCCCATAGAAGCGTGTGAAGTGCATGGCAAGTAAACCAGACATCACTTGAAGCACAGACCAAAGAAAATTAAATCCTGAATTGACATAATTTTTGGAAATTATGGTGTTGAAGGATTCAAAGTTGAACTTATGGCTTTACCACATCAAGTGAGATTCCTTCACCAACAAAGAGTGAAAGATGCAGGTAAGGATGCAATGGGAGCACACAGTGAGACACAGCACCACATGCACTAGATCCAAGCTGCCTGCAATGCTGACATCCCATCTGTGTGCTGGTTCGTGTCCTGGCAGCTCCACTTCCAATACAGCTCCTTGATCTGTGTAACTTTCAAGATAAACAAATATTACGAAAAAAAAAAAAAGCGGAAGAGTGATTTCGTCAGTTTTGTCACGGGCAGGAAACCACCTACCAATAGGGACTTTGCGGAGACTACGGGCCCAGGCACTTGGAAAGCACCTGTGAGCAGAAGTGGAGAGGAAAGGCCTGGGTTTTCCTTCTTCAACACTGACTCAAAAACCGAATCAGAACCATGACTGAGCATCCTTGGGACGCAGAGCAATAACATGGTGCAAATGTAGCCTGTGACCTCGGTCAGCCAAAGCCTCCTGTTTTCCTGGGAAATGACCATTTTCTTGCCCTGTGATTTATTCAGAGGACCGTGTAGTGCTTCGACCTGATTGTAGGTGTCGGGGTGGCCTCAGGTCCTCAGAAGACCCCGTCCAGCCCTTCTCTGGCCAGCCCCGGTGCAAGTTATGCTTCAGAGTCTCAGGCAACCATGGCACACACAGCAGATTGTCTCTCCTGCTGACTTGCGACCCGTCATGCCTGCTTGGCGTTAATGTCAGGATCAAATAAACACATGCTAATGAAAGAACATCCATATACAGAGCAATATTTTCCAAAATCACATCCGTGCTTTTAGTTTTCATTGGCTGGCAACTAATTATTGATGTTAATGACAAGTCTTTCACCACACCTGAAAAGGGCCTTTGCCGGCAAGAAACTCATTTCACTGTCTAGTCTGCAAAGCTACTCGCAATAAGAGGGCAAACGGGGCAGTTTTAAATGTAAGAAACAAGGCTGGTCCTTGTTAAACCAGCATGCTTCGTACTCAGAACCACGCTAAGAGGTAAGGATTGAACTCTTTTCCCAGGGTGGGAGAACTGAGCCCCGAGGTTATCTACGGTAACTGAGCCACGGAAGAGGCACAGAGCCAACATCTGAAACCACGGCTTACTTGAAAGCCGCAATTACAGAGCTGTGTGTGTGCACGCTGGGGGTGGAAGGAGCAGGTACTTAGTGGTTAGGATGGCCCTGTCACTCACTGGCTCCTCCTGGCTCTGAATGCTGAATGCCTCTTGCTGCCAGTGCAGATTATGGAAAGTAGTGATGGCTCAGTTAGCTGAGGTCTCTCCGCCCACGCAAGATCTGGACTGTGACCCCCAGCTTCAGCCTGGCCCAGTGCCAGTTATAAAACAGTATGGTTGTGAACCAGTGGATGGTGCTTCTTGTCTCTTTCAAAAAAATGTTAATTTCCATTGTCAATATATTATCTTCTCATTAGAAAAACATTTGAACAATAGCAGCAGAAACAAAAAAAAATTCATGACCCTGACTCCCGGGGGGGGCACCACATCACTCTTCTCGGGATTTTTGCTGTTTACTTTTTAAAACCTGAAAATGTGGCTTATCCAAATTGAATTGTCACTTTTTTTTTAATTAACGTTTCAAAAGAACACCTGTAGAATTATGGTGTCACAGAAAACTTGGAAAACACAGAGATGTATGAGAAAATGAGGCCAACCGGAATCCCATTAGCCAAAATTAGCAGTAGTTAATATTTTCCTGTTTTTCTCTTAGTGTTTTTCTGTACACTGTCTTTAAATATTTAAACTTATAATGTACAGGACTTATAAGACGCAGGGAAAGTTGGTACAGACAGTATTTGTCAAAGAATCAAGTAGAGTTTGTTTTCAATATTTATTTATTTTCACATATTTGAAAGAAGGGGGGGGTATCTTTCATCCGCAGGTTGACTCAGTGTTTGCAACAACAGGGGCTGGCCCAGGTCGAAGCCAGCAGCCAGGAGCTCCGTCCGAGTGCCCCGACGTGCGGCAGAGGCCCAAGCACTTGAACCGTCACCTGCTGCCTCCCAGGACGCAGCGCAAGAAAGCCGGGTCAGAAGCAACACCCCCATACGGGATGTGGGGGTCACTACAGTGCTCACCCCTCAAACAGGTTTTAGAAGCAAAAACTAATCACTTTGTTCATAAAATCACTATGATATCTAGATGTCTCAGAGCCTGAGCTGCATTTCTCCTTCTGTGAAGCTTTACGTAAATTGCACATCTTTTGCATTCATCTGGGCCTAACCCATCAACAGCAGAATACTCCCCACTCCATACTACGCTGAAGCTCCTTCAGGAAAGACCACAGAGGTTCTTCTCTGTGACAATGTGAAAAATATATAACGGGCCATCCACATGCTGCAAACAGAAATTTATAGGAAAGATTGGGCAAGAAAATTTGTGACTAGTCATGGCTCCAGGAAGTTGTAAATGGTGCAGTAAGATTGATCTTCTAAAGTTGCAAAGAATTTATTATCAAAACTACACACAAAGTGACAGCGGTTCAGTACAGCCGTTAGATAAGTTCGTACGGGTTACTGAAGGTCAGGAGTAAGCCCAGTGTGAGCTCCGGATGGGACGTGGTGTCGCTGACCCAGCTTCCTCGTGGTTTACACACTCATGACACACTGAATGAACTGCAAGAGAAGACTCAGAGTTACACCACAGACCCAAACACTGTCTACTCAAAGGCAGCTGACATTGTACCTTCCAAAAAAACACCTACAACTTTCTAACGTGGGAACACAAGAAGGGTGGGAAGGTTCATATTTTAGCAAAGCAGCTGAACAGATAATCCAGTGGGTTTCTCACAGCAAAATTTACATAGGATGCAACTATGACTCCAAGCAATAAAGGATTTACTAAATTCCAGACACCAACATTCCAGGAATGGTCACAGTCACAGCTGCTTACCGACAAATACAAGTGTATGCTGTTGTATCAGTTTTACCCCTCAACTCTAAAGAAGCAGCTTCAAAGATTATTCTCACAAAATCTGCCATTTTGACATCACATCCTTAATGCAGCTTCTGTGTGTACAGAAGCAGAGCAGTCAGCCCTCCCCAGCTATTCGAAACCCCACATTTAAAGCAGCGAGATGTGCTGTGAAATGCTGGTATCCCCAGAAATCTAGGGGAGCAGACTGCTCAGTCCAATAACTTTTTTGTTCTCCCAACACCAGTTAGGAAACATGCATGGCTAATCTTGGCAGGCCAGGCCCGAGAGCAAGCCGGGCATCCCTGTCTCAGACAAAGGGAACTGCAGCAGCTGCACATTTACAGATCTGGGGCCAACGCCATGCCCCTCACCTCCCAGGCTGCTCCCCAGCGTGGGGGCCTCGTGATGGGCCTATGTCAACTGGAGAGAGGGCGAAGGAGGGTTGCTGCTGAACCTAAGGAGAGCACAGCTTGAAGCAGCAGAAAAACCTCATTTGCACACACACACACACACACACACACATACACACACATACACACACAACCTCTGAAAATGTTACTCTTAACCACAGCAGCTGCCAACTGGAAAACACATAAATCCTTACATGTTGCAGAGCAGAGACAGTATACAGAGTTCAGCGCTGACAAGTTTCAGTTCTGAAAATGACTTATCCTTTTAAATCAGTAGCTGAGCAGAAGATGAAGAAACAGCTGAACATCCCCTCGATCTGTCACGTGCATCCAACAAAGGGGGTCCCAGAGCCTGGCCCTTGTTTATCTGATGCAGCTACTGGGGAACTGGCTGCCTTACAGCCTGGATGAGGAACAGTGTCAAGTACAAGCTTGGATGCTGAAGTTACTTCACAATGACCGAGAGGATTGGAGGACACCTAAGCAGACACAATAGCTGCATGGTACAGCTGAGTGAAACCTTATAATAATGCCAGTGGAAAAGGCACTTTTATACAATTGCTTTATGCAAATAGTATCAGACCAATTAGGAAACCTGCCTAATCAGCCAGGTAATCAGTGCAACCTCCTGGGCCTTAAACCCAGATTGTCCAATGCCAATCAGACATAGCTTAGCTATTGGCAAGATGAATAAACTATGAAATTAACAAATGTTGCATGGTAACTCCTGATCGTTTAATCCTTGATTTCTCTGGCTTCTTTCATGAACAGCCATCATTAGAGGCTTGCCCATTGGCTGGGCATCAGTCTTACCCATCTGCTTGACTTACATCATCATAAGGAAAATTCACAACACCTTGCTGCCCAGTGTCCCGTCTTCGAAAGCTATCTGTAAAACAACACAATGACATCTGTGACTCTTCTATATATACCTTTCCTAAAATCATAATAGTTCATCATCTTGGGTTCTAACTGCAGGCACATTTACATTGTACAACCAGGCAATAGGAAGCAAAGACCAAGGCAAAGACAACTACATGAACATGAAAGGGTTCAGTACACAGCCAAGTGATCCAATGAGCAGGGCATGGCCAGCTGTCTTTTTCAAGTTGCAACTGAAAAAAAACTATCTCACTACAGAGTCAGTTAAAGCTATGCAGAGTCGAAGGCCGTTACTGAATTGTACTGAAAATATGGAATTTCAGACTTTGCAATAATTTAGATACTGCTCAACAAGAAAATTGGAACCTAGGGTTCATGATATGACAAACATGCTGTGATGAAGTGTCCGATCATTTTCAGTTCTTCACAAATGAGGATTTAAGTTAATTTTGCATGTGAGTTAGTTATGTTTTGGAATATTTTAATAAAATTTAGTGAATGCTATTTTAGAGGCATAATACTTAAAAATCTAAGATTCCCCCAAAATGAGCTGGTTGGGCACACCTAACAACAATATTAAAAACCTAAAGCAGGGAGAAAAACTGCTGGAGGAGAACCACCAGGCAGAGAGGCAGGGGAAACGCAGGTCCCGTGGGCGCCTGGTGGTGAGAGGCGGCCCAGGACGCACCTGTGAGAGCCCTCAGCTTGACGCAGCAGGCGATGTAGTCATCGAAGGTGATCTTGCCGTGGGTGCTGTACCGTTTGGCAATGGCATTCACAGCCTGCGGGCTCAACCTAAATCCTGAAAGGGAGAAAAGGCGCCCAGCAGGAGAGTTCAAGGACGGCAACAAACAGGACCGTGACACAAGACTCAAGGCCAGGTTCCCAAGTGCGGAACTCGTCTCGGTTATGAGGACGCACACCCACCGAGAAAAACCTCCCAAAACTGTCTCCAAGAGCACTGAGGCTGAGACCCCAAAACAGAAACTACCGAGATCTCCCGGGTCCCAGGGCAGGACGGCTCTGCTCCCACTGCCAGGCCACCGGCTGTTTCTGCTGTTTCTGGTTGGCAATACATACCCATTGCTGTCAGGGCCTTATGCAGCTCCTGTGGCTCCACTGTCCCACTCCTGTCGGTGTCAGAACTCATGAAGTGCTGTCTCCAGCCATTCAGCACAGCCCAGAGCTCTTTAAATTCACTGAAACCCATGGTGCCAGACATATCTCTCTGAATGGGAATCAAGGATCATAGCTTTGTGATAACACAATTTTGTACTAAGAGCTTGCAAATCTGTGTTCTTTCTGGTAAAATGGTAAAACACACACACACACACAAAACAGCAACAAGAAAAAAAAGCAAATGTGGATGCTTCTTGATATCTAATAAATTGCTGGTAAAAGACTTGACAGAAAGGGCCCATGGAGGAGGAGCCCCGAGTAGCTACAATAACTGTGGGGAAAAAGAGAATCGATGACCACCATCGTGAGCCACATGGCCCCAGACTGGGTGCCCATGCTGTACCATCCTGCCTTCTGTCCGAGCCATCTTTGGTTCAGATGTCCCCTTGTTAAACTGTTCTCTACTCACATTTCGAAAATGAAGAAAGGGGGGCAGGCATCATGAGGTCAGCATTGGTGAAATAGTTCAACAAGGACCAGGTGTCAGGACCTGCCTGTCTATAGGAAGAAGCTTCCAAAACTTCTTAGGAAATCAAATTCAAAGATGATTTTTGTGCAAGAAAATTTTGAAACTGCTGTATACTTTTTCATAATATGCATTTTCTATGAACTTCCAAAAGTACCCCTGTACTTCTTTGCCATTCCCTTGAATAAGCAACTGACAGTCTATTTTCTCAGCTTCCCTGCCTTCTTCTTTATTCCCAGCAGATCACATCCTGAAAGTGAATCACTTCAGGAAGCTTTTGAGTATTTACTTGTCACTTTAGCTTCACTGCATATTATTTGTGAAATAAACTCAAGAAGGAAATGGTTTGTAGGGTTAGGGTTAGGATTAGGGTTAGGGCTAGGGTTATCTAGGCCACAAAGTGAAGGATACATCCAGCATCGAGACCATAAGTCGACAAGTCTCCAGGTTGAAAGCTGTTAAATCAAGAAAAGGACACCAAGACATTAACACGGCCTCAAAATTTCACACTCTACTGAGCACGTTCAAATTAATCAGGAATGTCATTCATATACCTTTATACACTACTCAGCGTATACAGAATTAAATTTATACAAGTGCAATTTCTGGGCAAATAAAACCGATTCCTTCTAGAATGCAAATTTGATTTTAGTGAATTAAACAGGCACTTTGTTTTTTCTGTTTTATTTACCATGTGGTCCCAGGCCTCTATACACACGATGCTTACACTGCGTGGGAGAGCAGGAGTGCTTGTTGGCACTCTGTGTTGCACAAGGCTGCTCTGTGTTAAGACCCTGGATGGCTCAGTGAAGGGATGACACCTTCACTGTTGCCAAGTCCCCTGAGAGTGCTCCCTGGACATTCTCAAACCTCCCTGCTGCCACCAAGCCAGAACATACACCAGAGTCATCCACCTAAACATCAGGAGGGGAAAAACAAACCCACCCACCCTAACACCACACTGCGTGATGGGAATCCAGGATTTGGCGGACACAATGCGCAGGGACAAAGCAAGCTATGAAGCCAGAAAGCAGAAGTGACCAGGTCACGCAGACAAGGCCCTGAAAGCTGCTCAGTTCACACACACACTTGGAGAGAGGGTAGGTGACAAGGCAGAGGGTGCTTTTGCCTCTGGTGCACTCCTGAAATGCCTAGAGCTCGAGCCACGAGCTGGGAACTCGTGTAAGGATTTCCAAATGAGTGACATGACCCCAATGACTTGAGTCATCACCAGTACCTACCAGGATCTTTGTTGGCAAGAGACTGGAGTCAGGAGCTGGAGCCAGGAATTGCACCCAGCCCCACCCATGGGGAATGTGGGCATCTTAACCACCAGGCTAAGCTGCTTGCTCCAGAAACATTGTGCTTCAGTTTTTTCAGCCCCCTCTAACAAAATGGAAATTATAAAACACAACTGAGCTAGCTTTTATTACTGTGATGTTTCTAAACAGCACGCACCAAGGGCCCAGCATGCTGGTTCTTTCCCAGGCTTTGCCTGGATGGCTTGGCAGCCACAGGGCCCCGGCCACTGTCTGGCTGACATGCAGGTTTGCAAGGGGGCTGTGAGGCAACTTCTGCCTCCTGTTGTGTGGCCAGAGCTGGATGTATGTGTGATGGCTCTGCTACCCAGCTGTACCACTGTGCGCTGTACACGTTTTGTGGCTGAGCTGCTCTCTTGCTATTTGTGGTTCCCCAGAGGCTCCCTTCACAGGGGAGAGCTCAGCTGCTTAAGGAAACCAGGCCCTCTCTTCTTTATGGAAGATGTTGCATAGCTCCTGAAAGCATGCCTTCCGACAGCCTCACTGGAAAAGGCACACTGTATGATGGCCTTCGAGCTGCGCTTTACAGAGGCCTGGGGACCAAAGAGGTGGCCAACTAACTATGGACAACTTAGCAATGGACAGCTTCAATATACTGTCTGCAACAGCAAAAAAAAAAACAAAAAAACAAAAAGTCATCTCAGTTTATCAAGTGCTTCTTTCATTCAGGATAAAATTAAATGACACATGCTACAAAGGCTCTTCCCCAAAGAGCAGACAGTAACAGGAAACTAAAGTCACATTAAAGAAAACAGAAACACACACACACAACTCACAACAGCCATCTGGTAAACACGCCCTTTGGAAACCCTCCAGAAACGTCAGCTGTCACTGGACATCCCACGTGCGAGCGTGGTGACAGCCTACCAGGAAATGAGGGCTCCAGTCTGATGTTTGAGGGCAGCAGATCCCACCTGCTGAGATCCTGCCTGAGGCACTGAGTGATGCCTCACACGCAAGGTGGCCAGGGAAAGGACCTAGTGGTCTTCTCCATCTTCTCTTTGAGTGGGAGGAGGAGAGCAGGGACCTAGAGGTGTCAGAGCAAGCACCCATGCCAGCAGTATGCCTAGGGGCTCCAAGGTCAGGGGTACAGGCCTGGCCACTCGGCACCTGAGTGCCACCAACTTGGGACAGAGTAAGCAAAGCACTGTAAGCTGCTGCCATGCCCAGCAGGTGACCTGGTGGATTTTACCTCAACACTTGCCCCAGTGCTGAGGGACGCCAGCCAGAGGCAGTGCCCGAAGGCCGTCAGTGGTTGCAGACACACATGGCCAAGCGTCCCACCAACGGGCATGGAATGACTGATCGGGAACCTTCCAAATTAACTACCCACATCTCTCCTGAAACTCCAAACCTGGCTGGATCAAGTCCCGCAGTCTGTATCACATCTAACAGTGAAAACAGGACACACGACGTGTGTCTGCACAGACACACGGGGTCGGTCCACTCACGTTTGTATCCTCCGGCGATGCCCGACTGCGTCAGACACCTCTGCAGCTCGTCAGCGTCGATCTGCCCATCCTGTGGACAGCGACAGAGGAGACATCACGTGTGAAGATAGGCACCCAGTGCAACAAGGCAACTTGTACCCCAAAGGGTGAGCTGCTTAAAAGCCTTACTCTTCTTTCTCTCTGTCTCAGTGGTGGAGGGACACAGCAGCACACAGAGCAGCCATCCGGATGCAATAGGCTTGCTCCAAACGAGTCAGGTCAGAACTAAATAGGTGCTGTTTGCAGGGGTTTCAAATAAAATGCTCAAATCCTCAGGTATTTTCAGCCCTGTGACCAAGAAGCACCCGAGAACTTGGAGGCGACTGAACTGTGAACCCAGGCTGGGCTGCTGAAAGGCTAGGAGCTGGAGTCACTTACAGGCTGTGGCCGGGGCCATGGAGGGAGGCTGCTGGAGAGCTTGGCCTCGTCTCTTGGTTTCAAAGACACAGATCGATAACAGATGGAGCAGTTACTTAGGGTGAGAGCCTTCTCATTTGAGACTGAATTTTCCATTCAAACTCTCCAGCTGCATTTCTTAGAGTGCTACTCTAAAAGGTGGTCCTGCTTTTATCTGGAACATTCTGTAGCATCTTCCCCTTCAGTTTCCACAGTCTCTAGTTTTTGATCACAAGAAGGCTGGGTGGAACTCAGAAATGCAAGTAGTCCCTCCAGGCATGGCAGCCTTATAACAGTATAACCACCTGCTACACCCAACAGCCTCCTGAGCTGCAGGTGGAACTCTTGTACACAAGCCAGATGCTGTGGCCCAGCCTGCAAAAGCAAAGGGTTCCAGGGATCTGGCCTGGATCCTGTCTCTGGGTCAACAGGTCACCACACCAAATATAGACACGGCAGGGCTGGCCTGGTGACATCGCCTGGCTGCCACAAAGTTACCCTCCTGATACTGAGAGGAGGATCAACTTCCTTATTGGGAAGGTGGTGGGTTTTTAACTTACCCACCTAGTCCACTAGGCAGTAAATGCCACCCACAGTCAAATGCAATGCAAGGGAAGTGTCCATTTTCTTAAGCTGCTCAGAATATTTTGAAATAAACGCCTAATGGAGGAAGGAAGGGATGTATTTCTAGAAGAATTTTAGGATTCTGTTGATGTTTACTGTATGCAAAGTTAACTCATGCAAATTCTGACTTGCAAAAGGAAGAGTCAAGGGGAAGGCGTACCTGTCCAGCCACCGCAGCGAAGTAACCGTACAGCGGGTCCTGCGCTTGTCCAGGAAACGCGGGTCCTCCGGGAGCACCTCCGTACTGCGGACACAAACACAGGCATCACTCCAGCCCTGCGCCCTTAAGCCCTCAGCACAGACTTTCAGGCAAAGCCAGGCTGTGCCCAGCTGCCGGTTGCCGCTGCAACTGGGCCCTCTGAAACTTCCCACCCCTTCTGTCTGCTAGCATCCCATCATAATCCAAAAAGGTGACCCCCTGAACCACCCTAAGTTATCTGCAGGCGCATTCAGGATAGGGCTCGGGACGGGGGTTACTTTTGTCCGTGCAGCTCTGGGGTCCTGTCAACAGGTTTTAGATTTCACACAGCTCTGGGGCTGGCCAGCGACTTGGCCCGGCAGGCTCTGGGGCGCTTCACCCTTGCGCCGCGACCCCAATGCCACCCCGGCCGGGCCACCTTCCTCGTGAATTCACGGGGCACCCTTGTTACTCTCTTGGACCTGGAGTAGAGTGGATACCCGGGGAGGCTTTTCTAGAGTAAAACGGCTGATGTGGCTGCGCGGGGTGAGGGGAACCGACAGGAAAGTGGAAGAGGAAGCCAACACCCAGTTTACAGCTTTTCCTGCCTTCTCGTATCCAAGACCCCCCGGGGTCGGAGTTCTAGTTACCTGTCCCCTAGCGCCAGGAAGGGCAGGGACAGAGAGAAGAAGGGAGCCACTGGAAGCAGTCCAGCCACGGGGATCTGCAACCAGGAAGGGAGTGCGCAGAGGATGGGAGCGCGTCCGGGGGCTGTGGAAGCCCTGGGAGCCGCCCAGCAGCGTCCCCCAGGCACTTCCTGCCAGGCTCCCGGCAGCGCCCCTCGGGTGGCTCTGGACGGCGCCCCCAGCCCGCCGGCGGCACTTACCCCGCCTGAGTAGTACCCGCCGCCGGCGCCAGGGTGCCCGGGGTACGCCATGGTGCAGAATGCGCCACCGCCGCCCGGCGCGCCCAGCCTCCCCGCCCCGCGGCGCCGGGCCGCCCCCGAGCGCACCACCCGGGCCCGCGGGGGAGGCGCGCTGACCAGTCGCTCTCAGCCCCGGGGCCACCGGGGCCTCGGCTCCCGGGCCTGGGGCCCCGCCAGCCTGGGCGCTCTCTGTGCTGAGACTGGGCGCCGGCGGGCATCCGTCGGCGACCCGCGACGCGCCAGGTGCTGTCTGGTGGCGCCCGTCCTCCCTCCACCGAGATGGCACGTTCCAGTGCGCCGGGGACCTCCGCTGTACTTCCTAATTGGCCCCGGGCCAGCACTGTTGCCTGTGGAGAGCCGCTGTTTAGTGCGGGACTTGAGGGGAGGGCCACTCCCAGGTGAAAAGTGTCCTCTGGAAAGGGCCCTTCGGCCTGCGTGCCAGGAGGGTGTGGCAGGTGTGGCTGGCACCAAGTGACCGGAGTGCCCGTCCCCGCCAGGGGCTGCTGGTCTGCAGGCTCAGCCGGGCGTGGGCCGGACGCGCCCCGAGGAGAAGGGGCATTTCCTGGGCCGGGCAGCCTGGCCCAGCCGTGTCAGGAAAACAACTCGGTCAGCCTGGGTGGTGGAAGCAGAACGTCCCCTCAAGAAGAAAGTTAGGCAAAAACTCAGCGCGCGGCGGCTGAGGGGGCCCTGAGAAGCCCCTCGTTGCTTTTCGCCCTGAGTACCGGGCTGAAGAGACTCTGCCTTTGGTTTGTTGTGTGCGTGTGGCATTTCAGCCACACTGCCAGCACCCCTGACTCCCTTGCCGGGGCACCTGCCCGTGTGTGCTGCTCCGTCTCGGCTCCGCTTCTCTGGGTCGGTCATTGTCCTCCTCCCTGCGACCTCCGGATACCCACACAAACCCCGAATCCGAATCCCAGCACCTGTTGTCTCAGGAAATGCAGGCTGCCTTGCCTGGTTTCTGAGGGATTCCGCAATGGGTTACTGCCTTCCAATCCCGGGCCAGCATTCAGGTGGACTAGGAACGGGTCCACCCCGGCCTCCGTATCGATACCTGCTTCTTCCCAAAGAAACGACTAACTCCAAGCCCCGACGCCGGGGCTGAACTCAAAGTTGAGAGGAAACTCTCTCAAGACTCCAGTTGGGAAGAAAAGCAGAACACGTGAAAAAAAAAAAAGTTCTGCCTCCTCAGTGTGGTGGATGAGAGGCTGTGCCGACTGTCGTCTTAGTTGCAAGTCAGACATTGGAACATCTTTGGTTTATGAAAAAAATATGGCAGCTAATTTCAACATAAATGTTAAAGAAAAATCTGTATGCGCCAGGCCCTCTTCGGAGCACTTTACAGCTTTTCCATGAAAACTCAGGAGCTGGGGTCATCCTCACTGCAGAACGGGCACAGAGGAGCAGAGGGCTGTTCCTGCAGAGCAGCCTGGCACTAGGGTGTGCAAGCCCTGCAGAGGACCAGGTGGGTGGAGGTGGAGGCCCTGTGGAGTATTTTTGCAACTGAGTATCCATTGGCCATACTTAGAGAAACCCTATGGCTTGTGACCACGAATCTGAATTTCAAATAGCTGTCATAGGTCAATATTATTCTTTATTTCTGTCGTATGTAAAATTTAGGCGCCATCTTTAGCTCCTAGGTAGACAAACACGGGGGAAGGGCCAGCTTGGACTGTGGGCATTCGCTTGCCAGCCCCTCCTAGAAACTGCACCAGGATGCCTGCATGACTCAGGGCGTGTAGCAGTTAATCAGATGATCTGTGTACACACAGTAGTGGCTGAGTCACCCTAAGGAAAAGTGGCCTCTGGGGACCCTGTGTACCCTCACCAGCCCCTGGCCAGGATGGTCATCAGACGGAATGCCAGGAGACCCTGGCTTGTCCATCTCCCTTTCACAGCACAGTGACAAACTCCCTGTGGCCAGACTGTCTTTAAAGCCTTGTTTGTGTAGGTGGATCCCTTTAGTCATAAGTGCCCAAGGAATCTAAAACATTCAGGAAAGCGGCAAGGCCCCCAAAGGGCTGTGTACAAACAGGAGCTGTGGTTTTCCTTCGCAGATTTAATATTTGTTCCAGTGGGCAGGGTAGAGGTGGAGAGAGAAATTTTTACTAGCGTCTTCGAAGATGCCAGCTGCCATCCATAATGCTCCCTTTTAATGTTCCACTGGAAGCACCTGTTAACGCAGTTGTCCTTGCTTACACTGATGAAGGCGTCGATTTATAAATAACTTTACTGAGGTTAAGCACCAGCTTTTGACTTCTGATGTCTGAGTTTCACATATGGGTGTTCCAGGATAAAACACAAACCACAGAGGCCAATTGTTTGTGATTCACTAACAATTTACTGCATCATAGAACACACAGCATGACACCATCATCACTCATGGGCGGAGGACTGACAGCAATGTGGGTGATGGGGAAACCCCTAGGAAGTTTGTAGATAGCGGATGAAGCCAGGTTGTACCACAAAAAACCGATGACTTCTGAAAGTGTTTCAAAATTTACTAGCTTGTTTGAAAGGTAGAGTGGGAGAGACAGAACACCAGAACCCACTGGTTCAATGCCCACGTGGCCCCAGTGGCCTGGGTGGCTGCTCTGCCAGTTACATGCCACCATGCTGGCCCCACTGGTACCTTGCAATCAGGTGCTGTGTTCATGGTGCTTCTCAGTGGCCGTGAGGAGGGGAGCTGGACGGGCTAAGCTCTGGCAGGGCTGACTTGGCCAGGGGGAAAGCTCGCGCCCCACCCAGTTACAGGGGTGACAGTGTGCGCCTTTTTCTTTCAGAGCAGAACCCACAAGCCAGTGTGGACACTCGTTTGCCCCTGTGGAAATGCTGATGTCAACAGAGAAAGTTCCAGATGGTAAAACTTCCTCTTCAGGTAAGTGGTTTAAGATCACTTGTGGCTAAAGACTGCAGTTTCTTTCCCTCCAGTTTCTGTGGCTGCGTGAACCAGGCCTCGCGCATATCTGGAAAATGAGCCGTGTTACTTGGTGCTTTGAAAGCCTCGGGTTTCTTTTAGTTCGCCCTGGGTGTGGTGCCTCGTGATGTGCGGACCTGTCGCTTAGAAACTCGCCTCTCCAGACAGGAGCGTTGATAACAACGGGCAACTAGAAATTGTACACCTGTCTTCTGAGGATTTTGTGGGGCATGAGCGTTAAGACAAGAGTCTTGGGAAGAATAGCGTTTCTCGCTCCTGCTGCCCAGAGCAGTAGCTCATCGTCATTTTTTTCAAGGGAAGGTCAGACTGCGTCACTGATTGTTGCAGAGCGTGTGTGTTTTAAGTGGCCCCAGCTGGTCAAGGACTTTTTTTGCCACGAGGGACGTGGTTACCTGTGCTGGACGATAGCTAATCCCCGGGGCTCCTGAGGTTGTGAAATGAGAGCATCTGGCTTCATCTCATGGGGGCCATGGGGCTCGTGCTGATTGTCTGCATTGCCTGGCCCTCCCTGGGCCTCCAAAAAACACACTCGCCGTGCTGGCCTGGGGTGGGGAGGGCAGCAAGATGAGTCTGTTGTCGGAGCTCCCAAAGGTGGCAGATACTTCCAGTTAGCCAGCCAGCAGCTCTGGACAATATGTATACTTATAGCTAAATGAGTCTGTGCTTTACACATCGTGTGTGTGTGTGTGTGTGTGTGTGTGTGTGTGTGTGCATTCCAGCCAAGAAAACTGTGGGCAGATACTACCCAGGGAGCAGGCAACAGCGACCAAAGGGTGGGGACAGGGTGTTCTGGCCTACCAAAGGTTGTCTAATTGTCTCCCCTTCCGTCTCCTAGCCATACCACAAAGCTTACTCCCACACTGCAGAATGGAAAACAAAATAGAACAACAAAAGCCCAGCAAACATCCTGAGGCCCTGTGACTTGCTCTCGGTCAGTGGACTCACAGTGGTGACCCCAGGATTCAATGTTTCCTCCTGACTCAGATCTTGTCTGCACTTCCTACTGTTCTCTTGGAACTTTTTTTCTTCTATCATTCTGCAATTTGATTGGTTCGTGAATTTCGAGTAATAAAAAAAATCTCTGCCTGGATAGGCTATATTTTAGAAATCAAAGCATTTTAAACAATGCCTGGCACAATGGAAATGATGCAACTTTCTCAATGAAAGGGATGATACTAGGGTAGCCAGTTGCTTATTTGACAGGCTGTAAGAGCACCTGGCGCTGCCTGTCGCTTACGCTGACACATGCTTGTCTCGGCTTCACGGGCTGCCGTCCCCATGTTGGGAACTAGAGGACAATGATGAATGCTGGAGCTGCAGCCCAGGCAGCCCTGGCTTGCCTAAGGCTGCGTGCAGAAAACAGGGGTGGTAGGTCCTGCTCCTGGCTGCTAGGCACCAGGTGGAGCAGGCATTGGATGAACCTTATATGCCAGGCCGCCATGTCAGAGAATGTCCAGCAGGAACTAGATGTCTCATAGTGTATTTTATTCCCACGTAGTGGGAAGTAAGTGGTGAAACTGAGAAAAGAGGTTGGAATGACCCTCTTGTCTGCATTTTTTTTTTTTTTGTCTGAGAAGCCACAGTTCATGACATTCTTATTTTGGTAAGGAGAAGATCAACTGTGCTATTTTAACATACAGTTGAGACTAATCTACTTAAACCTCTATATGGGAGAATCAGACTCTCAGTGTAAAACAGGAAGTTCTTGGTAAATAAGATGAAATAGACACATTTTGGTGCAAAACATTTTTGACACCCATGTATATATTTTCCATGAACTTATGGAGAGCCCACGTATTATCAGGACTACAGATACTCCAGTTTTAATTTAACTTCCATGCTCTGTAGAATTTGCTGTAAATACTATGAAGCAGGCTGCTTCCATTTAATTAATACAGGGTGGGTGGAGCTTGCCAGGATAACTTTAAGTTAGATATGATTATCTCAGAGCAAAATGGGAAAAAAAAATCCAAGTCTTTTCTCTAGGCAAATGAGTGACATTCGGAGGAGCCAAACTGACCAAGGTGCTGAAGTTGTTGGTTTATGTAAATATTCTCAGTACAAAGTCAAATTGTCATTTTCATATGCCCTTTAAATATCTTGAGATTGATACA